TGTGCTGGAACCTGCTGGAAGGATTGGATGGTCAGGTGACCTGCTGTGCATGGCTGTGCATGACCTCATATGACCTCATCCTTGGTCATATGACCTGATCACCTGACTAGGCTGAGTAAGCAAGATGTTCTAGCAGGTTCCACCACAGAGGTATAAATATAAGGCCTACTCTGCCTGGGACTGTCTCTTCAGACTTGGTCTCTTAGGATCATCCACAGGTACCTATACTGTAGATAGGTCTTAGTCATCAGGTCTACTCCACTTCCTTGTTGCCTGCTTAGACTCTTGGCACTCTTAGGTGAGCAGACTTAGTCAGCCTGTGTTGCCCTAACAGATGGACACTTGGGCTATATCATTACTGGGAGTTCTTCAAATTGTTGATAGAGCTCCTCTTCCAATCCAGGATGGGCATGACACTGAAAAGATTTGTCTTGCTGATGGGGGGATGGATGTGGCATGGGATTGAATGGTTGGGCTGGAGGATGAAGAAGCATTGGCAGATGGTGGTCTTGGGTATCAGTAAGTTGTTGTTCTCAGGTCTGAAGCGAGCATCCTGCTAAACAATCAACTAGTGCTGATCATCCTTGTCACTACTCTGGGCTGGAAAAAAATGGAGGATGCTGTGGAGAAGGTGAAGAAAGTGGTGGGAGTTGCTGGTCTGTAGAGGTGTGAATTCATCTTAGTATTACTGTCATGATGTAAAGGCACTCTGTGCCAGTATGTGCAAGGGATTGTACCATATGATTTGCAAAAAGCTGCGGAGGCTGCCTGATCTCACAATCTCCCTACTCAACAGTGAGGAGGATAAGAACAAAGGAATAGATTTGCCATGGGAACATCAAGGGGAATGATAGTAAGATTAAGATATTGCATAATGTTGCCTAAAAAATCTACACATGTTACATACCATATCAGACTGGCAGCCAAATGGACTTCAACAGGAATGGAACACCAGGAGCAGTTATGGCCATCTACCGGTTACCCTGTGGCTGAGCACCTGGAAACCACATGATACCAGTCCACACGGAAACCAGCTGCTGCCGTTCCTGCTGTGTAGGGCGGTCTACAACCGTCATCCGACCGGTCACATGGTGTGCAAACACTTGGCAGAAACAAGAGGAATAATCTGAGGGAAAAAAAACGTTATGCGTTTCTGCCGGTTCCTTGGCGATGCGTCCACGGTGGGACGGCGTAGTTACCTAATCAATTATTTCCTCACCTGTGCGCTTATCTGCTTTTGTCCGCTTATTATCAACGCGGTCAGCAAGATGAGCCGTGAATACATGTCAGGAACGAAGTGTGACGTGACATCTTGATATTCATTCTCGGTCTTACGCATCTGTTTCCTCGCCTTTAATTTCTTTCGCGATCGACGAAAACGGGTTCAGGGCAGCGAAAAGACGTGTTATACATGATAGTAATGATACATGAAACTTCTACCACCTTCCATACAATATGTAAGCTCGGGCCTTCACTGGGCATTACAACGTCTTGCAAATCATCTTCCCCCTCTTTGCCTGAGCGTTACACAGTGCGACCTCAGTCGGCATAGCGATCAAGCTCGCTAGAAGAATTCCGCTCGTGTCACCGAAGCCGATGCTGCCAATGCGGAATTCACGTTCCTGTTTGCTCCGCTCTGGGTCTGGGCTTTCCGAGGGAGATGCGGTCTCCTGGGAGACGTGGTAAAAGGCGTTAACGTATGCCAGCCCACCGCAGATGCCCTCGCACGCTATGAGCACAAAGACGAGCAGGACTCCGGAGTCCGAGTCGGGGGAGGAGGAGAGGATGCCGTGGTAGGCTTCATAGGCTAGGGTGAGCAGGATGAGGAACTGGAGGAAGGAGGGGAGGGGAAGGTAGACGTAAGGCAGGGGGGGTAGGCCAAGGGAGAGAGAAGAGCGGGAGAAGAAAACGAAGCTTTGGTATACCAGCTGTTAGAAGTAAGTGTGAGTTTGCTATAAGATAGGAAAGCGTGGGGACGTACCTGCCACAGAGGATAATAATCTCTCACTGAGGTAATGAGCTGAGCAAGGAAGGGATGCTCAAGGGGAGATGGCACGGGATATACAAGCGTCGGTCCAATCCCTTGATTGATCGTATATTCAAATGTGTAGACACAGACTGTTGCGATGAATCAGTCAGAATGAAGAATGAAAGCGAGAAACGGGACATACAAAGGGGTAGGATGTACCGCAGCATCAACGGCTTGACCAAGACCCACTTGTCCCGCCCAGTCAGAGCAGAACTGATGACCTTGCTCTCCAGCGCATCCGCCTCTATTCCAACGTCCTCGGCATCTTCTGTCGGGAGTGAGGCATACGTATTGGAGGTGTTCTCCGATGACGATAGTGAGGCGAGGGCAGCTGGCTTTGGGAGCAGGAGGTGATACGCGAGAGGAATCACGAATGGGAGCACCTGTAGAGGGTTTAATGTGAGTACTTAAGTTGGAAGAACATAAAAGTCAACTCACAGAAGATATCCCTACGCCCTCTCGGACTCCTAGTGCTCTGAGCATCCACCACAATCCGGCACCGACCAGTCCGGCAGCGCCGGTGCCGCTGGCAAAATATCCCAAGCCACGGCGGTCTTCCCCGGAGGAGTTGTATGATGTGCTCAGTTGTAGCCAGGTGAGCTCGCCCAACCCAGAAGAAAAGGAGGCTATGGCGATTCCTATGAGGCGCATTGTCAAGGATTCCCCAGCGGCAACGATCTACGTAGGAATGCGATCAGATGGAGAACCGAAGCAAAGGGAAAGAGGGAATGCGCACGATCATTCCACCGACACTGAGTAGAGTGCAGCCCCACACTCTCTGAGCGTATCTTATCTTCCCTTTAAGCGCATAAGGCCATACGACCTTGCTCACCATCGCTGGGGCTATGTTGGCGAATGCGATGATGCCCTTTGGGGTGCTGGGGGGGACGAGATCCAGCGCGGCGGACAGGATGATGACATAAAGAACATTGTTGATGAGTCCAAAGAGCCAGAACGAGAGGGAGAGGCGGAGACGAGCGTGAGAAGATTGAGACGAGTTAGATTTGGACAGAAGACCAGCGGTTGGGGACGCGTCTTCTTCATTTGGTATTCGTGTATCCGAAGACATCATTTGCAAAGCGTAGGATGCTGAATACTCGGACACGGCGATATGTTGATGCCAATGGACAAAATATTCACGAATTCAAGACGAATCGTTGTAAGGACAGGGGGCAGGAGCAAGTTGCAGTCAGATAGCAACCGGCGTCAAATGCCGTGAGCGCTCTCCCAGAGTTAAGGAGCCGAACACAGCCACTCAGGGTTTTTCGAGCGCCCGCCTAAGGATTTTCATTCTCTGCCTCTTCCTATCATAACGTCCAAAATGCCTCCTGTGCCCAATATTTCAGGGCCGTCAAAAAAGTCTGCTGATGGAAAGAAAGATAAGAAGAAGATGGTGATGAGGGCTCAGCACAGACGGAGGCAGCAGGAAGAACACACGCTTAAGGAGTTAGTTCAGGCTGTCGACAGCTTCGTATGTCCATGCACGATTCCAACCTCCTCAGTCCTCTGACCCCATCACAGGACCCTTCCACTGCAGAATTGTTTGCGGGTTTGCCCTTATCTCTTCCTACACAGCGTGCCCTCCGCGCCGCATCCTACACCACACCTACCACGATCCAGGCCCGCACGCTCCAGCACACTCTGCGCGGACGAGACGTGCTCGGCGCAGCGCGCACGGGCTCGGGCAAGACCCTTGCCTTCCTCCTCCCCGTTCTCGAGCTCCTCTGGAGAAGCAAGTGGGGTCCACAAGATGGTCTGGGCGCGCTCATCATCTCCCCCACACGGGAATTAGCGATGCAAATATTCGAGGTACTTCGGAGCGTTGGGCAGTATCACAGCTTCTCAGCTGGGTTGGTCATTGGGGGAAAGAACGTGAGGGACGAACAGGAAAGGCTGACGAGGATGAACATATTGGTCGCTACACCTGGACGGCTTTTACAGCACATGGATCAAACAGCGGGATTCGCTACGGACAACCTGCAGATCCTTGGTGCGCTTTCCGCGTATGATATGATAATCAATCTAATCTCTCTGTGAAGTGCTGGATGAAGCTGACCGAATCCTGGATATGGGATTCTCTCACACCATCAATGCGATCATTGCGAATCTTCCCAAGACCCGCCAAACGCTGCTCTTCAGCGCCACCCAGACGCAGTCCGTCAAGGATCTTGCCCGCCTGAGTCTGAAAGACCCCGAGTTCGTCTCCGTTCGCGAAGCCGGGCAGGAGCTCGCAACGCCCAAGAACCTGGAGCAGCACTATCTCGTGTGCGAACTGGACAAGAAACTCGACGTACTCTACTCGTTTATCAAAGCGCATCTAAAGAGTAAGGCACTCGTCTTCCTCTCAAGCGGCAAGCAGGTTCGCTTCGTGTTCGAGGCCTTCCGCAAGCTCCAGCCGGGAATACCATTACTCCACTTACTAGGAAAACAAAAACTGGCAAAGAGAATGGACATATTTCAACGCTTCACCAGCAGCACGAATGCTGTCCTTTTCGCAACGGATATCGCTGCTCGTGGTCTAGACTTCCCCGCTGTGGACTGGGTTGTCCAGCTCGACGCACCAGAAGATGCAGACACGTACATCCATCGTGTTGGCCGTACGGCGCGATACGATTCCGCAGGAAAGGCGCTGCTGTTCCTCCTTCCGAACGAAGAGGAGGGGATGCTCAAAGAACTAGAGCGGAAAGAAGTGCGCGTGGAGAAGATCAAGGTGAAGGAGAGCAAGACGCAGAGCGTGGCGCAAAGCTTGCAAAGCTTTTGCTTCAAGGATCCGGAAATGAAGTACCTCGGCCAGCGGGCATTTGTCAGCTACCTCAGATCCGTGTGGCTGCAGAAGAACAAGGAAGTGTTTAACTTGGAGGAGATGCCGATCAAGAAGTTTGCCGCAAGCTTAGGGTTGCCGGGCGCACCGAGGATTAGGTTCAGGAGGGGACAGGGGGAAGATGGGAAGGAGAAGAAGAACAAAAGTAGAACACTTGCAGCTGAGGGGAACATCAGAGGGGGAAAGAAGGGGTCGGAAGACGAGGATGATAGTGGGGACAGTGAGCAGGAGGGCGACAACGAAGATGACGAAGATGCGGCAGCAACACAGTTTGCCGCTGCTGTCGTCGAGGCTACCATGGAGGAGCCTGAAACTGTCGCACCTACGAAAACCAAGTCCACCGTTCGCACAAAATACGACCGCATGTTCGAGCGGAAGAACCAGAACATCCTCTCCGCACATTATACCAAGCTTGTTGACCACACGGCTGAAGGGGATGCGGATGACTCTGAAGACTTCCTCACTCTGAAACGAGTAGACCACGCGTTGGAGGAAGACGAGGATGGTCCGGGAAGCAATGATCTCAGCAAGCGGAAGCTGAAGATTGGTCAGAGCAAGAAGGCGAGGCTGAGATTCAAGGGGGCAGGAACGAAGCTGGTGTTTGACGACGAAGGGGAAGGGAGGGACGCGTATGCGCTGGAGGATGATACGGAGTTTAACAAGGGTGATGTGAAGGCTGCAGGCCGGGAGTTCGCGGAGAGGGAGAGGGAACAGTTGAAAGTGGTAGATGTGGTAGATCGGGAGACGGTCCGGGAGAAAAGGAGGGAGAAGAAGAGGAGGAGGAAGGAGAGGGAGCGGGATATGGCTGGCGGGGCGGAGGACGAGGATGGTCCTGTGTTGGCGAGGGGAGAGGAGGAAGGAGATGCAGACGATGGGTATGTCAGCCCGGACTTTGGCTTTATACCGGACGAGAGCGAGGAAGAGAAAGAGGGGAGGCCGGCCAAGAAACGGAAGAAGCGTATGGCCTTTGAGCGAGAAGGGAGGGAGGATTTAGATGCACAGGAGGCACTTGCGCTTGAGTTGCTACAAGGAGCATTATAGAAGCTCGGCCAGCATCCAGCATGTGGATGTAGCATTCAGACAATTCTATGCATCTGTCTTAGTGTCGAATACAAGCTTCCCAGTGGTCAGATAAGAGCCAAGAAGCAGGGAATGGTGAAATTGGAGCGTCCGGATAAGTTACCATAAGCAAAGAAGTGGTATCATACAATATATACAACAATTCCCCGCCCTCATGTGGCACTCGGCGAGGTCCCAGGTCACATAATCTTCTTCCCCTGCTCCTCCACGAACTCCCACAACAGCGATCCCATCTTCTCGTCCTTCGTATCGTCTCTCGCGTGCCCCACCCTCGCCCAAGGCCAAAAGAACGCCCCTCCCATATCGCTCGTCTCCTCCGCTGTCCCCGCATACAAGCTCGTCAGCACGCCCAACGGATCAGGTGCAAAGCCGAGAACGTGATCCAGCGCCCACCGGGTGAGGGTAGGCGTATACCTGCTCGCGCTCGCACGGGTGTTACCGGGGTTCACTGCGACGGCCGTTATGCCTTGCGAGGCGTAGCGCCTGTTGAGCTCTTGGGTGAAACAGGCGAGAGCCCATCGGGTTTGAGTAAGCATGAGCATGGATGTGCCACGTGCTTTGCGCTCGTCCGTGTCCATCACTAGTCCGAAGTCGACGCCGCCTGCTGGTGCCCATGCTTGGGCGCTGGGGTAGGTTAGATATGAATACACAGCAGAGAGGGGTTGGAGCGGAGGAACGTACCTGGAAGAGACGTTGATTACCCGGACCTTGTTGCCCGGTGTGGTCTTCGCGGTCGAGAGTAGCACAGGAAGCAGGAGCATCGTCAAGTAGGCATGTCCTACAGATATTGATCATCAGATTCGGTCTAATACACTGATATCGACACCGGAACTTACCAACAAACCCGATGCCAAATGTCAAGTCCAAGCCCTGCTTGGTGAGCATCTCCAGCGGCGGGCCCATAACCCCCCTTCAAGCACTGTCAGTGCCTCAAGAATTCCCAGAAGTAGAATGACGTACGCGTTACAAAACAGTATATCGAGCCTTTCCTCCCGCTTGCGGAACTCCTTCACCGCAAGGGCAACACTCTCCAGGTCGGAGAGGTCGAGTTCCAGACAGTGGATGCTGTTGTTCCCCGACTCGACCTGGAGCTCTGCTACGGCTTCCTCGCCTTTGGAGAGGGTATGGCAGCCTAAGTACACCGTACAGTTGTGTAATGCAAGGTACTGTATTCCCGTCAGCCTCCTCCGCAATCAAGGGCCGGGGAAACGGACCTTTGCTGTTAGCCTCCCTAGGCCAGAGTTACCCCCAGTGACGATGGCGACCTTGCCGCCCAAGTCCGGGATATCGTCCACGCTCCACGTGGGTTTGGGCGGCCAAGCCTGCTGCCACTCGTCGTCGATGGCGGATAAGTAGTTGCCCATCGTTTCACCAATAGTATGTTCCTCGAACGTCGTCGTCGTCGGTGTAAGTTCTGTCGTTGTGGTTTATGTTAAGTATAGCGTAGAAACCAGTATGGTTGGTATCGTCGTTGCTATAGTGGTACAAGTTTGTGTTTGTGCACACTGCAGCCCCGCAAGCCACGGGTCTTGTACGGTCCACGTCAATGCACATGCCTAGGCATCGACATTGCCAGAGTTATCCGGCATAAGTCCTAACCCGCCCGAGGCAGGTCATGTGCAGTTTCCGTCGGTGGGCTGTCCCGCTCCCGCAACACCGCGCCGACCGGGCTGGGCTGGCGGGATGAACACCTTAGTAGCCAAGCTATGCATGACTATTGATAGAAGTCACGAGCACGGGCGCTTATGTGGGGGCTGGATGGTGAGAGGCAGTGACCGCGCACGGACCTCGGAGACGTCCGGAGGCTGACTCGCACGACAGCGACTCGGCTCCGGTCGGATATGCAATATCCATTTCCTGCCGCTAACGGGAATACGACAATCATTGTAATACAATAATATTAATCCGGTAATCAATCAATCATATTCTTCAAACGTCTCCTCTTCATAGCCAATTTCCATCCCACCACCATCTCCGTCATACGCCTCCTCCGCATATCCGCTTTCGTCCCACGTGCCCTCCTCACCCTCCTCGGCCACCTCTACCTCCCCGCCCTCCTGCACCATTTCCTGCCTCGCTAACCCCTTGCCTTTCCCTCTCGTTTCTATCTTATCAGGCATCAACCAGTCGTCATAATACTGACAATCCCTTGCGTTCACAGGACCCTTGGGCGCACAGAAGTCGAACACCTCGCATAGTCCACAGGGGATCTCGCTCAGCCCAGAACCATACGTCTCCCTTCGCACAGCACGGAATACAGAGCCAGAGAACGAGAGAGACAGAGGAGAGGCATCGCGGAACGTAACTGGCGAGAGAGATCGTGTCGGCGAGAGAGATGCTCTACGTTTCTTGCGCGACCGGGGCTGGTCAGAACCATCATCGTCTTCCTCGGACTCAGACTCGTCGGAGCGTGAAGACCGTTTGCGTTTCATGTTTCCTGAGCGGTGGTGAGAATGTTCGTCGTCGGAATCGTGTTTCTCGTCTTTTTCGTCTTCGTCATCAGATCGTGAGCGCCGCTTAGACCGCTTCTTCCGCCTTGCGCGATCGTCCTCGCTCTCCTCGTCACTCTCACTGGCCGCTCTCTTCCTCTTCTTCCTCTTCTCCCGACTCCTTTCCCGCTCTCTGTCCTCGTCGCTCTCCTTCTCCTCCCACCCTTTCCCTCCCGACCCAGGCAACGACTCAATCTTCCCATCATACACTAGCACGTCTAGCAGACTCTTGACGTGCTCGTCCTCCAGCTTGACCTCTGTGAGCCCTGAACCGTGTACGAACCTCCTCACATCTGCGAGCGTTGGGTACTTGTCCGTGCGCGATGTCGGCCACACCTGATAGTCATCGCCTACAAACGTCTGTGTATCTATAAGACTCTCTGTCCTCTAACTCGGAAAATTGAAACTAACTCACCTTCTTCTCGATAAACGTATATACGGCCTGTAGCAAGCCCTCAATAAACCCCACATCAAGCTCATTATCATTAAACCACGGCCCTCCCGTAAGCTCCACACTCGGCTTCAGATTAAAGAGCATATACGTCTTCCGCGTAGGGAACTTGACGTTCTTCACGCTCTTGACGAGCTGTCGCTGCTCGAGCTGCTTCAGGCAGCGGTTGATTACCGTGGCGTGCAAGTTTGTCTTCGCTTTGAGCGACTTTGTCCAGATACCTTCGGTTCCCGAGTTACGGATATGTGTGTAAACCATCGATTCGTCGCCCTGTAGTGCCCCCAGCCTATAAACCCACCAAGCGAGTCAGTCGGGAAGGTCCACTCGCAGTGAGAGAAACTTACAGTCTCGCATCCTTAGCATTGACCGCCTTAAAACAAGGCTTCCCCTTACTATCCTTCATCATCTTCAACAAGCTCTTCCTCAACAGCGCGTTAATAGCCTGCTGGAGCTCGATCACCGGATACCCGGGACAGGAAGCCTCGACCTCTCGCTGGTAGAGGACATCGGCGTCGACGACAGCTTTGTATAGCACTTGCTCTACAGAGGAGAGGGTGTCTGTCCCAGATGGATCGGATTTGGGAGGCATGGTCGACGTCGAGCAAGGGGTATACAATGGGGATATATGACCCTCAGGAAGCACAAACGCTCACAGGAGCTTAATTTAATTCCGGTTTGTTCAACTTTCGCGTCCCTGACGCGCACGCGCCTACTTTCACCATCATCTCTACTGCTGCTCGAACTAGAAAATGGCACCAAGACGACGAAGGTCGACACGTCATTCACGTCCGGCTACGAAGAAGGTGGTGAGTGAACAGATCGTGAGCGACGACGATGAGGAAGAGATGCAGCCTGCTCCTGAGGAACCGGAGAGCGAGCCTGTGAACGAAGAAGAGCAGGAGGAAGAGGACCAACCTGAGGAGGAGGAGGATGCTCAGATGGAGGGGGACGAGGAAGGGGATGAGGATGAGGATGCTGAAGGGGATGAAGATGGGGATGCGGAGGAAGGTGGGGATGCGACGGGAGAGGCGGAAGGAGACGTCGATGCTGATGGGGACGAAGATGCCGAGTCGGTTGAAGGACCGCGCTCTGATGCGAACTCTGACGCCTCTTCCCCCGTTGCTCGACGGGGTCGTGGGAGACCGAGAGGAAGACCACGGGGCCGCCCGCGCGGGAGTAGGGGGACGACCCGGGGGACTGGGCGAGGGCCTGGTAGGCCGAGAGGAAGGGGAAGGGGGAGAGGAAGAGGCAGGGGGAGGGGGAAAAGGATCCGGGACTCGGAGGCTGGGGTGTGGACGTTGCAGGCTGGTGAGGAACTGCCGGAGGGGATAGACACGGAAGGTTAGATCTGTTTACACCTAGGTACGCACACTGCTGACTGGAACGTCTGTCTGCCAGGATTCTTCGGGCGCGTCGGTGGACCTCTAACGCGCACCGTCGGCGGGCGGGATTACGAACTCGCTGGCGACGAGCTCAAGACGGACGACGACGTCAAAGGCGACGCAAAGATCGACGCGCGTGGGAACCTGCTCGGCGGGCGGGAGTTCAAAGCGCACACATTCACCTCCCCTTACCGCTCAGACACAGAACGCAAGTATATGCTGTCGATCGACGCGGCGCGTACTTCTGGGTTCAGGGACTCGCTGTACTTCTTTAGGAGGAATCCGCTACTGGTGAAGCTTACCCTTAGCCAAGGGGAGAAGGACGCGTTGATCGCGGATGGAAAGTTGAGCACGAACCTCAAGAGCAGGAGCGTCACGATGGTCACTGCGAGAAGTGCGTACAAGTGCCAGGGTGCGAAACTAATCAGGGGTATGGTCTTTCCTTGTTGTAGAAGACAGATCCTAAATAATCCCAGATGGGAAATGGGCGACGGATGACTACTACGAAGACAAGTCTCGGGAAGAATGCATAGCACAAGGGATCATCCCCGGAGATCCTGTCGGCGAACTCCCTGACCCTATGGCAGTAGTCGACTCCACGCAGGCGCTACGCAAAGCTGCGACGGCATATGACCGGATCTCCAAGCCGACAAACGAGATGACAACGCGCTACGGCGGGCCGGGTCTCTCTCCTTTCAGGCAGGAGATGGGCCAGGCTAAACGGCAGATGCTCTTGCGCGAAGGTGTCGACGAGCGCACGTGGATGTGGCGCACTGCGATGGACATCTGGGAATCGAATGACGAGATCCGCCGGCTGAGAGAAGAACGGTTACAGGCATTTTCTTCGCCCTGGGATCAGGGCTCTTGGAGTACTGCGGGAAAGCTCGATGTCGTCATGCCCCCCGAGGGTGCGGGGCTAAGTAACATCGGCCCTCCGCCGGTGCCCATCACATATGCGAAGAGTCCTGTTCCTGGGTCGCGGCAACTTGGCACGCCCCAGCCGGAGAACTTGCTCGTACAAGCGCTCACCTCAAGCCAGAAACGCGCGAGCAGCGAGATGGTTGAAGAACCTGCAGATACTGCTCCGGCCAAAAAGCGGAGAAGGACGGATATGGCTATGGGGCTGTATGATGGGTATACCGACCTGCCGATGTGTATGTTCACTCCCTGTTCCTGTCAGTCTGTTCGAGCTCACACTATCATTCAGTCCCAGGCGACACCCAACCTACATCCGTCAAGTGGGAAAAGCTTCCCCAATCTCGCATGCTCATCGCCGGGACTAACAAGGTTGGCTCCCAAGCCTGGGGTCTGGCATACGTCGACGTCGTCATGGACTTGAGCAAGCCTAAAGAGGAGCCACCAACGGTGGACACCATGGTGCTGGATCCGGCGCTGCAATGAGCTGCGTAGTCGTGCAAGGCGTGTTGTAAGTTTTATTGTACTAATTATACTATTGTTGCCTGCATGAGAGAGCATGGGCGGGCTTGGCGTCTAACCAAGCCTGGATCACGTGAACGGTTTGTTTCTGGCGACCACATAGACATCCCTTCCGACCAACTCCTTGCACGGGAAAACTTGCTGCGGGGATATCGGGACTCTGATAAACTTGAATGTATTACCAAATCGGCTTCGTCTTCTTCCTTCTGCCTTCCTTCTTCTGCACGACCCCACGTGCCGACAAACCCGGCGGTGAGCTGGCAGCACGGCCGACGACCACTATCTGCAAGACCACCACAAAGCACAACGCCCTATCACCCGATCTTCAAACATGTACGCGATCGAACCACCCGGACTCTCCAAGCGTCTAACCCGAGTTTGCCTAGGACCTCGAATGGCGCTTACGTTCCCCCTCACAAGCGCGGGTTCCGCCCCACCTCTGAAACAAGCGCCTCAACTTTGAGCAACCCTCCGCTGTCTATTCGCACGTTCCCACAGCCCGACTCCTCTCGTTCTTTCCGTAAGAGGCCTTCGGACCCATATGCAAACTTCCCCGTGGCGTTCAGCGGTGCTTTTAGGCGTAACAACAGGTTAGTCGCCTTCCCACAATATACTTGCACATTGATAGAGATAGCCAGGAACGGGGAGAAGACGTACACCATCCGGCAGATCCAGGAGCGGGTCCCTGGTGCTAGCTCGCACACGTTTGTCCAAGCCGCCCCTCCCCTTCGAGACACAGACGAGCACGAGCACCCAAGAGCCTCGGTCGACCCCTCAGTACAGGACCCTCCCTGGTATCAGAAGATATGCCGTATTATGGTGCACCTTGATGCGCACCCTGCGGGGCCCGAGGAACTCTGGACGAGACATAGCTTCCCCTTACTGGAAGCGAGCATGACCTCGGAGTTGAAGATCCCCTTATTCGTCCAGCTCCCGAACCAGAGGTGGGAGTTCAAAGGCCGCTCCGAGATCGCTTTGTATGAGATATTTGAAGGAGGGAGCGAGGAGGTGCGGGGCTTTGTGGAAAAGAGAAAGGAGAGCGAGAAGCTGAAATGGGTGGAGACTTGGAAAGATCTATTGGGGATGGATTGGGCCAGAGTGGAGCTTAGTTTGGCGGAGGACCAGAGTTTGGGGAACCCGATGGAGGGGATTTAGAGGTTAGATGTTGGGGGGTTTGCTTGATTGGGATGGGATGGGATGGGATGCTCTCTGGGATGTTGGTCTTCCTCCGGAGCATCTTGAATTTGTCAGTTGCACACTAGCCAGCAATGTCGCGGTGTAAGGGATACGTAGATATCCAGGGATACGTAGATATCCCCGTAATTAATATTAACATATAAAGTAACACCGCCTCTTATGGCGATCGGATCGTCCGATGGACTTACACATAGTGGGTGGCTATCTCTCTATGATTACACACGTATGTATTACTACTAGATAGTAATACATTGGTACAGTGTATTTACTGGAAGCGAAAGGGCATCGGAAGCCCTTTCGGAAACCTTATTGGTAATTTGGAGAAAGGGTCGAATCCCTTAACTATCCCGTGTTTTTCTAGCCATTTTGCCTGTCTATGAGCACTGCCGGCGTCAGAGCGCCAGGAACACGTGAACGCTTTTGTCTTTGGCGACCTCTTTCTATCCTGTTCTCCTGACATGCATCCTTTTCAACGAGTTCCTTGCACCCGGAGACTATTTGGGGATACCGGGGACTCTGACAAACCTGAATGTATTACCTAATCGGATTTTTCCTTCGTCCTCCTGCCGATATTTTTATTGATGGAGACGGCCGGCTGCGGACTTATCAGGCTGGCCGCACAGCTCGTTGCCACTAGTACTCTCTTCAGCACCACCATACTGCGCAGTATCACGACTTTCAAAGATGTACGTAAACCAACCTCCCCGACATGTACGGGTCCTCCAAGTCTAACCCGAGTTTGTCTAGGACCTCGATCGGCACTTACGTCCCGCCTCACAGGCGCGAGTCCCTCCCCCCAACCTCTGAAACAACCGCCTCGACAGTGAGCAACCCTCCTAGTAGAGCTTCATCTCCCGACCCGTATGCGAACACGCCCGCGGCGTTCAGCCGTGTTTCTAGGCGTAACAACAGCCTGAAGTCAGTTACCTTCTCTTTCCTTCCCACAATACACTTACATGTTGATAACGGTAACCAGGGACGGGAGGAAGACGTACACCTTCCAGCAGATTCGGGAGCGGATTCCCGCTCCCGGGTCGCAGACGTTCGTCCAAGCCGTCCGCAGCCGTGAGGAGAACCCAGGCCCGGTCGACCCCTTAGTACCAAAACCTCCGTGGTGGAAGACGATATGCCGTATCATGGTACATCTTGGTATGCACCCTGCTGCGCCTGAAGAGCTCTGGACTCGGGTGCATAACCGGGCCTTATTGGAGGCGAGCCTGACCTCCCAGGCGAAGATCCCGTTATTTGTCGAGCTCCTGAACCGGAGGTGGGAGTTCAAAGGCCACTACGAGATCACGCGGTATGAGATATTCAAAGGCCTGAGCGAGGAGGTAAAGGTGTTTATAGAGAGTAGAAAGGAGAGCAAGTTGTGGAAATGGCCGGAGACTGTCAATTGGAATGAGCTGCTGATGACGGATTGGGCTAGAGTGGAGCTTAGGTTGGTGGAGGATCAGAGTTTGGGGAACCCGATGGAGGGGATGTAGAGGTTGGAGTTTCTTGTGCTCTCTGCAAGCTTCGGGTTAGACTTTCTCCGGAGCATCTTAGGTTTGTCAATTGCACACTAGCCAGCAATGTCGTGAAAGCTTTATTGACCAATGGTCGAAATGATAAGGAACTCGGGTGAGCAGGCAGTCAAGCAGGGCATTTGGCTGAAATGAGGGTGGTCGTGTTGCAAACGCAGAAGGGGCACGGAGGCATATATAGGGTTATTTTTAATCACCAAATAGGAGTGTAACTAACTCCGCCGCCGTTGGAACGACGCAAAAGGAGACGGAAGCAAGGGACAATGACGTCGAGTCACCAGTCAGCCATTTCCTTAATAGGCAATCGCATAGGGGTTCTCGCCAGCGCACAACTTTTGTCATCTATACCACACGACACTGCAAAGGGTGCTCATATCTGCAGTACTTCTTATCTGTGGATGCGTCTATCTTCTCTTTCTCTCTCTCTGATTGTATATCCTATACTTGCTAAACTTACGAAGACGAGGTCTTTATCCATATCCGCAGTCACACGTCTTGATACGAGGATGGACACGCTCGCCGAGTTCCTCAGGAAACAGAAGTTTATCTTCCTACGCGATGTCGCCGCACACAACCACAGCCGCTGGTCCGTTGTGACAGGCAACGAAGCGGGCGGTGCGTCTCCCTCTCCCTCACTCCCATGCACGCTAATCCACGAGTCCGCGCAGACCTCGATAGTCAAGTGAGCGCGATCGCCTATGCCTACCTGACCACTACCCTCCTACACACTCCGACTGTCGCCCTCTCCCGCACTCCGAGAACAGACTTCCGCCTCCGGCCGGAAAACATCCTCGCCCTCTCCTACGCCTCGATCACACCCGACGACCTGGTATGCATCGACGACCTCCCCCACCCATTGCCGGGGTTCTCACGGATCGCCTTGGTGGACCATAATCGCCTTGGCCCGGAATTCGCTGCTACCGAAGCTCGGGGACGCGTAACAGGCGTGATAGACCATCATGAAGACGAGAAACTGTATCTTGGGGTCTCGCCGCGGCTTATCTTGCCCCCGGAAAGAGCTGCGAGCTGCAGCTCACTGGTTACGTCGAACTTCCGGCTAACGTGGGACCAGAATCCTGCCGACGTACCGAAAGAACTCGCCTTCCTCCTCTTGTGCACTGTCTTGATCGATACGGGCGGACTGAAGCCGAGCGGGAAGGCACAGCCAATCGATTTCCGAGCTATGGAGTACCTGCTCCCAAAGGCAGGGCTCCTTCCCTCCACAGAAGTGAACACCGCTGCACTGGAAGCGGGTACGTTACCGGACCGGGTCGAGGAGCTGTCCCAGGAACTCCTGGTCACGAAGTTCGACGTGCACGACCTGTCGACGCACGATCTGCTTAGGAGGGACTATAAACAGTACGAGTACTCGACTGCGGAGGATGAAGGCGGCTACGCGGTCCATGTGGGACTCGCGACCGTTCCTGTCAGCTTGAACGTCCTTTCCCAGAAGCCGCCTGGGATATGGGCAGCAGGAGAGGAGTATATGCGTGAACGAGAGCTAGACGTGCTCGGGATGCTCCTCACGTACAGGACGGAGAAGAAGGGGAAACACAGGCGGAAGCTCGTTTTCCTCGTCCGGCCGGGAGGGGATAGCGTATTGCTCGACATGCTAGCCAGCGCGTTGGAGGAAGAGGAGGAGCTGGAGTTGAAGAGAGAGCTGGAGTGGGAGGGGGATCTGAGAGCCCCTCCAGGAAGAGCGAGGATCTGGGATCAGGGAAATGTGAAGGCTACGAGGAAACAGGTGGCGCCGGTCGTGGGCAGGGCGTGTAAGATGTATCTGGGGTTGGAGTGATTACGGTGTTGGATTTGTGTACTTTGTACGTGTTAAAGACAATCAAAGCGGATTTGTTGTTTACGGTTGAGTGCTCGGGGATACGCAGATGATGCATTGAAGAATATTCCTGCCGGACACATGAACACATGTGTATAACCCCTTCCAGGAGTAGCCAACAACTCTCTTCATTTCTTATTACAGTCAATTGAAGGAGTGCAAGTTGTTTACCACCCTTGAGGACATGTCAGGTATATCACACTGCTGGATGACGTCATACCCACCACTTGTACACATCTCTTGCCCACAATGCATGTATACATATGTACCTACGCTATAATGTTCATGTTTGATTAATGTGAAGTATTACCGTATGGAGTGGACGTCTTCGAGGGTGTGCCGTTGACCTGGTGCATGAAGATGCGAGTGGGGCGGAGGGAACAAGAAAGGAAGGAGGAAGAACGGGCTGGAGGGGAGGCTCTGGTGCTGTGAAGTTGTGGGAGGTTGGAACTGAGGTTCAGGAAGGCGATGAGGATAAGGGAGAGGAGCTGGAGGTATAGGTGCTTGTTGAGTGCTTGACCACGCCTAGGAAACATTCATTAATGTTGTCCATTTTCGAGTGCGATCACATAGCGACACCATACGCCATATTGTATTCCTTCAATTCCTGTAGCATATCCCCCTCTCAATTCACAATTCTCATCCATCCCAATCAGCCCTCCTCATCAGCCTTCAACATCTCATGTTCCTCCAGATCAACCCTCTCTAATTCCTCCACCAACCTGCTCTCCAATCCCTCAGAAAGCGTCACAACCCCATCCGTCGTGCACACGCGATAGGTCGGCATAGGCTCATAGCTCTCCGGTACGATCTGTCCGTTCACAGAAGGAATATGTCAGGATCTCCCATGGGATTGCGGGAGACGGGGGCGTGCCTTGCCATCCTGGAGCATGACCATGCCTAGCGTATCCGCTGGCTCAGGTGCTCGATTTGGCATAGTCGGATTTCTTGCATCTTCCCACCAGCATCAGCCTAGCCCCCTTATATCGCACAGACGGAGACGCAGACACAGACGCACCAGAAATAGGCATAAACCCCTCCCTCCGAGCGAGTGCTTCCCCAGCCCAGGCGGCGTCTTCCGCAACCGAGCGTTTAAGGACCTCATGCAGCAGCTGGAGAAAAGGCGCATTTTCACGAAAGTCGTTTAGCCCCAGCTCTCCTTCTCCCTCCGCTTGTGAACCTGAGTCATATGCATCGACGGGATCGGAAGTCGTACGCGTCGACTGGAGGGCGGGTAGGTAGCCGATTATCGTTTTTGACCGGGCGGAGGCGGGCGGGGAAGGGAGGAAGGAGAGCGCAAAATGTTGCGTGGTCGGGGAGGGGAGGAGGTGGTAGTACAGTGAGGGGCGGGCCGGATCGCGCAGTGTCGTGAGGGCGGCGGCGGAGGGGTGGAAATGTCTTTTGAAGAGGGTGGGACGGAGGAGGGAACGGAGCTGTGGGAGGAGGAACATTGGTGAGTTGAGTGGTCGCGGATGAGGGTTCGTCGACGATGGAAGGTGCTCTTATGGGACATCACACACATCGCACACTGGAGATATCCTCTATAAACACGCTGCTATTCCATTGTACAGTTACATGATTACGAGGGACACACAGCATAATCCACAGCGATCAACGTCGTCGCAAGGTACAGGGCTTGCTCAACGACCGTACCTGTTACATCACGTCAGCAGACCCGTCCAACAAATCAAAAAAAGACAACATACTTCTGTAACTCCCACTCGCGGTTATCCAACGGGCAGACGTTCCTCGTCTTCAGCCAGCGGGAAATACAGTGGAAATGGAATGCGTGCTTTCAACCGGTTGTCAGTATTTACGGTATGGCACGGCACGAAAGGAAGGGCGTACGTTACAGATCCCCCAGGCGGCAGTGCACTCGTCGTTCGTCGCAGAGACCTGGTTAGCTTGGCAGTCGATACCTGCAGAGCATGTATGAGTAAGTCAGAATCAGGTACTCGGCAAGGGGCTGACGTACAGAGGTCCATAATATGATTCCTGCAGATAGCACAGTTATCCACGACGATATCTGCTTTCGTTAGCATACACCCATCACCTCGCATGCAAAGGCATACCCCATGCCCAGAGGGCGACGGCGTTCCACTAATAGCAGAAGTCAGCAAGCGCTCAGTCGGGTCTGACAAGGGAAGGGGGGAATAGAACAGGCGCACCTTCTTGACCTCGAACCTCTTTTTGGAGTTGTCCTTCGCTTGGACGTCGTCTACGTCCATGTCGGCCATGTTTACTGGGTTGAAGAAGAGAGCAGGAGGGAGGAGTTAGTGGCCGTTTGCTCAGAGAGTGGTGGTGTGGACCGCACACGACATGACTGCAATGCCGCGTCCAGGACCCCGATGTCCCGTCTATGGGGTCTATCGAGTGACTGTTCACTAGACCACCATCTCGAACGTCAACGTTCAAAGTAGTTTCCAACAACTAAGTGATATTGCGACCATAGCCTATCAGTATCTGGACGCAAATCGGTGGGTTGTAGTATTGAGTAACAAGTTTATACGTAGTCTTACATATTATGAATAGGAGTGTACTGATTGCTTATAACATAACTCACGAAACCAGACTGCAGTCCTTTACCCCCAACCACTACAATACGGCCTCTGTTATAAGCATGGCAGAAAACGATCGTGCATGGGTTGGTGTGGTGCCAGAAGAGCGCGAGCATCGTGTGGCCGACGAAGACCTCCTGCTATGTCCCAATTTGGATGTACGGCTTCTCGCGACTCTGGCAACCTGGATTGGCAGTGAAGGACCATATCTCTTTCGCGCCTTAATGGATGGCACACTTCAATGTATAAAGCCAGCCACGAGCCCTACAGATTCTGACCTTATCATCGATACTTGGCGCTCCACAACCCGACCGCGAACCGCTGTTTTTTCCGGTCGTACGAAGCGGGCAAAGGATGGAAACATACATATTTGCATTTCCTACAGCCCGGTCTTTATGCCAGACGAATCGAATGGGGATATCGCCTCCGAAATCCCTTACAAGTCATGGACCGACAACCTCGTCCTTCAAGTTAGCTCAGAGAAATTCGTCTTCCAAAACAGCAGGGATAACTCGAGCGATATTCTGGCGCTCTCTGACGATTGGTCGATTTTTCGGTTATTCAATGGGATTTCCCGCTTGCACGCCATCCAGCAGGACGGAGGTAAGGTGGTATTTCTCCAGACGAACGACTTAGTATGTGTCTTGTGTGCTTTGTTCGCCCACGCTGCATGATGACATTTTCTCCAGGAACCCACTCGGGCATGTCACATAACACAGAACCACCTTGTGGTCATCAAAGCTGCGAATATTGAACTCTTTAACCTGGGCGAGATTCATCACGCCGCTGGCCAAGTTCATCCGGAGTCGGTGGCACCATTCATGATCCACACGCTGACCAATTCCTGCTGGTCAGCAGTGATTGAGGATCCAGAACTGGTCTCGAACGCGGGGCAGTCGACGGAAACGAAGACAGGAGCGGACGACCTATTCGCATTAGTGTTCATTCGCAGTGCGACTGGTCTGACATTTCGGGCGATACTGCAAAAGTCTCGGTCGATTCAATGGTCGATATTGAACTTGCCCATGACGTCATCGTGTCGTCCTTGAAGCTTCTGTCTGCGCACAATGGGATACTGTGGCTTGAACATCAATTTACGGACGTCATGGATGTGCTGCATCCTTCTGGTACCCGACTGATGTACGCACCTTTCCGACGTGCTCCCGAGAAAGTGTGGACAATGAGCAAACCTGTTTGCGTCGTTGCTGTCGTTGCTGAGGAGGACAATGGTGTGCTTACGTTATGCGAAGATCTTATCGTCAACACGTATTTGCAGACACTGCTTGTTTATCAGCGCTTCTCCAGGCTTGCCTTCGAGCTCAAGTATATTTTCAAAGAGCCTATCTATGAGCCTTCACGGGTCAACTTCACTTTGGACGATTCGCGCCTTGTTCCTACAAGGTTGACAAAAGACGACATCACGAATAACGAGATTCTTGTTAGCCTTTCCTTCAGTTATGTTCTCCTCAGTTGCTCACTTGGTCACGTAGACTCGCTTGCTAGCCCTCCACACTCGAACGAATATTCGTCGGCCCGAGGTACCAGCAGATGTCAAGCCACTATTGGAAGAACTGCCGGCTCGGTGGGACAAGTCGTTTGAAGGTCTTGACACACGCTTTCGTGAGTCCTTCTGGGGGGGCTTGCACATCATGAGGAGAGGATTCGACCTGCAAGCAGAGCCAGTGCTCATCGCAAGCACGGATGATCTATCATCATACCTTGTCCTCTTGTGCGCCCGGACCTGGTATCTGGCCTGCTTCGAGGACAACTCAGAAGGAACAGATAATGTACAGCTCCAATATAGCTTGGACATCTCGCCGGATGAACTGCCTTCCTTACCTAAGGCGGAGGACGTCGACGTGGACACGCGTTGGCTCACCGATCCAGTTGGTTCGATCAATCTTGACCACATGCGCTCGGATGCTATTCGTCGCTTCCTGCTGAATCAGATCAAGTCAAGTCCGCACTGGCGGTCGATCGCCGCTATGCTCGGTCTCTCGGCAGAGAACTAATGCTTGTGCAGCGAGCAGCTCCTCACTCGTTTTGTAACAATACTTCTGTCATTCGTTCAACACTGGCATACGCGCAATACTATCATGCTGTCGGCGATTACCTGCCTTTACTATGCTGTGCTAGTATGTTCGTCTTCTACTCTCTTCTCGCGGCGTCTTCCACACTGTCTGCTCTTTATCCTGCGACCACTCCATCAGTTGCTGCTTTCTCCGTCTGCGCCGTTCTCACGCTCTGCTCCTGCGTCACCTTCTGTCCACCGCTTGATGTGCTACGTCCCTGGACCTGCGAACTTAGTCTTTTTCTTCCTTTTCGTCTCCTTAGCTTGACTTTCCGTACACTAGTTGAGCAGTTTACATATAACTACCGTTCGAAATCAAACTCGGCTCGCCCTCGTTGCCGTAAATGCGAGAGTTGATCCAGCCGTTCCACACATTGCAGTTTACACCAATATGATAGTCCGTAATCAACCTGATTTCTATAACAACCTAACAATTCCATAATCGGATGGCTGTCGACGTCGTCAAGCGCAAGGGTCGGTGCGGAGGCAGATAGATGACTGCTATTTCCCAGCAAGCGCTTTCATCACAACGTAATACAAGTATTCATTACCCACTCTAAATTATTGTTGGCTTGTCAAAACACCGTCATGGCAGAGCAGCGGATCCTGGGAGAACAATTCGTGGCCCAATTCAAAGAACGAAGGAGCAGTATGTCCGCTCCCCTCCTCCCAAACGCGAATCACGGTACACGTTCGCAGACATCGAGAGCCTGGCAGAGTCTGGAAAGGGCACACCGGGCGAATACGAGAGTCAAGTTACTGCCCTCCGGGCGGAGTTGACAGCATCGATGGACTTGTTGACGGGGTATAACCAGAGACAGCTGGATACTGTTTGTGGTTTTCCCTTGCTTTGAGCGGGGTGTTGATTTGTCGGGTAGCAATTGAAGGCCCTCGAGCAGAAAGTCAGGGAGGCGAAGGCCTCGGCCAAGCCGCAGGGCAAGTTCTCCTTCAAGCGAATGAAACCTGTGGCGAAGCCCGTGGTCGCTTCATCAAGCAGCTCCACCAGCGCACCCGCCACATCCAGCTTAGTTCCAAGCACATCTTCCGGTCACACCATCTTCTCCCTCTCCAACAGCTGTATAACCTTCGCATCACTAAACTCCGAACCCGGCGCCGACCTCCTCCTCTCCTCGCTTGATCACTGTCTGGTGAACCTAATACCGGCGTCAGCGGACCTTCCCCCCCCAACACCAGTACTGGGCTCCATCCACGCCCGAGCACTCCGGCACACTGTCCTCCTTCTCCCGGTCATACCCGGCAGTGTCTTCCTCGAAGGATGCACTGAGTGCCTGGTCGTCGTCGGTTGTCACCAGGTATGTGGCTGCCCCAGCTCCAGCCCAGCGGTTCTCTGACGCACTGCGCAGTTAAGAATACACGCCTCTGAGAATACGACGGTGCTTCTGCAAGTAAATTCCGTGCCGATCATCGAGCACTGTCGCGGGATCTCGGTAGGCGAGTATCCCGCGGTCTTACGAGCACTAGTACTGCAAGATAGCGGAACAACGTTTGTGAGTATCCTTTCGGAGTGTACGACAGCTCTAGTGATCGATATCATCATCCCTCCCCGTTACAGGACAGCAAGCATGCCGAGATGCAGGATTTTAACTGGCTTCAAGGTGGACAGTCACCTAACTGGAATCGAATCTCCGCGGAATCTGCGACATCATGGGACGACCGAGTGCGGAGGTTGATGCAGCAGGCACAAGGCCCCATCGCCGATACTGTTCTCGGTTTATAGCATTCTATCCGAACGTCTTGGCAGATGGATGGACAGCAGAGAATTTGCTCCAGGCGCTTCGGACACGTCGCCCGAGGCTTGGCTTGCAGCCGCGTGATGAGGGATTTAGGGCCAGCGCATACAATATCAAGAGCCGTACTATACCGCACGTTCATTCAGTGCTCCTGTTTCATTGCCACCTGCTTATCAGTTATTGATATTCACGCTCCCTGGCTCCCTGAATTAATATCGCGCTGATGCCCGTGCGCCCCGCGCGGTTATCAGTACTGCCGATGTGTGCCGTTGACCACGGGCGGGGAGCCAAGCCGGGGCGCGCCGTGACTGTCCGCGGACAGTTCCGGTTCCTATATTGGAACCCAGTCCGCTCTGGATGTCTGGCTGGGTCGGGAGTGACAAAGCCCCCTCGTATCGTGAGGCCCGAGGACGAGCTGCGATGGTCGTTCGCACGGCATTGATTGTCCAGTGGGGGATGTATGAGCCGGGCGTGTAATTCCAACTAGCAGTTCTATTAATAGTGCTACGGGGGGGGGGGAGATGGGCAGGAATAATCGCCCTTGTGTGGACGGAGTGGATGTTAATCAAGTAATTTCGCGGTATCTTCCTTGGGATGGCACGACACGAAGTGCGTAAGCGAGGCGAGATGACAGGTTCCCGTTGGAGCGAATATCTGTTCAGAGAGCATCCTGCTCCATAAGTAAAGTGAGGATTGGGCATAGTTCAATCTTGACGGTGAGGATTGGTCGGGGAATGTCGAGGTCGTCGTCAGGGACATCGAGAACGGCAGGACGGGACAGCCTTGAAGCGGATTCTGTGTGATCGTCGGGTGTGTTGCACAAGGAACTGATCTGAAAATAGTGTCCCTATATTCCTTATACGTTCTGTCGGTCCGCAATTCAAAGAGGAAGACGGAAAGGGTGGGTTGATGGAAGATAATGTCCGACTTCTCTTCCCTGACGCGATATGATCAGATTAACCATATCGGGTCTGTTCGGTGCGGTGCTGTCGGCCCTCCATCTAATCAAATAAGAGATTGTGCGACATGACCCGTGTGGCGCACCGAGGACCCCATTCACTCCCACCCCTTCTCTGTAAGGTACTTTTTGCTTCCGAGAGGGAATTCGGCTCTCTCCGGTGCAGATTTGTGAGGTGGAGAAACAAGAGCAAGAAAGAGGTGTTAGCGAAATGCACTCTCAACTCTCTTTCCGCTCTTCACCCGCGATTCCGGGGTCTCCGCCGATGGTCCCGCTTGCCGTCCCGGTTCGGAGGGGATGCCCGAAGGTGCAAGAGATTGAGGGAACATTTTATCAGATCAAGATTCACTTACAGAGATAAAATCCCCCCCTTCGCCTGGACCTCCCCTCAGGAGCGCCCTCTTGTTCTCTTGGACTTGCCCTCCCTGTTCCTTTCGCCCTCTCTCTTCCACCATCCAGGTATACATCAACAATGGGTGCTCAGGACGTTTTCTCAGTTCCAATCTTCCTCATCATTCTTCGTGAATCGATCGAGGCCGGTATCATCGTCTCCATCCTGCTGTCTTTCGTACGTTCTCCCCGGCCGATTCCCACATATCGCTAATGCCTATATGTGAAACAGGTCAAGCAGCTTATTCTTGGAAAACAAAAGGAGAGTCTCCCCGTATCGCAGCCCACGACAACACAGACAACAGAGGGCAATGCAGCGGCAGTCGCAACTACAGAGGGCTCTACTCCTCAAGAGCCAGTTGAGGAGATGGGAATGAGCGAGAAGCAACTGTATCGCAAGCTTGTCTGGCAGATCTGGCTCGGTACCATCATCGGCTTCACGATCGCTCTGTGCATTGGTGCTGCTTTCATCGCAGTTGTAAGTTTCTCCCCTCTCTACGCCGTCTCGCCCAATCTCACCATGACTAGTTTTACACCAAGCTGCAGGATCTTTGGGCTCAGACCGAAGACGCCTGGGAAGGTGCCTTCTCTCTTCTTGCCGCAGGCCTGATTCTCGCTATGGGCATCGCGTTCCTCAAGCTCGAGGGTTCTTCTGCCAAATGGCGCGTTCATCTGTCACACGCCTTCTCGAAGGGGGACGCCGATCGCTCTGGACGTGGTGGTCGTTATGCCCTTCTCGTCCTGCCTATGATCACCGTGCTTCGTGAGGGTCTCGAGGCGATCGTCTTCGTCGGTGGTGTTTCCCTGTCCGAGAGCGCAAAGGCCATTCCCCTTGCCGTCGTCGTCGGTCTTGCCTGCGGTGTTCTCGTTTGTATGTCATGTCATCTTTACGTCACATGCACGTACTCACCAGATAATAGCCTACTTCATCTACAAGGGTGGTGCTGTCCTTGCCATCCGCTACTTCTTGGTCGTGTCCACGTGCATCCTGTTCCTCGTCGGCGCCGGCCTCTTCTCTCGTGCCGTCGGCTACTTCCAGACCTTCGTCTTCAACCAGGGTGTTGGAGCCGATGTCGAGGAACTCGGAGATGGACCCGGCTCCTACGACGTCCGCGGCAACGTGTGGCATTTGACCTACGGAAACCCTGAGAACACCCAGACTGGTGGTGGTTGGTCTATCTTCAATGCCATGTAAGGTGATTTCCGCAAATTGGAAGATCAATCAATTGACGACTTTTACAGCCTTGGGTGGAACAACACAGCGACTGTCGGAAGCGTCGTCGCATACTGTGGCTTCTGGATCCTCGTCATCCTCATCCTCGGCTACCTCAAGTGGTCCGAGGGACGCGGTCACCTCCTGGGCTGGAAGTCCGCAGCGTACCACAAGCGCCAACAGCGCCTGCGCGAGCATGCCCGTGCGGAGAACGCGAGCGAGGTCGAGGACGAAAAGGCGTCGGTGGAGTCACCTGCATAAACAGATCATGTATACCGGTAAATGCTACTTTGCTACAAACTTCCACTTGCACACGGATGTATACTTAACCGTAGCATGAACTCACCGTTTCCTCTTTTGTTGCCCCGTTGGCCAGTAGCCTGTAATGACAGACAATGAACTTGTTATTTCATATGCTTCCCGTGTGTGTAGGTGTCGAATACGGATCGGGAAAATATCGTGGGAGCACAGACGAACTTAATGTTCCAACCCAAGGGCATCATGTTGCCTACTGGTGACTCGATAACTGCTGACAAAAGAAAATCGCCCTACTGACTCGCACTCCATTTCACGATTGAGCACCGAGATTGACGGATCATATTAGGCAGATTCACGGGGTTTTCAATCTAGCAGACATCGAGTTTAGGAAATATCATCAGTGAACCTGTGTGGTGGCGCTGGCAAGGGTTGACAACGAATCGTGCCTTGCACGACGCGACTCGATTTCTGCCTGACTCGTCCGTGCATGCGAAGGTACTTGTTCAACCTCGCACGGCATCACTCCTTGCACACCAGAGCCCGACTTACCACCTGTTCACCATCTGTTCGATTATCTAGCTTCTTGAAGTGCAGAAATATGGCCTCCCAAGTTGTGGAAAATGGGATATCGACCGCTCCTCACCCGGTTCAGTCGACCAGCGAGCCGGCAAAACCAGCACCACAGAATAACGCGCCTAAGCAGGCTAAGGCAGGGAAGAAGGACAAGGCTGCTGCTTCGGATGACAGGATGCCACTTGAGGTGAGTCGGTGTTCGACTGTTTTGGTGTTGGGGTATTGATGACTTTTGTAGATGAACCCTCCGCCCGCATACATGCAGGAGCGGATTGATATGTGGAATAAGCTGAAGGCGGAGCAAGATGAATTCTACGCTAGTTCGTGCTTTCTTTGTCCTGTAAAGTTCTTCTCCTCATCAGTTTCATTAGAGCAACCACGTCAAGAGATACAGGTTACCCTACCAGATGGCAGCGTCAGGAAGGGTATGAGCTGGGAAACCTCACCAATGATGATCGCCGAGGAGATCTCGAAGAGCTTGGCAGAAAAGGTCGTAATTGGCAAGGTGTGAATCATCTATCTTTGTTATATGTGGAGGCTGACAGAATATCTAGGTCGATGGGCAGCTCTGGGATCTGCACCGGCCGATGGAAGGCTCCTGCAAGCTACAACTGTTGGCTTTTGAGGACAAGGAAGGTAACTGAGCTCATTCGCTCTCTTTCTTACGGAAACTCATCAGTGGACAGGTCAGCAAGTGTTTTGGCATTCCTCTGCACACGTTTTGGGTGAAGCTGCTGAGAGGCATTATGGCTGCCATCTGTGCATCGGCCCCCCTACAGAAGAGGGGTTCTTCTACGAGATGTCTATGGACGAACGGTGTGTGGCGACTGAATCCTTGGTACTAACTCGATGTTTATGCCGTATGATGCAACAGGGTCGTTCAAGCTAGTGATTACGGCTCACTGGAAACACTGGCAAAGATGGCAGTCAAGGATCGCCAAAAATTCGAGCGACTGGTCGTGCCGAAAGAGACCCTGCTGAAGATGTTCCATGTACGCATGGCCGGCTTCTGAAATCGTTGCATGATGCTTATCCTCGCTATAGTATAACAAGTACAAACTTGAGCTGATCAAGTCGAAGATTCCGGATGGGACATCCACCACCGTATACCGTTGCGGTCCTATGATTGATCTCTGTGTTGGACCACACATCCCCCACACAGGAAAGATCAAAGCATTCATGGTGACAAAGGCGAGAAAACTAACACGAATCTTCCCGCTGGTTTCTGACACAGTTGCAGAATTCGTCTTCGTACTTCCTCGGTGATGCCAAGAACGACTCGCTGCAGCGCATCTACGGCATCTCCTTCCCGGACACGAAGCAGTTGACGGAATACAAGCACTTCTTGGAGGAGGCTGCGAAGAGAGATCATCGGAAGATCGGCAGGGTACGTCAGATAACCATGCCTGGAAAGCTGCGTCTAACTCCAGTATAGGAGCAGGAACTGTTCTTCTTCCATGAAATGAGCCCAGGAAGCGCGTTCTTCCTTCCGCATGGCGCCAGGATATACAATACCCTGCAGGACTTCACCCGGGTTCGTCATACTTGCCTGTATCACAGGACCGTTATTGATAGCCACTCTGCAGAGCCAATATCTCCAAAGAGGGTTCACTGAAGTCATCTCTCCCAATATGTACAACCATAAGCTATGGGAAAAATCCGGTCATTGGCAGAAGTACAAGGACGACATGTTCACCCTGGAGGTGGACAAGGAGCAGTTCGGCTTGAAGCCCATGAACTGCCCGGGTCATTGTCTCATCTTCGACAGCCGCGATCGCAGCTACAAGGAGCTTCCCCTGCGACTTGCTGATTTCGGCGTGTTGCATCGGAATGAAGCGTCTGGTGCATTGTCTGGCTTGACTCGAGTTCGCCGTTTCCAGCAGGACGATGCGCACATCTTCTGCATGCCCAGTCAAGCAAGTCAATTCCGCAGGAGTTTTGCTACAGTTCTGACAAATTCACACAGATCGGTCAGGAAATTGCGGGCTGCTTCGATTTCCTGCAGCATATGTATGGAACATTTGGATTCACCTTCAAGCTGAAGCTGTCTACAAGACCCGACAACTACCTCGGGAAGATTGAGACATGGGATATGGCCGAGAAGGTGCGTTAGTTGGCGCACGGCACCCTACCCTTCTCTGACTTGACGATACTCCAGCAACTTGAGCAGTCACTGAATGAATTTGTACCTGGCAAGTGGGAGCTCAACCCCGGTGATGGAGCGTTCTACGGACCCAAGATCGATATCACGATTGAGGATGCCTTGCGCCGTCAACATCAATGTGCTACCATTCAGCTCGACTTCCAGCTTCCAGAACGGTTCGAGCTCAAGTACCGCGGGCCTGAGAACGACGAGACTCAGCTGCATAACCGCCCTGTTATGATCCACCGTGCTATCTACGGCAGTCTGGAGCGGTTCATCGCTATTTTGACCGAGCATTTTGCTGGCAAGTGGCCATTCTGGCTCTCGCCGCGTCAGTGCTTGGTTATCCCCGTTGCGGTGCCTTTCGTACGTCAGGAGTCACCCTTTGGCTCCTGCCCTTATTAACATCCTCTCGCAGTTCGACTACGCTAGCGAGGTTGCAAAGAAGCTTTGGGATGCGGGTCTCTTTGCTGAAGCCGACGTTGGTCCGGAGACATTGCAGAAGAAAGTTCGCAACGCGGAAGTTGGCCAATGGAACTTCATTCTTAGTAAGCACGATCGCTCAGCACGGCTACTCAGAGTGCCTGACAAGTACTGCAGTCGTTGGGCAGGATGAGCTCGATGCCAAGTCCGTCAATGTTCGGAATCGTGACGACACCACCTCAAAGAATCGTGGTGAAGTCATCCCCTTCGACACCTTTTTGGACAAGACCCTGTCCCTCAAGAAGGAACGGCGCCTAGAGAACAAGCTCTTGTGAGACAGCCTCTCGTGACGAGTAGTATTACATTGCAGTGTAGGAAAACAAGCTGGTCGTATACGTAGGTCTATTGATGTAATACACCGGCGAACTGGCTCCGCTATTGGGACATAATGAGATCATCGGTTTGACGGTGTATGCTATACGAACGTACCAACTGCATAATTGCTGCCCGCTCCGTTGGCGGCAACGCATTCACTTGCTCCTGTGATAGCGACAACACCTGCATTAACATGGCCTGCAGAGAGGGCGCGATCAGAACGAGTTCATAGTGGTCCGAAGAAACTGCATACCCTCTGGTCCGCTGGCAACGGCGCGGCCGCTACAGCTGCAGCCGGCGCAGGTGTGGGCGGTGGGACAGCCTGTGGTACCGGAGGCGGAGGCATACCGTAGTATGACTGAGGTGGGGGATATTGCGCAGGTTGTTGTTGCATGGGAGGAGGATACATCTGTGGTTGAGGAGGCGGAGGTGCAGGAGTTGGGAGGGGCGGGGCGGCTGATTGCGTAGTTGCTTTGAGCATGCGCTGTCATCATTACATTAGTGCAAGGGGGGAGGAGCCAACGCATGAGAACACACCTCAAGAATAGCAGGATCCACAATTTTGTTCATTAGCATAGCTTGAAAGAAGGCGTAGGATAGTTGAGGATGGGCAACCAAAAGAGCTCGTGCACGATCTGGGTAGTTACCAACATAGGCCTACAGCCAATGTGAGTGACACGCACAAAACCAACGCAACCACTGGAGCTCACCTTCATCTGATTCAACGTCTGCATTAACTGCGGGTGCGGAATAGACGCAAGCGCTTGGCTGATGACGTCGAGCGAGCTCTTTCCCGGCGGTATCGACACGCCAGATGGCAAATCATTCATGAAGTTGGCAAAGTCGTTCTTTGGAGGCCCCCAGCGGCCCCCGTGTCCTGCCGAATCTGCACGAACGTCACGCTCGTTGATTACACCTTGGTGAGTCGTTTTGCCCTCCACCATCGGGTCGGACTCGGCGATATCGACACGTAGAGGACGGCCTTGAACTTCGTATCCATGCAGGTTTCGTACTGCTGACATGGCAGTCTCATGGTCTGATCATATTGTGATGAGATAAATGTTCTGGTTCAAACACAATCCACGCACCTGGGAACTCGCAGAACCCATATCCCTTTGGCTTGCCCGTTTCTCGATCAAAGACTAGACTGTGCTAACATGAGTTCTCTCAAATAAACATACTCAATATAAAGCATACCGAAACCCGACTACAGGCCCAACAGTCCGGAATACTTCAATGAGCGCTTCCTGCATGATTGGATCAGCCCAACGAGCCTCCCGAGCCTTGTAGGTCACGTACTTCAGTCATGCCATATGGAATGTTTCCCACTATTGGTCTCAAATCAGTATATTCGCCTTTGTGCGAACGACAATGATATTCACCGAAAACCACTCGTGAATCTGGATGGGCCATTTTTATTGAAAGATGTTCAGTGAGAGGCAACTTTGAAGAGTGGCGTCGAGGAGTTAAGGGTCGAAAATGAAGTTGATCTCACGCGTCTCTTTCTCTTCTTGCCAGTCACCTGATCAATGAGGATCTACGCCCGCCATGTTGTTGGGAACATCTCCGCCGCCGGGTTACGAAAGGACAACTTATTCATCTACTTTGCCTTGCAGAACATACCCTCCCTATCAGGTGTTCGGTTCGGAATAAAGGCGGGACGATATTCCGACCCTATCCGACGTCGGTATATCATCTTCGGGACACCGATGATACGATCCAATCTATTGTGGCCAAGAAGAATTCGGAGTTTCCATATTGAGACATCTCTGTGTAGAGAGCAACACTCGGATCGCATCGCAAAATCGTGAACAAATCGTCGGTTCTCAGTATGGAGTTTCCCTGTGCCTCAAGGTTTTAGAGCCATCATTTATGCTTCGCTGGCAGGCCCAAAACTTACCTCATGGAGATTCGCTTACCACTGGCATCATGCCACAGAAGACAGCTGGGTATCGAAGCCCACGACCGCGATACTTCGTTGAATTCCTTATTATCTTATCAACCTATGAGGGATAAGCTGTTGAACAAGTCTCCCTGCGCCAAGACAACGTCAAATTGTGGGCAACCTTCGCAAACAAGTCGTCTTCTGAACTCTTCGGTGTCAATAATCGCCGCTTGAAGCTGGTTTTCGATTTTTGCACCATCAGTTGCAGATCCTTGGCTCAAAATGCGTTTGCCAAGACTACCGTGAGCTGCGGTACCAGCGGGCCCCAGGCAACTTCGGAAATATTCCTCTCTAATGATCCCAGCACATGCGGAACATTCGGAATCGGCTGCTTCTCACTTTTCGGGGTCTTTGGCTTGGCGTCCGCTCCCTCTGCCCGGAAAGGTGCGCTTACTGTGGGGTGACCACAACGTTGCGGCCCTTTCCCTCTTATTGGAAGTGTTGATTATATGGCGCCACGTCGGATTCTACCGGACATCTGTCCGATGTATCTTATCTGACATGACAAGATAAAAGGAGAGACAATCTCTCGTTTTCACACCAGACTACCACCCCCGTTGTCTCCCAAACCACTCCACCACAGGATCTACTCGTCAATATGGGTGCCCAGGGTGTCTTCTCCGTTCCCATTTTCTTGATCATTCTTCGAGAGACCATCGAGGCCGGCATTATTGTGTCTATCCTGCTGTCCTTCGTATGTTCTTTATTGCCTGAATAAGACAGTATGCTCACGTAGTTATTTTCCGCAGGTCAAGCAACTGATCTTAGGTCAACAGAGCGACCGAGCCCCTGCGGCAGCTGATGCCACCGCTGATGGATCCACACCGGCAGAAAATGCATCGCCCGCGGCCGAAGGAGAGCAGCCTCGCTCTCCGAGCTCCGCAGGCAGCAATCGCCCTCCTGTGCCGGTAGACGAGATGGCCCTGACCGATAAACAGCTGTACCGCAAACTAATCTGGCAAATTTGGTTTGGCACTATCCTCGGATTTGTCATTGCCTTGTGCATCGGTGCCGCTTTCATTGCTGTCGTGAGCCATTCTCCATTCTTCTCCACGAGTTGATTATAGTGATCACCTTGGTAGTTCTATACAAAGCTTCAAGATCTTTGGGCGCAGACAGAAGATCTCTGGGAAGGGATCTTCGCTCTCATTGCCTCTGGCCTCATCCTTGCTATGGGCATCGCCTTCCTGAAGCTTGAAGGCTCATCCGCCAAGTGGCGTGTGCACCTATCCCATGCCTTCTCCAAGAAGGACAGCGACCGGGAAGGTCGCAGCGGCAAGTACGCCCTTATGATCCTGCCCCTTATTACGGTTCTCCGTGAAGGCATTGAGGCGATCGTCTTCGTCGGCGGTGTCTCTATGTCTGACAGTGCCAAATCCATTCCTCTGGCCGTCGTTGTTGGCCTCGTTTGTGGTGCGCTCGTGTGTATGTTCACATTTCGTTCGTCTGCTAGATCCGCATATTGACAAGATTTTGAAAGCTTACGGCATCTATCGCGGTGCTGCCGCCATTGCAATCCGTTACTTCCTCGTCATCTCTACCTGTATTCTCTTCCTCGTCGGTGCGGGTCTGGCGTCTCGCGCACTCGGCTTCTTCCAGGCATATGTCTTCAACCAGGGCGTTTGGAAAGACGTGGAAGAGCTCGGTGATGGTCCCGGTTCTTACCCTCCCGACTCCGTATGGCATCTGACCTACGGCAACCCGTTCAACACCCAGACCGGTGGTGGCTGGTCCATTTTCAACGCCATGTACGTAACCCACGCCTAGAATTCACCCACCGATGTTGATACCCGTTTAGCCTCGGCTGGAATAACACAGCAACTCTCGGTGCCGTCCTCGCCTACGTCTTTTTCTGGGTCTTCGTCATCTGCACCCTGACATTCCTCAAGTGGAAGGAAGGCCGCACTCACCTCTTCGGCTGGAAGTCCAAGGCCTACGTAGTCAGGCAACAGCGCTTCAAGGAGCGTGCTGCCGCTGCCGCTGCTGCTGAATCCGCGAGTATTGGCTCTGATGAAAAGGCCTCCCTCGAGTCGCCGATCCAAGCGTGAGAGCCCTTGATCTAAATGTTTCCCTTTCTATTCCATACAAGTTCCCATGCTGTGTTGTACATGAGATGTAACACGATGAAAATTGATTGATTCCACACCAGTCACAAAACATTCTAAGCCCCACTGATCACAGCATCGTCCGTTCGCAATGCATCCGTTGTTCCTGCGAGAGAGGCTGTTGCCATCCCGAAGTATCCAATGTCTCATAAGCCGCACACACGGGTATCCACTGGGTTTGAATCAACATTCATTTTGCATCACAAATTGCGACGCACAATGGGATCTCATTCAACTTGGGTACAACATCGGTCCAGACACGCCACACGGGAGGAAGGTGATACCACGAACGTCTAGATACTCTCGGAGGTTCCCTGGAGGATCACGGATAAGAGGTGAGGAAGAGGGCGATAGCCTGTGGGCTTCAACGGTTGTTCGTCCATTGCCTTCCTGCCGGCATCATGGGGATCACTGACAAAGTGGTCCACAGTCGCATCGCTCGTAAAACTTAGCGGCAAGACATGGAATATAGTGCATGACAATTGTTAATACAACAGGAAGAGCGGACAAGATTCGGAGGACACAAGTCCAACATACGTTTCTTACCTAACCAATTCATTCAACACCGTCGTCGCCGCGAACCATTCCTTCAGCTTCTTCACTACAGACCGTTCCGCCAATCACGCACCGCCGATTACACACACGTTCATCCCAATTCATCTATCCACACCGTCTTCTGTCGTCGCAAGGAAACTACATTATCAAACACCCTTTATTCCTAACGAAAAGACAGAAAGCGTTCACTAGAAGCTCGACTAATTCCTACACCAGTCGTACCAGAGTTCATTATCCCTGTCTCTCTCCGTCCTCCCCCGAAGCGCGGCCCAGCTCAGAAGTTCTCCTTGCCGTAGAAGAACCTCGTCCCGTTCGGGGTGGTGTACTTGTTTGACATGATATGGAGGTCCTTCCCAATCGGAGGCGGGCCGCAGAAGAACACACCAGCGTCGGTATCAGGGTGCTTGTCGACGATCTGCGTAGTGGTCAGCTCAAAGCATCTGAACAAGAGAGCACGTACACCCTGGAACACCCTGTCCCAATTCGGGCGGCCATAATGCGTCGGCGCGCGGAGGGAAGTGATCGCGTCCCTCTCTGCACCAACCTCCTGTACGATGATGTTGTTCATATCATCTTCCTTCATCTTCGTCGTGAGGTAGATGTTGATCTCGATCCTGCCCTCCGTGTCTTGCTCCTCGATCGCGTGCAGCAGGCTGTGGAACCATTCTGCCATGCCGAAGTCGCGGATGACCCATACGAAATAGACTTTACTGAGCCGGGTGCGCTTCTCCCGGGAGAGGTTGTTCATCCTGTACCAGATAGACTTGAGGATAGACGCGAAGGGTGTGACGCCAATACCGCCTCCGACGAGGAGGGCGACCTCGAAGTTGAGGTAGTCTTCAGAGGCAGAACCGAACGGTCCGTCGATCATGATCCGGGGAAGGACACGGTTGAGAGGCGGGTTCTGGGCAGTGCCAATTACGCGGGTGCCGTCGCCTGAACCTTTCTCGGACTTTTCCTTGCGGTCAAAGTCGCATCCGACAGCAGTGGCGAGCGCTTTGGTAAAGTCACCAACAACACGTATGTGCACGGAGATGTAATCTTCTTCCGGGGCGCTGGTTACATGTCAGAGGGAGCATATATGCGCCGAATGGAGACGTACCTGGTGAGAGTAAATGGATGCCACTGGAAATGGCTCACCTCGGGACAGTTGATGAAGATGTACTGTCCTGCCTGGGTCTTCGTGCGCTCCTTCTTGATCTGCAACTCGACGACCATGCTCGGGTGCTGGATGACCTTGCTGATATATGTGACGTGCCTGCTCCTCACTTCCCTGAGGATACGCTCGCTGACCCAGACGACCCCACCCGCGAGCCAGTACTTCCAGAAAACACCGATCGTTGTCCAGCTGCAGTATGGCGGCCTGTCGGGCTGGATCATGCAGAACATGCCATGCAGTTGCCAGAGGATGAAGAAGGGGATGAAGAGGTGGTGGGTGTACCAGAACCGCTCGAAGTGCGCGCGACGGCGTTTCTCCATCGCGTACCAAACCATGATCACAAGGAAGACGGTCATGAACCATCCTGTGAGGCCGGGACCAGTGGCGAAGTTTGCAAGCAGGAACCCTTTGAACCCCGTGTTGGTGGCCATCCCGAACCGAGCAAAGTTAACCATATGCGCAGCGATGTGCACAAAGGTGAAGAAGCAGATGCTCCATGCGACCGCTTTGTGGAAGGTGATGTTCTTGTCGAAGGGGATGATCTGGTTTAGCGGGGTGCGACGCAGCATCGAGATGAAGTTACGGCAGACGGGGAAGAGAATGAAGATGATGTCGACGTGCAGAGTGAGTGCGGCAGAACGGGCGATGGCTGTATGCTCGTCAGCACTGTTCCAATGTGTATGTAAGGAACGCACGATAGGTAACTCCGAACGTCGCACGGGCATTGGTGAGGTTATCCTTGAGCTGGTAGTTAAACAATCCAAAGAGGAGGACGATGATATGGAGGAGGACAAAGACGCCGAAGAACATCCTCTTCCCGCCCTCGTTCACCATCCACACCTTGATCCTGTCAATCATGCCCCATGCACCCTGGGGCCCTTCGCCCGACGCCCACTGAAGGGAGCGCATGAGGGGCTGGATCCTGTCCCGCTCCACCTTGTGTTTCGCCGCGTGCGCCGCCAGCGGCGCAGGTGTGAGGGGGATGTTCGTGTCCCCCGCGGATCGGGCGGGCATAGTGAGTACCTGACCGTCACCGCGGTACGGGAAGATAGAGTCGGGAGGCGGAGAACGGTCTTTGAAGTCCATGTCGCTGACGCGAGAACGCGACCTGCCGGGGAGAACGAGGGTTTTTGTTGGCATTGTTACTTATAGATACTGTTGAAATGGGCCGCCCAGCGGCAAAGGAGTGAGAGTAAGTAAGCAGAGAAGGGGGTATCGGCACCTCTTCGTCGACGAACGAGGGAAAGGGACGAAAGAGTAGAAGCGGGTTGACCGTGTATTCATGTACTTTTCGCCCTTTGACTCGTAATATTCGAGAACCCATCGCCGTCGTCGTTCGCATGGCTGACAACGACAACAGAAGAAGGGACAAGGACGTCGCGACTGCCGGAGAGCAACCATATCACTGCCACTCTCACTCCCTCTGGCAACGGCCCCCGGCTGCTTTGACAACTTGAATATTGCGCAGCTAAAGGGATAGGATATCATTCTAATTCAGTGTTCATTATCCATCTGAGGAGAGAATAAACGAATCCACAAATGGCACCACTTCCACCTTGGATACCACAATCATCCAGCGCTCATCGTCCAGCTGCGCAGTCACTCACCGCAACCTCACGCCAATCATATCAACAGGAACGGCGATACCTCACCTACAGGGCTAGACTAGACCCACACCCGCAAAAAATCTGGTGCGGATCATTGGCTGATCAGAATGCGGAGAGGTATTTTGGACCGCAAGAGTTGGATGAACCAAGCGAGAGGATAAATAGCCTGAAAGTAGCAGATGGTTATAGCCTCTGTATCTGAAGAAGTGTCTGATCCGCCGGGAACTTGCTGCCCAACACTGTTGCTACGCACTGGGGTAGATCGATGGTCTATTCATAGTGCTTTCGTAGGTTTTCATCAACTCCTCTGATGGTCGTATTGTTGATGCTGACGATTACGTGCAGGACGTGCGTAGACGCACTGATGCTTCCCAGCTGTATTTTAAGCAAACGATCTCCTCTAATGGTTGATACAAATCCAATTTTATAGTATGGTAACCCTCATTCGAGTGACTGACATCGCGACACGACGAATCTTCATCGAACCACCTCTGTATTCGTATAATGCCCTGCAACCAAATGGAATCAGAAATCTTTGTTGAACATACTAAGTGAGAAAGGAACATGAACGGTATACAATCTCTTTCTAATCAGACGCAACCCTCCTAATCGTCCTCCTCTCTCGATCACCCACGACCTTCACCTGTCCCTCGACCTCCAACCCCCTAACGACCTCGGCAAACTCTGCCTGGTCAACCTGCACACTACTCTGCTGACCCAACATCCTCACCGCCTCTGTCCACCTCACCCCCCGGCCCCCGGCTTGGGAATCCAGCAATGCGAGCACAGCACGGCGCAGGTCTCCCTGCATCCGACGCTGTTGTTCCCCTACACCGGTGTTGATGAGCTCCATGTCGATCAGGCCTGTGCGGGGATCGGTCGCGCTCGTACGGAGCGCTTCCTGCATCAGCCTGTTCCCCTCTAGGACATCTTCCACTTCTACCTGGTCGGAGAAGCGCATCCGCGCGTGCGCTTCAGAGAGGCGGATCATACTCTCCAACTGACGGGTCGTGGCTGTTATCCTGCGCTCCCCTGAACGCGGGTCTTCACCCAGCTTACGGAGGTCGACATAGGCTCGGACAAGGGCTTCGGAGGCCGCAGCAGTGATTTGAGGATGGATCTTCGAGCGTGCGTAAGAGATGTAAGCTGTAAGGAGTTCCACGGGCTTCAGAGAATCAGGCTTTGTACTTTCACCAGACTAGGAACTTACAATAATATCCGTTCCTCCCGTCTCTGGCGCATCCTCAAGATACAGGCCAACAAGATGTTTCGCCAACCTCCGATCCGCAACTTCGTCAACTTTATCAAGCACGAGGTACAAAAGGTCAAACCGCGAGAGCAACGTGGGGGGCAAGTCGATATTCTTCGTTATCGGCCACTTGACGTTGTACCGCGATCCGACGGGGTTGGCAGCGGCGAGGATAGAGGTCCGCGCGTTGAGGGTGGTGATAATCCCCGCTTTGGCAATCGAGACCGTTTGTTGTTCCTGTTCCATCCTCAGCTCCTGAGCCCAGCCACGGAAAGGGAGAGCTTACCATGACTTCGTGCAGAACGCTCCTGGTAGAGTCGGACATCTTGTCGAACTCGTCAATACAGCAAACCCCGCCGTCACTGAGCACAAGCGCTCCAGACTCGAGAACGAGCTGCTTCGAGTCTGGATCGCGGGTCACATATGCTGTCAGACCGACCGCGGAGGAGCCTTTCCCAGAGGTGTAGACACCGCGAGGGGCAATTTTATGCACATACTGCCGCTTGTCAGTAGTGCTTCTCCACCTCCGAGGAAGAGCTTACATGCAAGATCTGACTCTTACTCGTACCGGGGTCACCAACAAGCAAAACGTTAATATCCCCCCTATACCTCGGCCCTCCCCCTCCACCACCCCTAGTGATACTCTTATTCGTCCCCCCAAACAGCTGGAGCAAAATCCCCTTCTTCACGTCGTCCATCTCCCAAATACTAGGTGCCAAGCTCCGCGCAAGGACGTCGTAAATATCCGCTCGGCGAGAGAGCTCAAGCACCTTCTCCTCTATTTCTGCCGTCCTGGAGAGACCGTCCACGCCCGCTTCTGCCCCTGCCGCAGAACCGGCCGCATGTTCCGCCTCGTCGGCTTCTTCCCCTCCTACGCCGATGGCCCCAGGGATACGCCCCTCGCTCCGCGTCGACTGGTCGTATCCCAGGCGTTGCGCGTTGGCTCGCTTGACGTGTACGATATCCAAGTAGGTCTTGAACAGGGACTTGATAACCCGCTGACGGGGGTTGACACGCACCGGGATGGAACGGAAGATGCCCGTGACGGTGAGCCTGTCTCCAGGCTTGGATAGGTCGACAAGCTCGTCATACACGCAGAGGGAAACAGTATGCGGTGTCTGGCCATCAGGAACCTTGTCTGAAGCAGTCTTAGTGCTAGCTCTAAACGTATAAGACGCATATGCACATACCAGGCGTCTCCTGTAGCCTTATAATCTGCCTATCCGCGAATTCACTCCGATTATGGATGAGACTCATAGTTCCCAAGCTCTGGCAGACGTCCCGCGGGCACCGGGAAGGCTCTTCGATCCTCCCCCGATCGATTTCCACCTGCACGGTATGCGAGCAGATAAGGCAGCGGAAGAACGCTTGCTTCATATCTGGTATGATGGGGGTCGCGCGGATGACAAGGCCTTTGATCGAGACGAGCTTGTCGGTGTCTATACACCGTGAGTAAGTCTCCCCTCTCAGTAGGAACATACATACCACTCGGGTTCAACTCGCGCATGTTGACAGCATCGATACCGAACGGCCTGACCTTATACACCTTCCCCTCGATCTCCCTAATCTCCTCCTCTCCCAAATCCCCCTCCATACCCTGCATTCCATTCTCCTTATCCTCAGCAGCAAGGGATATCATCGCGTCCTTCAGCGCCGTATCCATAACAGGGATGATTTCCTGGGGGTACTTCAACAGCTGACTATGCAGTTTCCTGGTCGACGGCCAAGCGAGCAAGTTCTCCGCGTCCAAGTTGAGGTTTGTCTGTCCAGTAAGACGCATCTTGCGCAGATAAGTTTGATACAGAGGCACTTCCCCGTCCTCGGGGTGGGCGAGAGGGGGGTGAGCAATTCCCCTTGCAGCATCGTGCGCCCTCCGATACTTGGGCTTAAACTCGCGCAAAAACTCCGAAAACGTCTTCATAGCCTCCATGATACTGACGTTCGTACCCCACACCACGCTGGTAACATCGTCAAACCCGCTGGACGCGGTTTGGGCGTTGGAGAGGTGCGGTTCGGGTGCGGCGGACGAAGGAGGGTATAGCTGGGAAGAGGGCTCGTGTGCGGGCGTGGCAGGCGTGGCAGGTACGCGGGAGGCGCGCGCGTGGGCTTGGGCTTGAGACAGCAGGTGGGGAGAAGAAACGGAGTGGATGTCCCCTCTCCTTGCGCGCCTTTGCGTAGGCGTCTGATCACCCGAGCCCTGTGCAGCTGGGGACCTGTAGAGTGTCAGAATTTTCACACGCGAGTAGTAGAGGGGACAAACGAAGGAGGGAAGAACAGCGGCTCTGCACTGCTAGTAGGCATCTGGCTGCCTCTAGGCGTCCTCCCCGGGCTCGAACTCGCGAACGCCAGTGGGCTGCTCGTCATCCCTCCCCTCGGGCGGTTCTCCTTCCCTGCCAGAGCACGACGGGCGAGTAAGGACCCTGCAGGAGAAGAGGTGGGCCTGGAACGCTGGGATTTGGCGGGAGAGGAGGAGGGGAAGAAGAGCGGCTCTTCTTCTTGTTCTGGGGGAGCCATGTCCACGTCCGACTCTAGACGGTAGTGAGGACTCGAGGACATCTTATCCTAATTATTGTAGATGTTTGAAGCAAGTATTTGTTTGTTAGACTTGGAGATGACCGTCAAGAGCAAGTTGTGCAGAGCAAAGAGATGGCCGTCAAGAGCAGGGTGTGCAGAACAGAGAGATGACGAGCAACGAACGCGACGCGACGCGTCCAACATGTCAGCACAGCCACTTACGCGACCTCGGCACATTCCTACATTCTTCCATTAGTTTCTATTTAGAACGTCCTTCCACGTACTACAGAGCACAAGAGGACAAGGATATGTTGTAGAGCAATTGGTATATTACCAGCCCCGCTAAAACCAGAGAAATGAAGAAAACCTAAAGGAGCGACAGTGGGCCCTTGCATTTATACAAAGGGCGTCAAGAGACGAAACAAACACAGCAAGAAGTGAACTAAAGTGGGAGACTAGGAGTATGGGAGGAAGCAGCGCGTGTCGATCGGTCGTACAGCCATGCAGAGCATGCGGGAAGGACCGGCCCTTCCCCCGCATGCTCGAGTCCGTTTTCTCTTCTGTTCTGGGCGACCTACAGGGACAGGGCAAGGACGATTGCGGCGAAGAGTGCGGCGCCGATGTGGGTTGCCGAAGAGGGAATAGAGATGCGAGGGAAGGCGGCGCTCTTCGCTGCCGCGGTGGCGTTTGTCTTTGCACCGCTGGCGGTAGGGGAAGGGGTGTTGCTCGCTGGGTGCGTTGACGTCTGCGAAACGGGGGCAATGCTCGACGCGCCCGGGACAGCGGCAGCACCAGTAGCACCATTAATCTGCGCCTGGACGCTGGCATTGAACGTCCCCGTCATACCGGTCATCGTGAACCTAGCAGAGAACTGCTCGTAGGGATAGGTAGGGTTCGTGGTGTCCTTGACAGTCAAAGCGGTGAACCGGATGAAGTAGGCGTTGCTGTTAGGCCCGATGGTGGGGTCGACGGTGAACTGGATCGATGCGGTCGTGGCGACGTTTACACTGCCGATGATCATCTGGAGAAGGGTTTGCTGTTGGCTGTTTCCCTACACACAGACATGTGAGTGAAATCGCAGAATCAGGGTGAAAAGGTTGCATACAGCGTAGATTCCCACGCTCGCATTACCGATCTGCGTCAAGCTGGGCGAAGTGCCATCGTCCTCCCAGGAGATGGTAGCTGTCTGACCGCCGGTGAAGGTCGTGCTCGCTACGGGGTTGGTGGCATAGATGGTCGCAAGCGCAGTTTGGGCCGCGAGGAGGAGGGCGAGGACGGGTGTGAGGCAGATGGACTTCATTGCTAGTTGTTGTTAGGGTGGTGTAATGTAGGTTTTCTTCTTTGGGGGCGATAAGGAGAGTAAGAGTAACTGGTGAAAGAGCGACAGTAGCTGATAGCTAAACGATGGTCAAGAGGAGGAGGAGGAGGAGGAAGAAGAAAGCGTGTAAGAATCTGCGAACAATCCGAGACGGGGATGAAGATGTGTTTGTTGTTAACCAGACCGCTGGATGGGTCACCCTGACCTTATACCTAGCGGAGTTCCAATTCTCCTTGTGGTGGAATGTATGTAATTTTTCTCCCGTGGAACAGCACACGGAAACGGAGTTGTGCCTGTCACATGTCACACAATGTATGCACACCGTTGCTATTCTTGGCGTCGTAAGTTATTTGTCCATTTGTACCTCCAATCCTTCATGTATGTACATCCTCTACTTTCATCCACTATACCTGATAGACCACCTCACACCTTCTTCTGCTCTTCACCAACCTTACCCTCAGCTACAACAGTCCCATCCAATTCCTTCACAACCTATAAATATCCGTCCATAATTAGCATCTTCTAAAAATAAAACATACGTGGAAACGTCACATACCTCTTCCTGAAGCTCACGTAGTCGTGCCTGATCCTTGCCGATAAGGCTCACCGTCACACCCACTCTGAAATCCGGGTAACTGCCGACCCGAATCCCCTCAGCCTTGGTACGGTTCGCCAACTCCGTGAGGAACGGAGCTATGGACGATTCTGGGCGACTGCGATTCCCATCAGTTCTGCCCACAAGAGGAGAAGACTAAGAGAATCGCACTTGGTGTGGATGAGGTGCCGGAAGGGACGCTCGCTCGACGGCGGGAGAGGGAGATACGGCGTTAGCCCCATGAGCATCTCGTTGAATAATCTCGGTATGCCCGGGAAGATGCACAGCTTCCCTTCCAGTCTCAAGACTGGCTGTTTACTAGCATAAGCAGGTCTGATCACGAACTTCCCATAAGTATACGCACCACCCATAGGTCCTCATTACAGAACAGCACCTCCCCTCCGCTGGGAAACAGTGCCATCCTCAACCTCGCAGTCTTCTGCTCCTCAGTCTGCTTGCTCACGTCATACCTCCCCTTTGAGAACTCCGTCATCCGTCTTATACATTCCTGGTCATGTACGAGGTCTTGCTGGAAAGCTTTGGCCAGGGATTGGTAGGTGATGTCGTCGTGCGTGGGGCCTATACCGCCAGAGGTGATGACAAAGTCATACAAGGAGACCATCCGGCGTGCGGCTTCGACACTTTACTCCACGGACCAGGTCAGCTAAATGGGACGTATGGGAAAAGGCAGGCGCACATGTCCTCCTCTTCATCAGGCACAACCTCGATCCGCTTCACCTCGATCCCCAAATCGAAACAAAACTTTGCAAACGTGTTCGAGTTCTTATCATGCGTCTTGCCATTCAAGATCTCGTTCCTGCCCAAGCTCCAGCTCAGCTGCCGATAACGTCGGATGGGGAGGAGGACACACCCGATGATCAAGCACCCAGCAGTACGGATGAACTTGCCTTCTCCTAGAGGGTTAGGCGGAATAGGCGTGCGAGGAAAGGAGATTTTTGGCGGCTCGGGCTTAGGAACCGGGGGCTCGACGGCGGGTTCTGGAGCAGTGGACATCTTTCGTGACAACAGTAGGACAGGAAAAGGGAGAGGACGATACCGACAACACTGGAGGTAGGCTAGAGGCAGTTGACGGAGCTGCATCCAGCAGCGTCCAAAGGAGTGTATAGATGGAGGTAAAGGTTGCTTTGTCAGAGGGATGGGATGAGACTGGCTGGCGTGGGAGGATGAGGGTTCGGCCGATGATAATATTTATCGCCATCTAATCTCATTCTTATCCTAAATAATACACCTCACACTGCTTCATCCCTTCGATCTCCAGCAGGAGCAAGCGGCACCGTTTCGTCCCTCTTCTCCTGTCTCCCCCAATCTTCATCCACAGCAGCCGTCATATTCAGCTGCCTCATCCACAGACTAGTCACCAGGCCTAGACCACACAGCCCTGCCGTGATCTTCCACAACATTGCCAGACTTGCGGAGAAGGCGTCGCGGACTTCGTCCTGCAATGGCTGGGCCAGACTGGGGATCTGTGGGATGGCAGCGTAGGCGATGTCCACCCCCTTGGGGAAGAGTGTCCCGAATACCGGGGGGAGGAGACGGAGCAGCTCGTTCTGCAACACCGCAGCGCCTATAGTGACGCCGAAAGTGTTTGCACCATCATGCACAAAGGATAGGAAAGCGAGGGCGTTCGCATTCTGGCTCGCGGGCTGGGGGGCGAGCACAGGGAACTGCGTGCTGATCCAGAGGACGCCCAGGCCTGTGCTCGTGAGCACTTGATAACCCACCCAAGCGGCCGTACTGCTGTCCTTCGTGAGGGTTGACTGTAGCCCGAAACCGATGATGCACACTACCCAGGCAGCGACATTCTGCGTCACGTAATGCTTTGTGACGGTTATGCTGAGCCCGGCACCGATCGCGAAAGGTGCAGTCGTGAATGCGGTCGGGAAGAGCTGGATAGAAGATCCCAGAGGGCTGGAGAGCATACAGCTTTGGAAGAAGACGGGGAGGTAGTAGACATGCAGGATTGAGACCAGGCCGTGTACGAAGGCGCCTGCGAAACCGGACAGGCTCGTGCGGTTGGAGATGAGCGACAGGGGGACCATAGGTTCCCCTCGCATGAGGAAGGCTTCGTAGATCAAGAAAAAGACGACACCGACCAGCCCGATTACGAGGGGGACGATGATCTGGTACGACGACCATGGGTGGTCAATCCCTCCCTGCGTGAGAGCGAGGATCGCTGATGCAGCAGCACCAATGATGATTGTGTTCCCTCTAGTCCTTGTCAGAGCTCCCCAGCATAAACACAGAAAGGACTCACATCCAATCCACCTGCCTGAGCTTTCGCTTCCACGATCCAGGTGGTCGCTTAAGCCGCAGAAACCAGGCAACCATGCCCGCTGCCCCTGCGCACAGCGGTAGGTTCATCCAGAAGAGCCATCTCCATTGTCCTGTCTGCGCGAGCGCAACTCCAATAGGCGGCCCCAGCACACTCGTCACCGCCCACACGCACGCCATGATCGCCTCGTATAGCCCTCTTTCCCTGAGAGGCACGAGATCCGCCACGACGATATTCGCGAGTGCAAGCATCCCACCTCCTCCTATGCCCTGCACTGTCCGTCCTGCGATGGCCGTGTTCATGTTCTTCGCTGCACCTGTCACGACAGAGCCGATGCTGAAGAGAGCTATGAACCCCTCGAGCGTCGTCTGTCTGCCAAAGACGTTCGCGAGGTTCCCCGGGAGCGGTACAATTGCTGTAGAGGCGAGCGCATAGGCGGACCCGATCCAAACGAAGGATGTTGACCCCGGGAGGTCGGATACGATCGTTGGGAGAGCAGTTGCGATACAACTCAGGTCGAGCGCTGCGAGCCAGTTACAAACAGCGAGGGAAACGAAGATGATCCAAAAGCCTAGGTCGGGCTTGAATTTCCCTTGAAGGATATTGCTTGATTCGAGCGCGGCAGGCTCGTCTTCCTCGACAGCGGCAATGATAGTGGCGGGTGTTGCAGTTTCGCCATTGGTCTTGGATTCCTCGTCGACGGTCGTATTATGTGTGGCACCGTAGCTGGGCACAGGAGACGACATGGGCGCTGTTCATGAGCGCGACCATCAGAGAACCCAGAAACTGCAGGCCGCTGTTGTCGGTGATGAACGGACATGAGGGCGTTGCTGCGGCGCGGGAATATCATGATGAAGTGAGCGACAACAGTAAGCGCCAAGGGATTTCGCATCATTATCGATCTCCCACGATTCCCTCACATCATTCCAGGCGCCTCAGATGGTCATTTCCTCCCACTGGTATAGAACACTTGGCAAGGAATATATCTTCGGTGGGAATAACCACTTGAGCTCACAATGTATGAAATTCTCGCTTTCTTCAGCATCAAGCTTAAGCTATTTCCTCTTCCACATTCGGCTGCTCCTGACTAGCAGGAGCGAGCGGTACTCTTTCCTCCCTTTTCACTTCCGTTCCCCATTCCTCATCAACTCCTTCATTCATCTTCAACTGTCTCATCCCTACGCACGTGAGCAGACCGAGCCCCCACAACCCCGCCGTGATTTTCCACAATGTAGACAACTCTCGGCGAATGCATCGCGCTCTTGGTCCTGTAACGGTTGGGGCATGCGAGAGATCTCAGGGATGGCAGCGTAGGCGATGTCTATCGTTGCGGGAGACTTTCGCTGAACGTAGGTGGGAGAAGGCGGCGCAGTTCGTTCTGTAACACGGCGGCACCAATAGTCACCCCGAAGGTGTTGGCAGCTGTGTGGAGGAAAGCGAAGAAAGCAAGGGCGTGCGCATTCTTGCTCGTGGGTAGAGGCGCTAGGACCGGGAACTCGGTGCTGATCCAGAGGACGCCCATGCCTGAACTGACGAGGACTTGATACCCTACCCATTGCGCCGTGCTGCTGTCTTTATGGAACGTGGAAAGTAGGGCAAAGCCGACGATCGAGATGATCCAAGCGGCAACGTTTTGGGAAACGTAGTGCGAGGTGACTGCAACACTGACACCTGCTCTGATGGCAAATGATGCGATCGTCAGCGCAGTCGGTAGTGACTGGACGGAAGAGCGTAGAGGCGTGGCGAGCATCGCGCTTTGGAAGAAGACAGGGAGATAGTGCAGCAGAAGGATGGACACGAGTCCGTGGACCAACGTTCCAGCGTATCCCGAGAGTACGGTGCGATTCGATAACATCGATAGCGGCACCATCGGTTCCCCGACACAGAAGAAGGCTTCATATACCAAGAATATCACCATGCCGAGGAGACCGATGATAAGAGGTACGAGGATCTGGTAGGATGACCAGGGATGGTCGACTCCACCTTGAGTAAGAGCGAGGATGACGGATGTCGCGGCGCCCATGACAATCGCGTTGCCACTACGACATGCTCAGCTCCCTCATCGATTTTGTGAATTGGAAAGATATACATATAGTTCACTCGTCTTAGTTTTCTCCTCCAACTTCCTGGCGGTCGCTTGAGCTTCAGGAACCGCCATACCATGGCTGCTGCTATCCCGCAAAGTGGCAAGTTCGCGAAGAATATCCATCTCCACTGGCCGACCTGAGCGAGTACTCCACCAAGCGGTGGTCCCGCCGCGCTAGCTACGGCCCAAATACCGGAGAGGAGGGCTTCATACAGGCCACGTTGACGGAGTGGGACAAGATCCGCGATGATGATATCGACAAGGGCGAGCATTCCCCCAGCACCAAGACCTTGGATCGTTCGACCAGTAATCATCGTTTGCATGTTCTTGGCTGCACCCGTAACCGCCGAGCCAACTGCGAACAAGGCGATGAAACCCTGCACAGTTGCCTGCCTGCCGAAGAGCTGAGCGAGGTTCCCAGAGAGCGGGAGTATGGCAGTGGAGGCAAGCGTGAATGCGCTCCCTACCCAGACAAACGAGGTGGACCCAGGGAGGTCAGAGATGATAGTAGGCAGAGCGGTGGAAACGATTGATAGGTCGAGGGCAGCAAGCCAGAGTATGAGTGCCAGGGAGAGAATGATGATCCAGAACCCAAGGTCGGTCTTGAAGTCCGCTGGCGGCGGCGGCATCTCGTCGACATCGGCATCGGCGTCGGGGACGGTTGTGACGACCGTCGTACGCTCGACCGCTGTCTTAGGCTCTAGGGCAGAAGTTGAGGTTGACCCATAGTCAGGATGGGTCACGGCGGACATGATCAGATCAGGTCCTGCAGATGGAGCGTTGCCAGCAAGAAAACCTCCAGATTATACTGGGGTCGAACCTCGACGTAGCAGTCCTTGATTGAGATCGTCAACAGAAGAATACAGCACCATCCAAGTGACTGCTGCGGCATAACATTATGTCACGCTTGGCATAGAAGTCGGTGATAAGAAACGCCGTTCGTACCGGGGTTGAGAATACTTCGCATTGATGATTACAATTAACAATCCCTTCGGCACTGTCCGGTGCTAGAAATTCGCCCGGAATTGCACAAGAAATGAATCACAGCTGAGACGCCTATCGTACCAGGAAGGAAAAGTACCATGATGGTCGTGTCGTATACCCGAAAGCAAGCCCATGGTCAGGAAAGTTGAAGGGACAGCCACGCTGGCAACACGCACGACTAGAAGCAGACTATAAACAGTCACCTCTGCCCCCTATGACTTCTTCCTGCTCACTCTCACTCTCCTACATATACCCACCGGTGATATCCTTGGCTGTACACTTGGTCACATAGACATCAACACGTGTACATTTCCTGAATTACTTATATAGCAAGGGCGAATTTTGTTCATCCAAAGTCGGCTGGGCCCGTATGGGCCACGGTATCGATAACAGTGATGATGCCGACTCGGTGCTCAGCCTATCGGACAAGGTATCGTCTCTGTACGTTTCTCAAGCTCCCAGACTGCCTTAGTTTGTTCAATGCTGTCGCAGGAATTTGAACTTCAAGACCAGCGGCGAGGTCGACAATCACATCTCCCCGCAGCTGCCTGATCTGCCCCAGATCACATCCAAAGAAATCCTAACTGAGGCTTGTCCTATTCCTCCGTGCTTCTGAATAATCTTCTAACTCCTACCAGGTGTTCATGCACCGTTCTGTTCTCGCACGCCCAACAGCCCTATTTGAAGACAACCCAGAAGAGCTTTTCCACGATAACGAACGTCTCGAACACTTGGGTGATGCGGTCGTTCAACTGTGTGCTACGATGTTAATCCGTGAAATTTATCCAAGATTACGAGTGGGACCTGCTAGTGTGCGCCATTGTCGTGACTGTTGCTTCGATCCGTGCTGATATCGCGAGCAGAAAGTGAGGACGAGGGTTGTGAACAACGTCGCACTTGCGAAACACACAGAGGCCTATGGTATGACGCAAAAGTTGCTCGTCTCGCACGCACAGGAGCGACAGTTACGCAAGTCCGTCTCTGTGCAGGTGCGCCTCGAATCTCTCTCCTCGGTTTCTGCCCCTGCTTACTTGCCTGCAGGGTGACACGTTCGAAGCGTACGTTGGTGGGTTGTATCAAGAGAACAACTACGACCTCGGGCCAATCTACAACTGGCTCCGTCAGTTGTTCGAACCTGTTGTACGCGAGGCATATAAGCAAGAGCTGGAGGATCACGCGGTTACGAGTGGACAGCCGTGGGCTGCTACTGAGGCCCCGACGGAGACTGCGATATTCTCCTCAGCAGCGTTAGCTGGGCAGAGGACGCAGTCTCTTCCGGTTCCTCAGCAGCAGAGCACAGCGGGTAGCAATCTGCCCGTAGCACCCCCGTCACCGGCTCTCACAGCCATCTCCAGTCTTGCCTCATCCTCTATTGGGACATCCGATATGAGTTCGCCGATTGCCTCCAGTGTCTACTCTGCATATCGCCCCTCTCTCAGCTCAATCAGCTCTGCTCCTCCCTCTCCCTATCGTTTCCCACCTCCTGCTCCGTCCCGCGTCGAGTCCGGTCAACTATCTTTCTTCAACCAATGTCTTATCCAACGTGGGAAGACTGTCAAGTGGGATTTCGACGAGTGCGGAGGAAACAAGACGACTCCTCTGTGGGCCGTGGTAGCGCGCGTGCCAGATGACAAGGGGAAGCTCGAAATTGTCGGGGCCGCGCAAGCTCCTACGAAGAAAGCTGCCAAGAATGAGGCTGCGAGGCAGGCGATCGCCAAACTGGGATATGCTGTAAGATCCAGCTGTTGTTTCATTATGAGAGGTCGGGGTGGGCTGATGAGGCATAAAGTAGATATCGTTCACCCGTTTTTGGCTCGAAGGATCACCAATTTCCTGTATTCTAGTCTGATCTGAAATGTGGTCTATTCGCCCTCCCGGAACGCCAACCCCTCGATGAAGAGTTGGTGGATAGAGCCGAGATAGTTCACATCTCAGGCCTGATCACAATGCGAATGTCTGGTGATCATTTTCTTCATTTACTATCTTGTGTTGTTCATTGATTCTTCATCATACGGGGGATGTTCGTCTTTCGTATGATGAGGGATTTCATATGCTTATTTATTCTTTCCTTCTGGTAATTGCAGTCGAAATTGTTTTGTTGGCTTTCGGGATGTTCTGACATGCTCCGATCATCGTGAAAGCTGACGGGGCAATTTTCACTGCGATTTCCCGATGTTTGGACTGATTCGGTCGACCTTGCTCGTTGGCTTATTCTCCGGATAATCCAATGAACAGGTATAGCTTATATGTTCGTGTTTACCGCACGGAGGAGATGCTCCTCCAACGAGTAAGCCGTACACCCACCCCCCTCAGTGTCCCATTGTAGCTTATGCCTTAGTATCATAAAATCCTAAAAAAAATAGTTGTTTGGAGCCATAATTCTTGCACCCTTCCTTATCTAGACTTCTTCCAATTATCCACACGTACTGGTCAGATTCGGACCGTCACTCCAGACTCGGAGGAGAGGAGCACGCGACACGTCCTCGAGCACACAAGGACAACCAAGTGGACCGGACCAATACCCGGTGGTCGCCATGCGTCCCGACCTCAATAGGTGAGCGCCCCACCGCGAGCGCCGTATCAGTACTGGCTTGGTCACTACTCCTATTCTATATCCAACCAAGCAGGTCTGCTTTGCTGTCCTCTTGAACTTGAACCTCCACCCCCAACTGTAATACTGGGACGCTGCTCTTCGAGGACAACATTCATGTCGACCTCCACTACGTCCAAAGTTGCCATCATCACCGGTGCCGAGTCTGGAATTGGTCGGCAGATCGCCTACGAACTTGCCGAGCGTGGATATGATATCGGTGCTACATGGTTTGATTCTCAGGAGGAGGGACAGAAAGTTTGTGAGCGTGTACGCGCGATGGGCAGGCGGGCGGAGTTGCTGCATCTCGACCTCACCGTCCTGCCGGATTCCGAGAGCCTGGTGGACGACTTCATCAAGCTCTTTGGAGATCTGGATCTGCTAGTCAACTGCGCTGGAGTAGGACGCAGAGGGACCATCCTCGAAATCGACTGGAACGACTGGCGCCGCACCTTCTCGATCTGCGTCGACGGACCGTTCCTGCTCTCTCAACGTGCTTGCAAGCATTGGGTCGCTCACAATCGCCCCGGAGTGATAATTAACATCACCTCTGTGCACGAACACACTCCCCACCCACGCAGCATGGCGTACAATAGTGCGAAACACGCACTCGGCGGGATGACCAAGACGCTCGCGGTGGATATGGCCAAGTACGGTATCCGGTGCGTCGCCGTCGCTCCCGGGATGATCGCCACGGCTTCGAACGGGATGGACGAAGACAAGTCCTTCGAGTACCTTGTCCGGGGCTTGCCTGCACAAAGGCCCGGTCATCCGAGGGAGATCGCAAAGCTCGTCGCGTTCCTGGCGAGCGAGGACGCTGGGTATATTACGGGCACCTCCTTTGCTGTTGGTGCGTCCTTCCTATCCTGAAATACCTAGTCATCTCTTCTGACACAGTCTATTAGATGGAGGCTTCCTTGTTACCAATGCCCAGTTCCCTCCGCCTGGACTGCAGGTCGAGGAGGGCGGAAAAGAGGTCCCCCACCCCCCTTGGCATTAATCACTCGATCTATGTCATATCAAATCTGAATATATGTACGTGGAGTCTCTTGATTATGTATTTAGCAAGGAAAGATCAAACAAATGAATGTAGTTTCTTTTGCAGACCGTCTTTATGTGCTTGGCGTTTGCGTCCTCCACCTCGACTCCTCCACCGGCAAAAAAAAATAAATGACCTCATTCTCAAGGGTCTTTCTTTCCAATATTCTCCCTACGCCTCCAGATCCCGCACTTATGCCGTCTAAAGTCGCCATCATCACAGGCTCAGAATCGGGTATTGGCAAGGCCTGCGCTCTCGTTCTGGCAAGGAAAGGATGGGACGTTGGCGTGTGCTGGTATCTTTCCCAGTCTGCCGGTCAGTCTGTCGCCTCAGACATCCAAGCTCTCGGGCAGCACGCAGAGCTGCGATATCTCGACCTCACGGATCTACCAAACGCAGGAGAGGTGCTTGATGACTTCGTCAAAGCGTTTGGGAAGATAGACGCGCTAGTGAACTGCGCGGGTATCGGAGCGCGGGGGACAGTGCTGGACATGCCCTGGGAAACCTGGCGGCGCGTCCTCTCAATCAATCTTGACGGCCCATTCATCCTCTCTCAGCACGCGGCCCGCGCTATGGTATCTCAAGGAGAGGGCGGCGTGATCGTGAACATTACAAGCGTGCACGAGCACTCCCCCACGGTGGCCGCTACGGCATACGTACCGAGCAAACATGGCCTCGGCGGCTTGACGAAGGCGATGGCCATGGACCTGGCGCAATATGGCATTCGCGTGTGTGCAGTCGCGCCAGGATACATTGCTACGCCTATGACGGCGTTGGATGGAGTGGATGTGAAGACGAAGAAAAGAAGCAAACTACCAATTGCAAGACCAGGTGCGCCCGAGGAAGTCGCTAATCTGGTGGCTTGGCTTTGCTCGGACGAAGCAAGCTATGTTACGGGCACGAGCTTCCCGGTTGGTGAGTCGCATCTGGTCTGCTCTGTGACATCGTTACTGAACAGGATATAGACGGGGGTTTTCTTATATGCAACCCGCAGTTCCCGCCTCCGGGGTTGAAGGTGGACGGGTAGAGTTCGAGGACAGAGTCGCAAACTGTGTTGCAACGAGATCTAATTGTTCGCGTGAAAGACAAGTGTAATGTTTATACATTTGATTCACGGATACTAGATGAAAGAAGAGGGAAATGCACATTCTTTCTCTCCTGCACAGCAGGGAGACTGCCGGAACGTCTGTCACTAACTTCCAGTGATTATCCCTGTCGTGAACCAGTCATTTTTGTGGTATTCAGTACCGAGTATTGCTATCCAGTGCCGCAATTTCCCTTCTGTTGAGCTGCTGGTGAGCAGAGGATAATCAACCAACTTCTGGACGACTACAAAGTATGAGTCGGAAAGAAGCTTGATCCCACTAACCAACGATGTTCCTCCAAAAACAGGTTGAGGAGTCGAAATAGTTTGAGAGTGCAGGGATGGAAAGAAGCTTGATGGTGATGGTTCCACATAATGATATAATTCAAGTCACTGCTCTTATCTCTATGAGTTAGATCTCCATAACGCATCCGCCACCTTCGCGACATCCCGCATTTCCCTTGTATCATGCACCCTAATAATATCTGCTCCTCCTTGCACTGCAGCAGCACATGTCACAGCTGTAGGCATTATCCTCTCCTGTGCTTTGTCCGTTCCTGTGATAACGCCCAAGAAGCCCTTCCTTGATGTCCCCACCAGCACGGGCAAGTGATCCAGTGGATGCCTTGCCCGTCCCGCTCCCCCAACAGTGGCCGTTAATGTTGGGAGTTCCCGCAGCACCGCAAGGTTTCCATCCACCGTTTTGGAGAATCCCACCCCAGGGTCGGCCACGATGTTCCATCTCCTGACACCGGCCCGAAGCGCTCTTGCGACCTTCTCCCCTAGCTCGGCACGGACCCCATCCATCACTTTGTCATAACTTGAATAGTCCTTCTCCTGTCCCGCATCGCCCCTCGAATGCATCATGACGACCGGTACGGCGAGATCATACGCAGCTTGGAGCATGTCAGGGTCGCGAGAAAGCGCGTACACATCGTTGATGCAGCTCGCGCCAGCCGCCACAGCAGCTCGTGCCACCGATGCCCGGAATGTGTCCACAGAAATCGGAGTATGGGCATCCGTTTCCCGGAAGGCCTTGATGAGGGGTACGACCCGGGCAATTTCTTCCTCCTCGGAAACGTCGGCTGCACCGGGCCGAGTAGAGTACCCCCCAATATCAAGAATATCGGCACCATCTTCCACCGCCCGATGCAGACTCCGGATAGTATTTTCTAGCTGCTGTTCGTATGTGGCGGCGGTTGAACTAACAAAATGCGTCCCGCCGTCGGAGAACGAATCGGGCGTCGAGTTGACGATAGTCATTATGTACGTCCGGCGTGACAGTGGCCAAGTGAAGGCTGAGCTGACGGGTGAGGCAGGGAATGGCAGAATGCGGTACATCGGAGAAGCACCCGTTGTGACAGAGCGAAGAAGGGAGGTGACCGATTTGCCCAGCACCGGGTGGACGAGGTTGGGAACGATACTGGGTACGTGGGTAAGCAGACTCTTAGATGGTAATGGATCGAGCTCACTCGGCTAGAGGCCGCAATACAAACTCCCGTTCTTGTACTCTCATATGTGGCACGATCAGCTCATATCCGTTGTTGTCCGATGCTTTGATTTGCGTATGGAGACTGTCGGAAAAAATGATATCCAGGTCGACGACACGCGGTCCATTTCTGAATGTTTTCGTGCGACCAGCATCCTCTTCGACTCTCTTGACCAGCTGCATTAGGTTACCAGCGTCGAGGATCGTCTCCACCTGGTCGGACATAAGCACCACGTACACATTAATGTATGTACTTGACTCACCACGCAGGCAGCATTCAGGAACATTGGTTGGTCCTCAACATACATCGCCGCCGTCTCGTACATGAAACTTGTCTCCACCACCTTCACACCAGCAGCTTCAAGCAGCTTGAGCGATCGCTCAATATTTGCCACTCGATCTCCAAGGTTCGATCCAAGAGCAATGACGGCCCTGTGTTTTCTGCCTGACTCACCCAGTTCAGACAGGTTCACAGGAGAAATTGCGAAATCTGCTGGGGTACGAGTGATTTCTACTTCAGCAGCAGCGGCGAACATCAGCGCGCTTGGCTTTGCGACCTTCACCGTGACAGCCCGAGCATCTTCATCACAGGAGAGCGATATTTTCGCAATAGCCGTGGCCATTGACTCAACTGTTTGATATGATGATTGCAAGACGTGCTTTTAGCCCACAACATTATTCAACGTATGCTCGTACAAAGATATACAAGGAGACGCACATCAGATACACGGGAGGCAAGAGCACGGAAGTCAAATTCAAGCGCATTCGATTCTTTGTGTTCGGGGGTTTTGCACAGCGAGATGTCCAGATGCACCATCTGCTTCTCTACCCTTTCCCAGGGATTAATTCCGATAATGGTGCTTAATGCCAGGCCCTCCAAAAAGTAGACGTCTTCTTTTCCGCCATCATCGCCGGGGAAACGAGACCGAGTTATGTCCACACCAGCGGATGTACAATGCAGCAGAGCTCGGGGTTTGTTTACTCGAACGTTGACCTCGCTCAGACTCCCAAATGCGGCCAAGCACCCCTCGGCCAGACCCTCTGCAAGCCCTTCCGCACTTCCGAATCCACGTTCCTGCTTGGCAATTTTCTCCGCAAGTTTGCACATGGTTCCATAGCTCACAGAGTCGTCGAGAGTGTCGTCGCTGCCAGCAGATTTAAGAGACAAGGGCACAGATATGGAGATGAAGACAGGTTGCTTGCGTTGTTCTGCGTCCGGCCGCGGCCAGAGCGAGGCCCCAAGCGTTGTATGAACACATAAATTGTTGAATACTATTCGGTCTGGTGGCCGGTGATTGATGGAGAATGAACGCCACATGATACGGGACAGACGAGGGCCAGCAGACAGTGAAACGCGAGAGAGCATAGGACGACGTTCAGCCCAGACGATCAGGTGCGGAAGAACATCCCTCTCGCTTCGGAATTTTTGTCTCCGACAACCGCACTAGTTTCTCCGAACTGAGGACCCTCATCTCTGTCGTGTCCACTCCGATTCCAAGTCGTCTTGTGCTTGAATAGCTGCTCTGTGCGCCCCCCTTCCTTTTGACACCAAACTGGATATTATGGAAGGCCATCCTTCCAACAAAGGCGATGTGGGAAAGAACCAAAACAAGCCTTCTCTGATGGAGTCCCATCATCGATCCAGCCAGAGGCAAGCTCAGAGTGGCGGCCCAAAACAAAGCACTGGACGCAGCTCAACCGTCAAAGACCCGCATTCGAAACACTGATGGTCGGCAAACGCTGAGTGAAAAACAATGCACCTTTGTTGCCCAAGGTCGAGGACAGTTTGGTTCTGCACCAGGTTTATATCCGTGACGACCGTGGTTGATCGCTGCATCCTAGTCCATTCTCCGGTCCACGGCTGTGGTCCCCAAAAAGTACGAGCATAATAATACTGAAATCTTCCGAGACGAACAGAGGCTTCACAAGCTCGCCCATCTGGGTGATCGTATTATGCGCTTGGGCTTGCTCAAGCCAATCAGGGCTGCACACCCCGGTATCGGACGACCTCATTTCCAAGCCAATTGGGGTATGGAAGGTTATCCTGCGTACTGAGACTACTAAGATCAAGAACTTCGGCGGTACCTTCGAAGCTTCATGTAGCGACCCACTGCTTTGGTACCTTCTGAAGAGCTTGAAGGTAAGACGCAAGTAATCTGACTGGGAGGCAGAAATACCCTTTTATATCAGGGCCGGTCCAAACCTCAACAACTGAACCTCCTCTCGAACTTCCTCGTGGGTCGACCGAGCAGACCCATGAACTCGATGGCATTTACAAGGCGGAGAAGGCTGCCAAGGACTCAGAATTCAAGCCAATAGTACATTCAAGTGCATCGCGTTTGCCTCCCCTCCTCGCGGCTCGGCCACCAGCGCGATCGGCTTTAGGTCGTATACCTATGAGCAGTTTATCTGGGTATATTTGGTCTGTCCTTGGAAATCGTATCAAATAACTGGATAACCAACATATGAGTGGGCATGCTTTCGAAGTTTTTCTGTTATATTAAGGGTCATTGAACACAGTGCTTGGGACCTGGAAGGACGGCTCCGGTCCACCTCTCAAGTCATTACTCTCCATCCACACATTTGGTGGTGGACAAGTGGACTGCGAAAGAAGACGAAGGCGCCAATCGGGGTGCATGACGCATTCACAGCCATCGATCGGGCGAAGATCCTAGAGCTACGCGGTCTTTCCCTACCTTTCGGATAACTGTCGAGGGCATGCGAACGTTGATATCGTTCCACTGGCGGTGCACTTGCCTTGTGTAGCAAGTTTTGCAGGAGATGAAACCAGAAGGCTCGTAGCGTGGTCCTGCGCTGACAGCCGACTGCGGATGCGGAATGAATCAAAGCTTCTGCGCCTACTGAGGACTTCTGCATAATAGTACTAGAAAGCGAGTTATCCAGTTATACACAGTCGTTGCCAGCGTTACCTCTTTCACGTCACAGAAGTAGGGGTATGAGATTGGACAGCCATCCATCGGGGGAAGCAAGCCATGTGATGAGACGAGAAGCACTGCACTAGCCTGCTGAAGGCACGCAAGCATTCCAAGTGAATCCACTTCCTTCCGCGCCTTTTTTGCTCGTGAGAGTTGCAGAGTGCCACGCCTCCGCGGAGAGCGTCCATCGTGAGAAAAGAAAAGGTAGGAACCGTGTGTGTTCTACTTTTCCTAACTGTTTGAAGGCTGGTTCGCAGCGTCTTCCCTCGGTCTGGAGACGGGAATGTGGAGGCTCGACAATAGATGGACCTTCGCATCGACACCCGGTCTTACAAATATGGCTGTCCGAACCCATACCTTCGGTTGAGAGCTTGGTTCCTTGCTGGGACATTGTGCGACTTTCTCTTTCTGGCATGCATGGACAGTTTAAGACTCCCACATGGATCTTGAAGGGGCCGAAGCAGTCTGGTGGAAAACTGGTGGTGACGATAAAACGGGAAACTCTGTCTCGAAAGGTCAGCCATATCCCAGAGAATGCCCATTCGGAAGAACATTAATGTTACCCTAGACTTCCCGATCGACGGCTGCAAGCTTGAAAATGGAGCGAATGTCCTAGTAAGAGATGCCGGATTACGAGTCGGTCAAAGAAATCTTTCAGATCTTTAATCCTTTCTTCTAAACCGGTGTAAAGGGAAGAAAGGGCGCCGTATTACGCTGCTAATGACAACCAACGTGAAGCAGACAACCCCAACACCTGAGGGCAGGTTCTGATCTTCCCTTACTGGCGTAAACCTTGACCATATCAAACCGCGGGAGCCGGTTCCTTAATACGGTCAAATGTAATTATTGAGTTAGATCATTATGCGAAGCTGAGGTAGCGCATGCTCAGCTGGCAGAAGAGGATGCGTTTCTATTTTGACGAACGACTTCTCGTAATCCTCCTGGAGGGCAGGGATGTCGGTATGATATCCCTACGATGAATTGACGGTACCGGGATATGTTAGGTCCGCATATCTTATCGATCTCCCCTGATAACATCATACTTAAAATATTAATAGCCAAGCGTTCATCCGCCCCGCTTACCGGAGAGCACGACAACCATACAACATGCCGAGAATCGGAAATACGTTTATGGCTGGCGGATGACTACAGTCGGACCCGCAATTAAGCATGGGCTCGGTGGACACTATAAGCCATGCTTAAGGACGGGTCATGCTATGCTTAACCACGAGTGCGTCGGAGCCGAAGTATTTACCCGGGCCAATCATTAAGCCCGAATGTTTGCTTCCGCTTGAGTTTAAAGGACAAATAGGAGCCGCCCAGGAGGGATTTCCACCAAAATTGGAGTCCGCGGAGCCCAAACCGTTAAGCATACATATGGGAAACTAGTCCCCTGAGCTATGCATTATGCTTAAGCCAAGGGTATGCTTAATGGCCCATATAATTTCCCGACTACCACTGCCGTGGACCTGAAAGCCCATGCTTAAGATCGGGTTATGCTTAATATGGTGTATGTTTAATCGCGGGTCCGACTGTAGTACTGACCGGGAGTGGAGCCGGTGGCCGGCCAGGGGCTTGGACAACTGCAAAGTCAGCGATGACGGCAGTCGTCCCCGATTGCTCTCGGGCAACGAGCGGAAGGGTGACATGTTGAAGAGCGTGCCTCTGATCTGCTACTTGATCGACACGTTTTGATGAGGTCGTGTACTGTGGCTGGAATATGCATTTTTGGAGACTCAGTGCAGGAGGACAAGGGATGAAAGTTTTGCGACGGTTGATGGGCCCTTGACACTGATTCTCCTATTCTAAGGACAAGCACACGCGCTGTGATTGGCCCTCAACACTCGGCCGAAGCACTCTGATGGTTGTGCCGTTCATCTCGGAAAGAAGCGTAAAGCGTCCGAAGAGCTGCTCCCGGTCCTGCTTCTCTGTTTCCGCCCCTTGCTCACGTTGTCCTGTCGAAGCCTCGGCTTGCGTTGGACTGGTCGGGAAGCGAACTGAGCGTGCGTGACTCTATTATGGGAACTTGCATGCGTGTTTAACGGATTGGCGTTGTGAGACGGGAGGTGAGACTGGAGGTTGCGAGGTGAGACAAGACGAAACAGCGTGTCCGTTGACAGGGAAGGTTGCTGACAGACCTTAGTTTTGCACGCTAGAAAGAAGCCTTGCCCACAGCCCGGGAGGGGGGATCAGAGACGTGATCGGGCTATCGTTATGTAAAGTCCTTACCGCAAGAATGCGGCGTGTAAGGTGACAAAGCGGAACGCACAATATTAATATCCTTTGCCACAAGGTTGCAGAATTGAGCAAGGTGCCGCTGCGGGAAGTCAATCCCAGAGCGCTCAGTCATTGTGACAAACCGCAACGGGTTCCGCAAGGATATGGAGTGTCGTCTTTTTGTTACGAGGTTGCGCAGACCAAAGTCAGGGGCTGAACGGATCCGTCCACCCGTGGTGGCCAGAGTGGCACTTACTGCATCATCTGATGGCCGACAAAGAGGATCAATTGTACGACACCCTTGCGTTTTCCTCGCTTGATATATCGTTGTTTTGCACCCTGCGACGAAAAGCGCCTTGCCCTTTCTGTCACTGGTGAAGTCCAGGTCGTGAGCTCGGTTGTTAGTTTGAAACGGTGTCGGGCGACCATCCCCATATCAGCCTGTTGTAGGCAGCACACGATCCATATATGTATTCATCAGTGATCGCGCGGTTACTGAATTCACCTATCCCATCAATGCGTGTGAGCTCAAATGCTCAACGACGCCACATCATTGCCCCCGGGTGAAGCTGAGGGTCCTGGGCCGTTATTTCTCCCGACCGGCAGAGGACTGGCTGGAACAGAAGCATCGTTGTCTGGGGATATAGAGATGGCGTGCTCTATAGTGTATAGCTCTCAGTATGCGCCCTCGAATGTTAGAGACCTGAGGTGGCGAGAGACATTCACTCGAACTAGGGAGATGGCGGGGCAGGGCCAGGGGCGCCTAGCCCATATCTTCCTGCGCCTACTGACCGGCTGCCGGGCATTTCGTGGCCGGGAGAGGGGAAATGAGTCTTTCGAGGCTAGTCCGGCCGAGGGGAGATGCACACGAACGGAATATTCGAAGTTTTCTGTTTTTGATAAGCACATTGCCTCCCTGGGAAACTAACGAAGGGTGGGAATACGTGTGTCCACGCCGGGTCGACTGAGGTCATCAATATAGCTCTCCGATTCCAGGCCTGGGCAACTCCGTGGAGTTACATATCTCATGCAAAGCCGGCGCCGAGGAAGCATACTGCTCATTAATATTATGAGATTGAGGAGTGCTTATGCTGGTATGGAAGAATTCCCGGAGAGTGTATTAGGGGAGAGTGGACGATTTTCCCACCAGGAGTTAAGAAGTTACTGTTGAAGGCGAGACAAGACAAGTGGACGTTCCACCCGGGAGCACTCCGGTGGTTCATAGCGGAAGTAAATAGCAAAGGGGGAGAAAGAGGGAATTGCCTTAATTGACCACCCTTTGGAGGGAGAGAGAGGGTAGGGAATTCGCAGACAGTCCATCACCAATCTGCCTCCAGGTTTAGAGTCCCTTGATCATCCCTCGCCCCCTCTCCCCACTCCGATCCCACCAGCCAGCCTTTGCACCCCCCCCCTCCTTCTCTTCTTCTCCCCTGGTGCAACCGTGGCATTCCCCCTCCTTCCTTCCTTGCTTCCACCACGCTCCCGGCACGCTAGCCCTTTCCCACATCGTCTACTTTCCCGCTGCTCGGCGCCCTCTATCTTCTCCCCCACTCTCTGGATAACAACTCCCGGACGGCCATACGTCGACCCACACCCAACAACCCAGCCACTGGCCGCCTCCTGCCGACAAACCGATAATCCGCACGCAAGCAGGGAGCTCGCAGTCGCGCATATCTACATCAGGCAGGTACAGCATACACCTCCCTTCCTCCCGCATCCTCCTCCTCTTTCCTCGCACCCCACCTCCTTCGCAATCTTCCCCTTGCCCCCTGCCTTATCCAGCTTCGTCCGTGCGTCACTGCCCCTCCGCATCAGGCAGTCGCTGTCCACCATCGACTTCGTCACACTCCCCTCCTCACCTGGTGGGGTTCATCATTGGGACTCATCCTCCATCCCAAGGTAAGCAGAGTTTTCCTTGCCCCGCGCGTCTCTCTCATTCCCAAACAGGGCCGCATACATCCACATCAACAGTCGCAGAGCAGCGAGATGGTCGACGTCAAGCCCGACACGGAAGAGCGCGAACGGCCTAGGACATCGTCCTCTTCTTCCAACGTACGCAGACCCACCTCTGGTAGCCGCCCATCAAGTGCGCACAGGCTGGATACGGCCTCACTCGCGGCTGCATTGCCCAACAACACCCATCAGTCGTCCGGGATCAGGTCGAGAATAACAGTTGTATGCGCAGAGGTACGTTATTCCTTCGTATATGCGCGATGTAACACCTTACCTTACTCATTTCGAACAGTGCAAGCGCCTCAAGCTCAAGTGTGACCGTCGTGTACCGTGTGGCTCATGCGTGAAGCGAGACACGACCAACCGATGTCAATACACAGCTGCTGCATCGGAGAAGATGTATGTCATCTTGCATACAGTCCCGAATGACACACTGACGAACCCGATTTTAGCGACGTGACTACGCTGCACAATCGCCTAACACGGGTGGAAGACGATCTTCGTGAGCTCCGGGCTGGGAGCTTCCGGCCGAGCGTGCTGTCTGATGCTAGTCCGAAATCGCTCCTAGCCGTCAATCCTGAGAATGGATCCAGCGTCGTCGTTAGTCTCGAGGATGTCAACAACGTTTGGCTTCAAGAGCTTGATGTGCAGTTCGATGCCGAGCTAACGGTCCTTCAACCCGATGTTCCCCCTGAACTGGGCTGGGCGCAAATCTTCCCTTCTGCCGAAGTATTCTTTCCCAACCACGATCCAAACGCTGCATACGGTCTCAGCATGGATAACAACATGCCCACTGTCACTCCTGTGCTCCTCCAGAAATTGCCCGACGGTGCGCTGCGTGCTGCCATCATGGATCAGTTCCGGAATACCCTTGCCATCCATCCTTGTACGAACTGGAACGACTTCACGCACCGTGCTCAAGGAATGTTCAACGCCGTGTCCCCACAGTCCGCCCCGACGTCCCTCACCTTCTTCGCCTGCGTTGCTGCTGCGTTTGCACTCGGTGCCCAATCATTAGCAGAGGCGAAGCGCTGGGGTTCTGTGCAATTCGACGGCTCTTTGCCTACCGCACAAGTATTGTCGCTGAAAGCCGAGGAGTACTTCTCGCTGTCGCAATCTACGCTTCAAGTTGCGCAGCGCACGGCTGCATACGACCTGGACTTCCTCATGACGATGCGGATGCAGTGCTTGTACCTGTTGCATGATGGCAAGCCCAGAGTGGCGCAGAGCGTGCTGCCGGAGGTCGGGAAGATGGTCAATATTGCAAGAACGATGGGGTTGCATGTGGATCCGGATGAGCATCCTGGAAAGTACTCGGTGTTTGATGCGGAGATGAGGAGGCGGATGTGGTGGGATATCTATTATCTGGATGTGTACGTACCCCTCTTCCTGCCTATCACGCACGTCCTAACCCCTTCCAGGTTTATCTCGGACTGTATGGCACTCCCGGCGCTGATCGACGACATGACCTTCACTTGTCGATTGCCGAGTGACTGCGATGACACGCAGCTCACGTCTCGTTCATCATCATTACCTCATCCGACGCAGACATCTGATTATCAGTACTTCATCCTCAAATCTGGGTCAGTTGTGCTTCCTTCAACATTTGTTGTCGTCCTGACATTGCCCCGTAGTCTCGCGAGGTTGGTTAAGATGGTAGCTCGAACCTCGATTCGCAACGACAAGGATGAACCAAGTGCTGAACTTGCAGTTGCTTTGACGGATAAGGTGAAAGCTTGGTACGAAGAGCTGCCACCTCAGTTCTATCTTCCGCAGGACGAGGCAGGCGCAGTCGACGGGCCAGTGTTCCTCGTTGCTCAACGGTGCGAGCTCGCCAGCGTCGTCAATCAGATCTACCTCAAGATATGGCACCCACTCCTTCGGTCTCAACCGATGGGCAAGGGCGCAGCAGCACAATCGGTCGTGTCCAGTATCAACGCTGCTCATCAACTTATCCATTCCAGCAAGATCATGCACATGGTGATGAAGCACACGCGGCCAGCGACCTATCTGTTCTACTCCTTTGGCAGACAATTATTCCACGCCGCCGTCATCTGCGCTTACTCGCTCATCAACAATCCGGACAGCATATGGGCTGAGACTGCTCTTCGCAACCTGGAGACTGCACTCGCTATCATGCGCGACCCGATGCTTGCCACCGGACGTGGACCTGCGCGTGGAGGTGCTGAGGGCGCAAAGAGCGAGGCACTCAGCGTCATCGAGAAGCTTCTGGCGAAGGGCGAGCAGTCACTCAAGGGACATCTACTTGCCACTGGGCAGAAACGGAAACATACCGACCTCGATCAACACCTGCGTGGCAACTTCTTGTTACCGTACATTGGCGCTGCCGTTGCTACCGTTCCGGAAGATCAGGATACAGAGCAGGAAGTGTATGACAACGCTGCGATGGACTATCAGCAGCATGAGATGCCCTACGTCAATGGCTCAGTTGTACAGCCGGCCGTTGTCTCCCCTCCGGTTATCGAGCAGCCGCAGCAAGTACAGATTGTCCAGCAACCACCACCCCGTGTTCGTGCACCAACACACCCGCCACCGGAGACCGAGTCGCCCTACGTACCTGTCACTGTGGGACCGGAATGGAGCTACCAGCAGAAACCCTCGCCAGCCCCTCCTCCGACAGGCAAGGAACGCGTCAAGGCTCGGCCATCTATCGGATTCCGCCGCAGGGATACGGAGCCTGCGAACGCCTCCAATCGCAGGATGGAGAGTGCTTCCAGCAGCGGCTCGTCGGTTCACTCGCCGGTCAGCATACGCAAGGCATCCAATTTCAACGGTCCGCCTTCGACTTCTGGAGTTACTATGCCAGGAGCAGCGCACTTTGCCCAGGCACAAGTTCAGGCACAAGTTCAGGCACAAGCTCAGGCACAGCAGGAGTTTGCCCAGCAGCAGCAGTACACCGCGACTGCTGGCATGAACCCGTATTATCCGAGTTCTGGGATGTACGGCCCTCCAACGCAGCAGCAACATCAGCAGATGTTCTACAGCACCCCGGTAGCACCTTTGCCGGAGGAACCGAATGGTGACGGTACTTTCCAAGCAAGCGTCAACCCGGCGCTGATCAGTCCCGACGCGGCTCACAACATGCAAATGCATGTAGCTCATGCTGGGACGAACATGGCGCCGTCAATACCGTCCACGCCAATCGACCACTCCCGGTACAACAGCATGCTGCCTGTACCTCCGCCTACTAAGCAAGATGTAGACGAGAGTGAACAGGTGATGCTACCCGGCTTGGGCGAACCTGCGCTAGCCGGTGGCTTTGACGTCCCTATCCAAGCGATGGGCTGGGATGGAAACGCTCGTGAGGCGTACCCTCAAGAACACTGGCAGGGCTACACATACTAGGTAACGAACATGAGCACGACAACGACTCCGACATCATGCCAGCATGGCACAAAAGTACATAACATACTCCACGCGGAAGGCGGTTTACGATATCTAGAACTATGTTCTGAAACTCCCGATTATGGTGTTTTATCCTTTCCTATTCTCTGTAACCCTTGGGAGGACTTTCGCTCTCGCTTGTATCATAGGTCTATCTATTGTCCCCGGTCCGACATTCCGCTCGCCGCTCTCCGCTCTGCAAGCAAGGCTCTACGGCTTTACACGCCCTTCCTACTGACGATTTCTTTTCTTACCATTTTACTATTCTGCTACCTCTCCCTGTGTCATATGCCTCGTCGTCTGTTGTCCTGTTCCTAGTGTTATTATCTTCTCGATTGTTGGTCTATTGGGGTGTTGGGTTTTATTACATACAGGTTTTATCAATACATATGATGCGCCAGGGCGCCAATGAACACCGAACATTCCGCGTGACCCGGAGCATGAATAGAAATGTTGCAAGCTTTTCCACAATAAGATAGCCTCTTCAGTGGCAAGGGCCCATGAGCGCTTGTGATACCACCTTTTATGGAAATCGTACCACATGAACGGAAGGACTGACAAAGCTGTCATGGGATGCAGCAGATCAAACACGCATCTGACAGGCAGAGATTAGGGATCGACAGAGAAGCGAAGACTCGAACAGTCTTCTTTAGGGTGGAGTGGTTGGCCTAAGCTGAGATCCCTCACTGTGAAACCTCACTGATATGGTATTACACTTCCGAACGTAAGGGTATCTGGTGTTATTCCTTCTGGAACAGCGCTAGCAGGCCGAGACCACCTAAGAGGGCGTATTTCAACTGTGGGAAGTCGTTCTGTTCATTCCCAGTCAGCAGACAGCGGAGAAATGGGAGGGGTAGGACATACGAGGACGATCGTCACGTAGCCGACGTATGGGAGGAACCTGCGATATTCGGTAAGCACCAGGACAGGCGGAAAATGGTGCTACGTACCCCCTCACGCGCCCAATCACGTTGCTCCGCTTAAGCCACTTCATCTTCGACCCGTAGAGCACCTTATCGTCCTCGGAATTGTTGTCCCCTTTTGTGAGGAGGAACTGGTCCAACACCGTAGAGCTGAAGGTTTCGGAGAAGCTGCTTAGGCATCAGCATCGTTTGGAAGGACACACAAGGTAGACTCTCACTCGTCGTGGGCCTCGATCACTCGGTGTACGATGGGTATCCCTTGATGAGGTAGCTTGTATACTGTGATATCTCCGACCTCGAATTTCTCGTTCGGGAAGTTTGTAAGAAACAACAGGTCTCCTCGTTGGAAAGCAGGTTCCATGGACCCACTATGCGACATGATTAAGAAACCTTTCTGGTGACCTACAAGAATACATACCTAAGCACCACAACGATAGGCGACTCGGTGTTGCATAGCAGCCCGAGTGTCTTCCACATCATCAGGCCCGACGCCAGGACAGATGCAAATGTGAGCGCTTGCAGCAGAAGCTGTTAGCAATGTCAGTCATTTTTTTGGTAGCCGAGTTTTACGTAGCGTACCTGCCGAACGCCCATCTTTGCAAGTCCCTTTAGTGAGTCCATTATACGAGGTTTTTGGAGAGAACAGCGTTAAGCTCTATGGTGCGAACGCGTCGTGGAAGGGGAACGGAGCCTGATTTCAGGTTTGCTTCGCGAAGAGTGAAGGCCTAGCCACAGTCCGGATCCGTGAGACGAATGAATGAATATCTTAAACGCTCTTTACAGCACAAAAACAGTCACTTTCAGCCGCCTGTTGTCATGGGTACTTTGTCCTCTTCTAAATGAATGTAGCTTCAGGAGGGACTTGAGGAGAATGAGGGTTAGTGCATACTAGTCAAATTCAGAATACGTCTCGTTATGTTAGAACCTGTCTATTATTATCACGGGGGGAAGCCGAGAGTGAGCTACCGGCTCTGAATTGTACCGTACATGTATCCTTTGAGAATTGAGGCCAGTTTCCATGCCTCAACTAATGAAAGGAACATTCTCCCGATCACATGCTTGATGATGTAATGCGCAAAGAGCTGAGGGTCGCCTGTTCCCAGTCGCACGACCATCACGAGGTGGTGCAGACCGAAGTCCTGCATCGTGCTCCACTCACTGTTGTCTTCATGAGGCTCAGTGTTCATCAGTAGTGCAAACGGCATGCATCGTGTCCTCGAGATATCTGACATCGTCCGCCTCATATGCATTTCTGTCAAGGGCCGCGCAAATCTAGCGGCATTGGGACAAACATGCTCGATTCTCTTTCTGCATGCGATGGAAGCGTTGTATGAGAATTCGGACTATCACCAGTTGTTGCATCTTCTGAGAGTCTGTGGAGAGTATACCAAAGAGGTACGCATATAGCTGTCTAGCATGCATAGCTCGGATTGCCTGATCGTGAGCGAACAGCCCCCTACCCCCGAAGGAGATGAGAAGCTCCGCAACGTCGCCCGGGCGGCTGAACGTTTTGATCGCTACGCATCTTTCATCCGCCATTTGAGTCTCTCAGGTGCTTGGTGGCTCGCCATTCCTGAAGGACACAATGGTTCGGATACCCATATCCAGCACCTCTCCTCACTCCTCGCTAAGCTCACAGTCATCGCTAGTGCCTCTCGATTTCGACCACTCTTTCCCAACCTTCGAACGTTCAAGCTCGAACCGAAATATCGAACACACATTGAGCATATATTGCCTTTGTTTTCGTGCGACTTGCCTTATCTGGAAAGCTTCAGCATTCAGATAGGGGATGCAAGCAATCCCGCGGACCTCGCCTCATTACTTGCAATCCTCCCCCAGATTGCGTCCAATCTGCGGCAGATCTCCGTTGTTGGTGGTCTTTCCATGTGCTCCGAGCTCCAACCTTCTTTCGCACAACTCATTGGCAAGCTTCCATCCCTTGAATCCTTCGAAGGCGGTCCTGCATCGGTCAGCGCAGGGGTGTTACAGAAGCTCGATCACTGCTCGCATCTCCGGAGGTTAATTATCCGTGGAGGTGGCAGATTCGCAGAAGACATTGTGTCCTCGGCTTGTCTTGATACCCCAGCATGTGGCAACGGCTGCACGAAGCACTTGAATGCGATTCGCCGGCTCGAACTGAAGGCTCGACCAACAACGCTTACCAATTACATTTTGGAACGAATGGATTCTGATAGGCTCGAAGCGCTTACCATCTGGATCTCTGGAGAGAACGGCCTATCTATTGATGAAGACATCCGACGTCCGATCACCGCAATCGTCGGCTTTCCAGGCATAATGGAGTTGGATATTCGCTTTCATGGCGAGCTCAAGGGGACAGACGCATCCGGATACTGGCGCGAGATGCAGGCCCTCTTTGCCGGTCGTCGGTTGAGGAACGTGTTCTTGTTCATCAGCATACCGCTTGAACATGATCTCAACGACGGGATAGTTGAGAGCATGGCTCGCGCGTGGCCGGAGCTCCGTAACTTCGCTCTTATGTGGAACGACGATGACACGCCGCCTGGTCCCACGTTGCGGTCACTTGTTGCTCTGACAACTTCATGCCCCTATCTCGAGACCGTGCAGTTGCAGTCCATACGCTCGCCATTAGGTCAACTTCCACCCCCGAATGTGGCTCTCCGGCCTCGTCCTCTCCACTTACGAGTTCGCAAGTATCACGTCGCCGATCCGGAGAATGCCGCCACTTTCCTTACCATGATCACATCTTCTTTGACCGTTTCCCGCATCAGCGTGTTCTCTCGCGCCTACTTCTGGCTCGACGAGTTGGAGGAAGATGGTGTATGGAGAGAGGTCGTTTCCAGGATGCATGCAATCAGGAGAATGAACGAAATACCTCATCCCTCAAGTGGAAGGACTATGGAATACACCGACAAGTACTTGGGCATCATCAACTCAGTATAATTCCAGAAATGCCAGGAGGATCAACGGACTTACACTCACTTGGTTCCGTACGACCAAGAACACATCGCGGCGTTAACGTTGTACAGAAGATGAGTACATTCGACTATCAACACATCGGTGGATCTCAGTAACATTTCCCGATCATATGTATTATATCAACGTGGGGATTAATTCAATGAAACTCAATACCAAAGCCGCCGGCCACAGCCTCACCAGCCTCTTCCGTGATAAGGGTTTCGGATGCTGCAGAAAGTGCGCCATCCTGCTGAATGGAGCCAAAGCAACATATTACCACGATTTCTACCAACAACCGTTCTTCTGGGACAAATAAGGATATCCGCGCCTTATTCAGTGCTCCGCCTTCACCCAAGTGACGATCATAGCGGAATTCCTGTAAGCAAGGTTTGCTTACGCAGTCCTCGTTATACCCTTACCCAGGGTTGTAGACGCGTCATGCATGCAGTGTTTAGGCTTCCCGAGTTATTTGAGGTGGTATGCGCGCATGGAACGCCGTCCACCCTTGCTGCCTTGGCTCGCACTTCTTCGGCATTGTTTCTCCCAGCTGTCAGCGAACTATACCGGAATGCGGGCTATCAGCAGCTGTTTCATATGGTATGGGTCTACTTACAGCGTCAACAGAAGGTATGCATAGACGATAAAACATCTAAAAAAAGGACTGACGTGGATGTTGCGCTCGAACAGCAACATGTTGAGGGCTGGGACACTATGCAGCACGACACGATGCCTGCATGGCGGCGATTCCAGATCTACGCACCACTTATATGGCACCTCTCGATAGTGGGTGACATGTGGAACGCTTTACTCAAGGGGACACACGGGGGAAACGTCGCATATACACCAGAGAAGTTGCTTCTATACCTCAGCAGTATCGCCTCCGTCTCCGATTTACACCCAGTATTCCCCAATCTACGCAGTCTGAAGATCGACCCAGTCAAGACACAGCCCCTCGGTTCTCTCATTATTCTGCTATCAGGAAATCTGACCTCACTGGTCACTGTACACCTGAATCTCGCCAGCGCGATTGCGAAGCCCGATGTCGCTGCCATGCTTGACATATTACCAGATCGTGCTCCAGTCCTCAAGTGCTTGGAACTCGTTGGAGCTGTCAGCGACGCACAAGAACTGTCGTTGAGTATCACAAGGATGATCCAAGCTTTCCCCCAGCTTGAAGAACTTTCATGCGGAACAGCTTGTTTACAAGCTGGCATCTTGCTGGGACTTTCCAAGTTGTCGAATCTCAGATCCATTCGAATTATCGGGACGCTGCTGGTGCCGACTCGAATTCCCACGAAGATGCCGGGGTCTCGGCATCTGCACGAACCCCTCCCTTCCCTTCGTGTTATTCACATCGAAGAGGTCGCATCATCCATGGCAGGTCCCCTATTGAGTCAGCTGGGAACCCCCTCAGTGGAGGCTGTTACTGTGAATCTGTCAAGCAACGAATCCTCGCCCTTCCCCGATGAAATTAAGGCGCTCTTCTTGGCTGTGAGCCGATTTACTTCGCTACGCGATTTCAGTATCTCTGCGAGAGGACAAGGCCCTCGTGGCCACTCCGCGGCGTTTTGGCAGTACGGATCTATCCTATTTACCTGCTCGCGGCTTCAAAAGTGTGTCCTTCGCAATTGGCTCTTTCCCGCATCCCCGGTAGATGATGAGCTTATCGAGAGTATGGCCATGGCATGGCCAGACTTGCAGGCCCTCTCCCTGCAATGGAATGTTGGAAAGAACGATGTATTGTCAACTCCGACGCTCAACTCGCTCGCGGTGCTGTTCAATCACTGCCCTCGCTTGACACATCTTCAACTCTGGTCTCTTTCTGCGCCAGTGGGCCGAACGCCAGTTGTCGACTCATGCCTGCAACCCCGACCACTGTGGCTTGGTGTACGACACAATAACATAGAAGACGTCGACGACGCATCCATATTTTTCGTGACCCTTACTTCTGCACTAGAAGTCTATATGGAATCATCACCAGAGGCGTTCGCTTGGTGGGACGACTTCGACACAACACCCTGGAATAATATTATCCTGCGAATGAGGACTCTGCGGAGATACATCCAGATGCAGGCAGACAAGAAGGGAACGGCCTTTGACAATAGAATGGATAACTTTACGCTTGAGAGCGGGCATAATTGCCCTCCAGCTCCTGTATTTATATAGGCTTGTGATGGTCGGATGCTTGTTTCCCTTCCTCATTTTTTGTATACTGGGGAATGTGTATTCTACATGTCTGTCTTACATGCCCTGTCCCTCCTTTGCCTTAGACTCGGCAACATACTCTCTTAATAACGCAACCACTCTGTCCAGTCCCATCCTAAACTTAGCGCTGACCGGGACGACGTCCAGTCCCCAGGCGAGCTCTTCGAGCCTCCTCACTTTCTCCCACGCCTCTTGCTCCGTCTCCCTCGCTGCTTGGACATCACTCTCCTCCCCTCCGGGAGCACCAAGCAAGTCCGCCTTGTTAGCCACGATCAGCCTCGCGCGTTCCGATAGTCCAGGGCGGTACGCCTCCAGCTCATGTTTAAGCACATAGAGGTCGTCCCACGGGTTAGGCGCACTCAAATCCAGGACATAGACGAGCGCCCTAGCCCTCTCTACACTCCTCAAAAACGTATGCCCCAACCCCACGTCCTCGCTCGCCCGATACAGCAGGCCAGGGTTGTCGCATATCGTCAACCTGTCCTCTTCTGACCTGTCCCAGGCATGGATCGCTGCCGTAGGAGGGGGGAGCAATCCGAGCGCAGAGAGTTCCCGCTCGTCGGCAGTGTGCACTATAGGCTGGGTGGAGGAGGACCCGAATCCACCGTCGTGGTACATCTGGACCGTGCCGACCTGAGGATTGAGCGTGGTGAATGCGTATCCTGCCACTTCGGCTTTGGCGTTTGTAAGTGCGCGGAGGAGGGTGCTCTTCCCTGCAATTTCATGTCATTCAACAGCAGCCTCAGCAGCCAAAATGTACCCACCAGCATTCGGCAGTCCGACCAAGCCAACGTCGGCCAGTAGCTTCAGCTCGAGAAACAGCCTCACGCTGTCCCCCTCCCTTCCCTTCGTACCCCACATCGGCTTCCTCACTTCCGTACTAGCGAAAAAAGGGTTCCCCAGCCCCCCTTTCCCCCCTCGAGCGACAATTATCCCCTCCCCCTCTGTCGGTTCGCTCAAGTCCAGTTCCAAGCCGGGGCGGGATTCGTTCTCCTTTCGCTGGCGCCATAGTGCGTGCCTGAGCTCCTTCTTCACCTCTCCCTCGGCATCGAGGAACTGCTCGTTTGAAGCGTTGTCCTCCTCCTTAGAAGGATAATGGACCCACACCTTCCTTCTTCTCAGTTTCTCCCTCTCCGCCTCATCCAGGCTCTCCCACTCGGGGTGCTCAGCAGCAAGCCGGACATCGTCCCATGGATCGAGCGGTTTCTCCCTGCTCAATTCTCTCACTACCGTTCCCAGCGGTACGCGTAACACGAGGTCCGCTCCGCGCTTCCCATGCCTCCATTTGCCCTTCCCATGCTCCCCCTTGCCCGCTTTCACGAGATGCGCGAGACCGGATAACGACGTCAGCCCAGGGACGGCTTTGACGAGCACGTCTCCTCCCGCGCCCCCGTTTCCCCCTGAAGGTGGCCCATTAGGCTGATGCACATCGCGGAAGAAAGCAACTGAGCCGTCCCCTCCCGGGCCAGCTCGAAGGTCAATCAGCAGGTGGTCTAAGAACGTTCGCCCCTGGAAGCGCTCGTCATCCCGCATCGTACACAGTAAATAGATGAACGTACCCCCTGCCGGCGTTTTGCGTCTACCCGCCTCTTGACCTCCAGCAGCCGCACTGCCCTCGCAGCATCTTCAAACTCCGTGGTGCTATCGATCTGTATCGGTACACGCTTTGGTGGCTTGCTCACCATACGCGTGCGGGCGAGGAGCGCGTGGGATGTGGTGAATGGTCGTCGGGGGCATCGTAAGTCGGTGGTGGAGCGGGAGGAAGAAGGGAGGCAGGGCAGGTGAGGCATCGTTCACTTTGTATGGTGTTGGACTGGATTGCAAGAGGACCAAAATTCCTGCCCAAGGGTCGTTAGTCACGTGCAATGATGACTCGTTACGTGCAGAGTTTCTGCAGTATCACAGAAAAGCCTTTTGATCGGAATTCTGAGTACATAGAAGAAGTAACGCAATCGCAAAGTCGTAATAGTAAAAAGAATAAAAACAAGAGTCCGCATCGTTCGCTACACACCCGCTTCCTCCCTCGCAAGTCCCTCCCGCTCTCCCTCTCCTTCCGTCTGCTCCGGCAGAACAATCCTTCCCGCATCCGCCCTCCTCAGTCTTCCCCACGCAAACGCAGCGATCCACACAAGCGGGTAGAGGACAGCGAATAGGATTACGGCGATGAATACTGGGGTGGGCTTGGGCCGCGCCAGACCGACGGAGAGGACGAGCCAGGTGCCGCTTAGCGCTGTGGGCAGGTCTTTCAGTAGGGCGACTTCAATCAGTGCCAAGGACTGCATACAAGATTTAGATTATCATGCTTGGGAGGAAAAGGGGGGAGGTAAGAAGGACGCACGTTGAGACCGATTATGAACCCGAATGCGGGCCAGGCGTACTTGCCCCACTCAACATTCCCGCCTCCCTCAGGAGCATGGAGGTTATCGACCCAGCCAGCAGCTAGAAACACTCCCAGTGGCAGACCCTGCACAAGCGTTCCCATCACGAGCATGCGCATAGGGACGTGGATGAAGACGTAGTCCAAGGGTCGGCTGGTATGGGGCGGGTGCAGAAGGAGGGTGAGGAAGATTGATAGGAAAAGCAGAAGGGTGAGGGAGAGAAGAATGACGGATGTGACGAAGAATTCCAGTGCGAAGGCTATACTCCAGAAGGCTATCAGCCAGTTGGCGAGTACAAGTCGCAGGCCGACGCCGTGTACTATTGTAGCCTACCGCAACACATGAGTACAAGGTTTGCGTTGCAGTCGTGAAGGTGAGAACGCACCTTGGTTTCCTCCTTCCTAGCCATTACTAGCAGGATGCAGTATCCCACCAACCCGACCCAGAGTATAAGCCAATAAACGCCAACCATAACTCCCAGCGGGCTGACGGAAGTCGGATGATTCCTGCTAATCTCACCCATGGTCGGGCGGACGACAACAGCGCATACAAGTGTAGCTCCAATAGATACAAGCACCGATAGTGGGGTAAGGACTTGCAGGCGGATTAGGGCTAGTGCCTGCCTCACTAGAGGGTCAGACGTGGGGAGAATGGTGTTGGACATGAGGGGCGTGGACTCGTGCTGAGGGTGCTCGAGCTGGTCTTCGAGGAGCGGGGGCTCGCCGTTGTGTGCTGGAGGGTTGGTCGTCGTCGTTGTCGTGATGTGGTGATGTGGATGTTGTTGCTCGTGAGCTTGCCAGGGGTTGATGTCCTCCGACATGGAGAGTTGACCTGGACGTCGGGGCGCGACAATCATCGTCATTTCCGCCCTTGGTTCCGCTTCGGCTCCGACGCTCCACTTCCGCATCAAAAGTGGTGTATTATTTATTGTTGGTTTGGGCAAGTATATACAATGCTAAAATAATGTAAATGCAATTCCATAGCCGCTTCCCACATATGCTAACCCGTCCCGCCCATGCTAGCTGTTCACTTCCTCTTCTTCAATATGACAGCGAACATCTTCTTTGTCACACGCACCGAGGTCTTATTGGGCCGATACTCGTGCCTCTGCAGGCCGCCACTTCTTAGCCCTCCCGCAAAACTGGCCATCCTCGGGTATCGGGGGAGCACGGTCTGGTGAACCGGCGGCCGATCCATAACCTTGAATCGCTCACCGATATTGTTCTGCCGAGAAGGCGGGTGCTTGAATGTTTTCTCGGGTTCACCGTTGCGAGCGAGAAATTTCGAGCTAAGCATGTCTTTGTGCGCGCCACCGGGATTGAAGGAAAATAGAAGATCTCGCGGGTCGCTCAAGGTCTCAGTTATCGGAAGAGTTTTTGTGCCACTCGAAAATGTATCCCCTACTTGTGCGCTGGGTTCGACTTCCCCCATCTTCGGTCGCCCCGCTTTCTCCGGCTCTTCAAGTTCACGTGGCTTCTGCTCTTGCTGACTCCCGAACATGCCCAGAAATTCGAACAGGCGGGAGGACAGACCGTCAAAGAGAGGCACTGGAGCTGGTGGACTTCGAAGTTCCACTGCTTCAAAGGAATTGTTGGGCTGTGTAAAGATGGTGCTGGTCGTCCCCGGACCCGCGATGGATGCGAGAGTCTTAGAAGGCTCGCTGACGGGTGCTGGGTCCAACAACTCAAGTAAGGTACGTAGTCGGGACTCTGGTCGGGACTCCGTTCCTGCCTTCATGTCGGTCGTGGAAAACGATCCAGTGATCTCGGGACGAGTGCTAACTGGTGCAACAGACGACATTTCCGCAGTGGCCCCCGATGAAGTCAGCGGAGGTTTCGTCTTCGCTTGCGGCAAGCTCAACACGGCACGTGCGCGTCGCTTTCTGGTCCGCTTAGATGCCACCTTCTTTGATGGTAAACTTGACGGGACAGGGGCAGGGAGCTCAAATCCTTCTACAGCCACCGATTTCGACGCCAACTTATTCCCTTGGGACTTGCGGATGTGTCCTGAACGTTGGGCCCGATCCTTGAGTGACGGGAGAGCGTGATCTATCTTTAACAGATCTTTATTGACATTGATGCTGCTGGTGGGCGAGATCGGAAGGCGGCCTCCCAACACCGGGGAGTTAGGCGTGGATTTCGACAACCGCTTCTCCTCATCCACTTCTCGAATGGCTCGAGTTAATTCTCTGGCGAAGGCGGATTCGGCCACAGGTAATCTCTTGGACTGAGGTCTGCGTGTGATAGCCTGGGACGGTGTACTTCCCGGAGGGCTAAGCTCCATTTGGGCCAGGCGGCCGCCGAGTGTGTTGCTCTTCTTCATTCGTTGCTTATCGGAAGTAGACGGTTGGGGAGATACAGGAGCCGTAAGTGTTGACCCATCAGATTTCTCCCCATTCTGTCCTAGGTCCAAAACCAATTCGCCCGACAGATCGCTCACAAGTAACCTATCCAAGTGCCCAACGAACTCTGGCGCTGATCGAGATTTTGCCTTTGCTTTCTTCACTCTACGCCTGCGTCTTGATATTTTTGATTCAGCTTTGACCGGTTTGACAAGAAAATCAGGGTCGGTGACGAGATCTCGATCTGCTTTGGGAGATTGAATTCAATTTCCGGACCAGCTTGAAAAAAAATCTTACCTCGATCACGCTGTTGGATCAAGACAACGAGCTGTTCATGATACGACAACTGGCGAGGTTTGGGTGTTTCCTGGCTCCATCGTTTGCTTGATGAAGACTCGATCAAAGGTGACTCTCCGGATTTGTGTAGCGCTCTCTGCTCCACGTCTGCCAGGCAAGCTTCCGATCGTTGAGGCACAGAGACTGGTTCAGGGGTTGCCACATCTGGCTCTGGGGTCGTGTCGATGTACGGTATTTGAGTGGGGAGAGAGAGAGAAATGAAATGGTCGAATCCATTGCCATAACGTGTGGAGGTCGTATTTTCATCAGCAGAAACGTCGGAAAGGCCTGGTGTCGTACAGGAAGTGAGCTTGTTTGGAATGTCTGGTTGCCCTGCTTCCTGTGGAGAGATGGGTTCAGGTGAACTATTGGCGAGAAGGACGTTGGCGTCTGTGTTGGCAACTGGGTACAACATTTCATACTGGAGCGTACTAGGATCACGCGAAGTCGTCACAAGGTGGTATGCACGAGTCATCATGGGGGCATAAAGTCGTTGTAGGAAGTCGACTGCAACTTGGAACCCTCGGGATTCGTACATGGCACCAACGTAAGCTTCAAATGCATCGGCCTTCGAATGGGTTAGATGGATTCTATGATCGACAAATCAATGCTCTTACCACTGCCCATTCTCTTCTCCTTGGCCGCCGTGACAGCGATTTGTCAAGATTGTATGCCTTGCCGATGATGTCGAGGGCTTTGTTGGACTCCAGAAGCCTGAGGACACTGACAACACCATGAGGCTGAAGATGAGGATATTTTCGCCATAACATTGACCTGAGAGCCATGGTTATGACAGAGTCGCCGACTTGTGCAAGAACTCCATTATTATTGCGCTTATCATGGGACACAACATTCCGTTCGGCGTACTTGACGCTGACGAAAACCTATGACAAACCAGATCAGGGAACATCTCTGTAACGGATGAGTCGCTCGTACCTGCTTCAACAGCAACCGATCGGTTACTTCAGGGAGAGAAGGATATTCTAAAATTTCATTGACTTGATCAAGTCCCGCGAGCAGACCGGATTGCTGAGGGTCTGCGTATTCACTGGGTACCGCAGGGCTGCTCTGAAAAAATGATGGAATGAGCTCAGCTGATAGTGTGATATCACCATGTTGGACACCCACCGGCGAAGGCAATGAATGACTGTCGGAAGAATGGGTGTCCCCTGATTTCGCTTCTTTTTCATGGTCCGCCTTAGCCCCCTCAAGTGCACGTGCATATTTCTGGAGCAGCATTGTCCAGAGGTGCGTGCCGGTAAGCCTGCAGTACGGAAATAGTGCTCCTGTTTTCAGCAGGGGGCTTTCCAGAAGATCTTCCAGTCGAGTAGGACCTTTGTCCATGAGGAGCTTTGCCTGTGGCGAGAGAGCTTTTGGGTCATCGCTCACATGTGGAAAAGACGTTGAAGGGCCCGGAAGCGAGTTCTTTACCGAGGAGCGAAACTGTTCAGCACAGGAAAACAGTGTGGCCTTTCTTCCGTACTGCTCGCGCATGCGTCCCACGAAAACGCAAGTCGGAGGAGAATCGAGGTATGAGATGACCTCCTCTTCGATCTCCTTCAGTGCCAACGGCAGTCTCTCTCGTGTTCTCCAAGCCACTCGCTCCGAAATCGAAAGTATCCCACCACCCTCTGAGTAGCGCCCTCTGTCACTCCAGCGGTTGATGCTTCCATCTCTCTTCATTACACACTACACCTCCCGCGCACCGGCACAACGTCGTCGGGACTTCGTCTTCAAGTTCTTGGTCGTTGTTCGAGGAGAAAGTTCAACACTGTAGAAAAGAGAGCTGTTGCATCGCCGTAGAAAACCCAAAGACCACGGAGATGGTATTTGAAGCTTTCAAAAGGCTAGCTGTCCAGAGCTCTGGGCGTCGAAGAAAAGTCTACCGGTCAATAATCGAATCCCTTAGGCAAGTGATGCCTTTTTCCAAATTTCAGAGGCATTTGGTTCCGTTTTCTTAGTCAGCATCGAATATGTAAAAGGTCGGTCAGCGGCCATCAGTCCTTTGCTGGGAGAGCTGACAGCGGTCTCGTGTCGACGACCACGACCACGACCAAACGTCTCATTCAAGTTGAGGGCTCTCTCATTGCCACTCATTCACATCTCATCATGTCTGCACCGACTCGCGCGCAAATCCTCAACTTGTACACTGCGACTCTACGCACAGCTCGGACTTTCTCGTCATACAACTTCCGCAACTACTTCGTTCGCCGGACGAAAGAATCCTTCCGAAAGAACTCGGACGAGAGCGATCCCGCGAAGGTGTTAGAGCTGTACCAAGATGGATTGAAAGAACTCGAGGTGTTAAGGAGGGCAGCGGTCGTCAACAGGCTCTACGAAGGACCGAAGCTGGTGGTGGAGAAGGAGAGACTTGGACGTGCAGCAGGATTGGGGGGTGGAGGAGCAGGAATGGAAGCGAGCATTGGTGGTGGTGGGCAGCCAACAGGTTCTCAAAATGTTGCATGAAGGATGGGGAGATTGCGGATCTGGGCGAGAGCAAGTTTTTTGCAAGTCGTTTTGATGTAATGTGGTAGAAGCATTGTAGTGGTTGTCATGCATGTATCTCTATGGAATCACTCATTTTTATCTAGGATGTCTGATGCGGAGGTGATGTCCCATTCCATCTGAAAGAGCGTCGAGTGTACTGCTCTGAGGGTTAATGGGATATACGAGATGTGAGGGAAGACTGGAAGTGTTGTAGTACTGTAACACTCTTTGAATACAATACCTGGATGAATCACATGAATAGTCTACATAAGGTTAAAGCCGGACTGAACCTATTGTGCTAGTGCTCTCACTTATTCGTGTCATGTACAGGATAGTACGGCATAGTACGAGAGTCTAACCACCATGCAGGGTCGAAATGAAAACGATTTCATCCCCAGGCTTCAGTTCATAGTCCAGTTCTCCTTCCAGCTCCCAATCTGTATCGTTTACAAGCACGAGGATCCCCGGGCGTCTGCATTCATGCTTTAGTCAGTACATCGACGTAGCACGATGATATGCGTACACAGTCTCTCCATCCATAAACAGCTCCTTCCTATCAGTCAATAGGTTATCAGACATCCATCGTATGAGGTATCGGAGGTCTGCAGGCCGCTCTGGGTGTGTTCCAGATGACGGCGCGATTGCTGGAAGTGTGGTCACTTGGTTGCGCTTATTGGAGAACAGGACTTCAACTCCGCCCCTGGTTTACAAGCTCGTCAGCTCAATAGATTGATTCAGCTTATAAATCTCATACCCAAATGCAAGCTTGATTTCTATCGTCTTACCATCGCTCATTTTCGGCGGAGATCTTTCAAAATGAGATGCACATCAAGTCTAGAACTGTGCAAATTTCGGCATCAAACTGCAGTCGGCACAAGCGCCCATTGAAGTCCCTGTTCCCCAACAACGGCGTCATCAGCGCCCAGCTCCGAAATATCTCTCCTCACAACATGATGCCTTCATCATGGACCCTGTTCGCATTGTTGCATCGACGATATCTGACTTAACTAATAGCTACAACCTCAAATGTACCTTCTGAAGCAAAACTTCCGGATGAGCTGCGACGACCTCTTGCTGTTGCGTGCAAAGCAGCGGTGTTGAACCCGCCAGAGTGGATACAAGTCCCGCAAGAAACAGAGGTAGAAGACTGTTTTATGGTAATATGGTGGGATGTCGAAGGTCAGAAATGGCTGAAGGATGTTTGTGACTTGGTATGTTGACTTTGAGTCTGAACGCGACTGTATCCTTCGTTGACTGCAGATGCAGCTATTGGTCGACTGCGCTACCCTTCCACTGAAACCCACTGGCACAGACATTCACCCTTTACCTATCACTAGTCAAGACTCGCAACTTCATCTTGCTTCTGCTTTGCTCTCATACACGCTGTTCCCGCCCCCTTCTCACCTCCCATCCTCCATCCCCGAAAAAGCTGCAGGTTCAGTGAACTATCCCGCCTTTCAAAGAGCCTTCATCTCGCGTACTTTGTCCTTCCTACTAGTGCCTACCAAGACTCTGGTCGAGGCGGAACATGCAGCGAGCCTGCAGCTTATGTGGGAGCTTGAAAAGGCGAAGAAGCAGATGGACGAGAAGAGCGAGGCGGCCAGGAAGGCGAAGGAGGAAGGGTGGGGAGGTAAGTGGGGAAGATGGGCTGCCACTGGAGGAGGTCTCGTGGTGAGCTGAATGAATCATCTCTAATAATATTGTCCTGAGCTCCTAAGATCGGCGGAATCACCCTTGGTGTCACCGGAGGCCTGGCAGCACCAGCGCTTCTACCCCTTATCCCCTTCCTGTCCGTTGCTAGTGCACCAATTGTCTTGGGGACTCTGTTTGGCCTTGCTGGAGGTGGGTTAACTGGGTATCGCGTGCGAAATAGATGGGCTGGCGTGGAAGAGTTTGAGTTCAAGCAGATATTGGGCGGTCATGAGCGCGAGGCGCCGTCTTTGACAGTATGTATGCGCTCCCAACAGAAGGACATGCTCATGCTGAGGCTCTAGGCTACCATATTCATCCCTGGTATCGCACTGGAGAATGAAAATGAAACGCTCGATGCTTCGAGATCCACCCTCTCGTTAATCAAGCCATCGCGCGACGTCTTCCACCTCGTGCACTTGCCCAAAGTGATGCTTGAGACAGGCAAAGCCGTGCGCGGCTTCCTCACTTCTCAGGTACTGAGCAAGATCAAGGGAGAGATCATCAAGCCGACGGCGCTGCAAGCGGTCATAGCAGCTGTTTCATCGCCGATGAGCATATATGGGACGACCGGGACTATCGTGGATAATGCATGGGGTCGGGGATGCGTGAGTGACATTCATTGGCGGCGAACAAGATAATTGATGTCCTTGTGTAGGAGAAAGCACGGAAGGCAGGCGATCTGTTAGCAGATGTTCTTCGAGAAAGAGTACAGGGTGAGCGCCCAGTAATCCTAGTACCCCCTTTCTTCGCGTCAAGGATTTACTTATATAGCTCATCCTGTCTTGCAGATCGGCTATTCCTTAGGGGCTCTAACCCTCTTCCAAGCACTTCTACAGCTCGCGAATCCCTCGCCAAAGTCCGTGTTTACCTCCGGCGCATCGCCGAAACCATTGATCGATACCGCCATTCTTATCTCCATGCCTATGTCACCCTCGACCTCTGAGTGGGCACGTGCACGACAGTCAGTTGCCCGCCGTGTGGTCAACGCGTACAATGAGGCCGACCTAGTGCTTGCGAGTATTGGCAGGCTGGGAGAGGTCATAAGTGGTCGGGTAGGATGGGCAAGAATGGCAGGACTGTCGAAGGTGAACCGGGAAGCTGTGGAGGATGTGGATATGACGGATCTTTTGGATGGTATGCCTTTTATATCATCTGTACCCATTTTGCTCAATGCCTGCCATCAGGTCACTTTGAGATTCGTCGCAAGTTGCCCCTGATACTTGATCGGATAGGACTGGATAAATAATACAACTGTCACTCTGTGTTGTAGGCATTAAACAATACATCCGATAACAGGACCGTAAGTAGTCCATGCTACTTGTTGAATATGTAGAAAAGGATTGAAAACGCCCTTTTGGCTGAGATACGTAGCGTCAGCAACGTAGACGTTAGACTCACAGGTCCGACGATTCTCAGCGTCCATATGGATGAACGCTTTCATTCAATATTGTAAGCCATGCACGTGGTTGCCATGGGAACCTCACGTGCCAAGTGAGATCAGCGGGCGAGCCCCTCTCTTGCCGCCTGGTCTTCCAACCCAACTTCAACGCATACAATGGCGACATGACTCAAATTATCGCACACCGACTCTATCTCTGATGTAACCTGAGTTTCCCTGGTCCAGAATCTTCCAGCTGGATCTTGCCCATTAATCTCTGCACCCGTGGTAAATGCACAACAACCCTGACTGGCGTTGAGGTGATCGTCCCTGTTCACCTTCAATCCGATCCAGAGATCGGATAGATGTCATCTGGCATCTTGCAGACAGCGACCTGCCCTATCCCGCGGCATCATTGACCACTCACAGTGGATCATCCAGGATTGGAAACCAATCAAATCCAGAACACACTGGGACCCATCCCCCACAAGTAGCGACGGGACTGACTTCAGGATTTACACTGGCCATCAACCGCTTCCTGTGGATGGGATAGATGAAGATACCCTTAATGTCGCCATCAGGAGCTTGATCATCGCCCCGCCTTCCTCAACAAGGGTCGATGTCCGCTGCTCAAGTTGGTGGAGCATATTCTTTTGAGCCCGACCGACGAATTGAAATACGCAGGTCACGTTGCCACCGGCAATTGTTCTTCTGGGAGATTGTATGTACTCCGGCGATGCTAGTGGCACCCTCTGCGATGGTCGGTACGCCTTCTTCATTCCAATCGACTCGCAGATCCTCAGGGGTCACCGGAGCAAGGACCTCTGCAGATCCGGGCGATCTACGTGTCCGCAGCCCCTTCTACAGTGTCTATTCTGTGTGCTGATCAATTGATTTAGTACTCCTACATTGCGATTGTCACTGATCTGGATCTCTGATCTGGCGGTTGTTGCACTGGGACAGACTTCCTCTACAGCGCATTGCCCTTCATCGAGTATCATGGGACCTCGCCCGAGCATGGTTGGCGGCCGCATGGTATGGAACCGTTCCGGGGATAATCAATCACCGATTCGAGCGCTGCCGTCAGAAGTTCCAGTACCCATTTGGCTCTCGTTCCAACTTTCCAACTTAGATGGCTGGTCGACGGCCTAGAATGCTACCGAAATAGCCACACCGGCAAGGCACCCTTGTGTTCGTCCGATACTTCGTCAATCAGATGCAGGTGGCTTTTCCAGAACCTGTGACGAACTCCTGGCTCTCTTCAAGGTTTAGTGGGAAGGCTTGTATTCACCACAACGAGGGTCCAGCCGTATAAGGCTGGAGTGATCCGAATAGTGAAGAATATCGAAGCATATTGAGGCGGGGCGTTTCCAGGCAATTGCCAATTTGAGCGCTGACACTGGTGAATCTGGTCACGAGCCCCCAAAAAGCCAGCCCTTGCGGTGTTGCAACTTGACTCGGGATTCTCTACATTATACTCCCGAACGGGGCATTGTCGAGCGGCTCACATGGTCAGAATCGTTGTGGGATTTACAGGACAAGTGGCCCTGTAGACGTACATAAATACGGCTCCTTCGACACCAGTTAGTCCCTCAGGCCCCAGCCCCGTCCGGAAACCAAGTTGAACCGAGTCTACTTTCACACAGTCAGTGTTGAGCTATTCTATCTGTCTACTTCCTCTGATACTGCAATAGATGAATAACAATTACTCTGAATCGTGGAGGAACGAGAGCAAGCACGCGTTCAAGCTGTTCTTGGCCGATATCCAGGCCCCAGGCCATCACGATCTCCCTCTCTCCGACTTCGTTCTGCAGCCAGACAAGGACTACACTCTGTCTTGGACCTGCCCGCCTCCCAATGGCGACGGGGCAACATCTGGGTATCTACGCTTTTGGTCCGTCCCTAGCGATGGGACGCCGGGAAGCGGCATGACGTTCGGTGTCAAGATTGAGGAAGACTTCGTGATGGGCAAACCTAAGTCGTCTCGCGTTTTCATTTACGTCGGCTCGCCCACCGGCAATCCGAACGCCTGGACGGACGTAACTGAAAAGCTCGCGCCGGAATACAGCTTCCCCGTCAAGGGACCGTCCTTCATTGAGAGTTATGAGGTTACCATCCAGCGGCTGCTTGGTCCGGTCCGTCTTCCTCCCCCGCGCGTGGTCTTCCAAGTCTGACTTTCATTCGCAGAGGTTCGGCGTCAGCATAACCATCAAGACTCTGTATACTGAGTTCGTCTGAATGGTCCCCATCCACATTCTAAGCTAACAAAGAACCTAGGTGATTCTGGATCCGAAAGATAGCTCCCTCGATGCATCGATGTTCCGTTCATGTGTCGGCTTTATGTGTACCGCGTTTGCAAATATGAGAAAAAGGTGCACGAATGAATCGATTTTGATGGTCTGTGATTGGTGATACCACCTCCCGCGCTTGATACAGTCCTTTTACAGCGTAGTGTCCTTGATGAACTGTCATTGGACCTCGCCTGAACATGGCTGACGGCCGCACAGAATGGGGTAGTCCGGGAATATATAAACACCGCTTCGAATGCTCTCGCCGGAATTTAATGTATAAACAGCACGAATTTGGCAATACGAAGCTCTGCAATACCAGAATAACGATCTTCCTCCATCACAACGCACTGGTTTCTCATTGCACGCCGAGATCGATAGGACTGGACACAAGAAACCAGATGGAGGTCTTCCAGTCTGCAATCAGGATTCTCCGTCCCCACCGTAAACCATATATTTGGAAGTCACATTTTCGGTCACCATAATGTAGGGCATACACGTCCATCAGCCGTATAAAAGACAGCGTCCAGGTCAACACTCGCTTGCTCCTTGGTACCCACTAATTCCTCTACAAACCGAACTCCGTCAAACCTCCCTTCGCACGGTCAGCATTGAGAGTTTCCAAGAACATAACTCGTCTGATACTTCGATAGACGAATTACACCGACTCTGAAGTTCGGAAGAATGAGAGCCAGTACCCCTTCAAGCTGTTCTTGGCTGATATCTAAGCTCCCGGTGCAGGAGCCCTCCCTCCAGCCAGCTTCGTCCTACAGCCTGACAAGAGCTACAGTCTGTCCTGGATCTTTCCGCCGCCACATGGAGACGGGACGACATCTGGGTATCTACAATTTTGGTCCTCCCTGCAAATGAGATGCCCGGGAGCGAGCTGACTTCCAGGGTCAAGATTGAGCAAGACTTTGAGAAGGGAGAACCGAAGACCTCTGAATTTTCACTTACGTTGGCTCGCCCACCGGCAATCAAAACTCCTGGACAGACGTCACTGACAAGCTCTTGCCAGGATTTCACTTGTCGGTCAAGGAGAGGGTCTTGTAGAGAGCTATGGAGTAATCATTCACCGGCTGCTTGGCGCGGTCTGTGTTCTCTTATCAAGTCTGGCCTTTCAAATATGACGTCCAGCTGTAGAGGTTTGGCGTGGGAATCCCTCTCAAGACGCTGGACCTCAGTTCGTGTGCGTTCATTTGAGTTTCTGTCGTCCCTATTCTAAAATAATCCGCACTATGGTGATCTGTGAAGGCAACTGTAAGTCGGCTTGGTGCATATTCTCCCTTTGAATACAGGATATGGCAGCTCAGGAAAGGACCAATTTTTAATATGTACCATTGCAAGTACCAGTCGGTAAATGCATACCTGTTCATATGATTGCAGGTAAAGTGAAGCCCTCTGACCGGTGGAGATCGCATTATGAAGAGCACGCGATGCTTGATTTGGTTCAAAGCAGTATTTCGACCATATGATCGACCCATCGTCATGTCGGTTGTAGTGGCTATCGACTTTGTTCTCCCACATCCATCAGAGCGACTCTCATTTTCCCGTTCATGTGACCATTACCTAAACCTGTCAGGTACAATGGATCTAGGTCAGGGTCTCCAGGAATGTGATGCCCCTCCCAAACCAGATGCAGTCTTACACGTCACCCCAGACTCCACGCTCGCATAATGCTTATCCGTTTAAACGACCGTTGGATTACCTATGTAAATGATACAGCAGTAGGAAGAAGATATCGACAATTGCACTTAAGCAAGTGAGGAATCGGTGGATGCCTTTCTGTCCAGCTTGGGCATTGTGGCGGTTTTGGCACCGAGTTCAATCTCACTGGCATGATGATCCCCATAAGTGGTCGTTTCGACCGAAACGATAGGGAAGGCACCCGGCGTTCGTCGACCATAAGAAGTGACGTGGGCCTCCCCGCTGTTGGCACCAAATACACCGTTGCGTGGGAGCGAGTGCGGTCCATTGCCTGCGCTGTAAGCCTTGCTTGATGTAACGCCGACTTGGATGGAAAGGATGATGACCGTAGGAACAATGCCCTGCAATGTGCAGCAGTCAGTGGCTGGGGGAAGAGTAAAGATACTTTGAACGTACAAAAAGCTGAGGCATAAGCTCAAACATGATATATATGGCCTGCATATTGACGGTGCCTGCGAACGCAATCTGGAAAGTGGCAAACTCGATGATCTTGGCCAGAGTGATGGCAAGACCGGATTCGATAATGAGAGTGATGGCAGCTAGAGATCGAGTACCAGCACCAGTACCAGCCATGAGCTTGTTTGTGGTGCGGGAGATCCACCTAGATCGAGGGGTCAGAACCCGAAATATGTTTAGAACGGCACACTCACCATATTCGACCAGCAGTCAAGCTGGTCACAAGAATGTTAGTTGCCAGCGATATTGAGAACATGGCAGTGCCCCATGGCTTGATGGATGTGTCGGTCGTGAGATCGGGAGACAGATATTTTCCGATAGCAACATAACCCGCGACTGCAATACGCTGTAAGTAACGCTTGTCAGTGGCTCGAGGGATCACTTACTCGCTTCACCGACGACCATGAGGATTGGGAAGGCAACAACCACCCACTTCTTCCTCCACACGATCCAGCAACGCCAGACAATCACGCTGTCGCCAATGATCAACTGTGCGATGAGAACTGTCAGTGGACGTTTTCGATGGGGTTCCATCTTCGACGCACGCTCGTGATGTACAAGAAGTCTTTAGCAACGTTGATCTTGAGAGCAACGTTGGAGAAGAAGTAAATGCGAGGCAGGCCGGAGTCTGTGAACACGAAGCCCTGGATAAGGCGGACAAAGTCGAGCGTAATATGGCAAGTAGCCAAAACATAACTTGTTCATCTCAGTTCGTGATCCTCCGCATCATAATGTTCACGCACAGAGAGATGAGCGCAGCCAGTTGCACAGGATGTAATTGCCCGTGGTTGAAAACAAGCCATAGGCAAAGACCAAATAAAACACCGTAGACACCTATTGACCGCCCAGCTCAACATCCAGGAATCCAGGAGAAACGAGTTGCCTACCCCAGAGAACCGCTGAACACCAGCTACCTACAAGGTAGGCGTAGTCAATGGGAAAGTCTGCCATCTCCTTCTCAGTTTGCACAGCGCAAGGAGTTGTTACGGAGATCCGACAACACGGGGAACCGATAGGCAGCAGTTCTTCCAATATTTATACCAGCACTGCAGAGATTAGGCGATGTCTGTATGCGATCGGAAACGCCATGTTGAAGCAGTTCCGTCGGGTACGGGAAGTGTGGTCCAACAGCAAAGGTCGTAGCCGCCAATTGGCTTCTATCTTTACATTACGGAAGCTCCAGGCGCGCGAAGGAGAGAATGCTGCGAGGTTGAGGCACCAGGACGCGCTCAAGGTTTAACAAACCTTCTCCGACTTGTACGTCACGCGCGTGGGAAATTGCGCACAAATCACCCTCAAATTTGGTCGGGGTGGAAAACAACTCCAACCGTTGCCGTGCCGATCCGATAGAGGTATGAGAGACATAGATGGCAACAGCTGCATATGCAGTCGCAAGCCAAGCGTGACGAAGAAATTTGCCAGAGCTCAAGTTGCTATCGAATTTGCACAGGGTGGTCAACGCATATCTAGAGTCTGAGAGGGCTTAGGGAGGAGGCAGAATATGGACCCCCAGCCCGTCGGATACAAACTTCGGTCCCGGGCGCGATGCCGTGCTTCGAAAAGGGTCCGAGATTCTTCCGCATGGTTCATATGAGGGCTATCATCAATAAATTACTCGTAACCGGGAGATTGGTGTAGACATTCCTTGATTATTCTCTTGCCTCTCAATAATTGGTCTCGGGACACTCTCAATTTACATCCTCTAAGCTATCCTGACGTCTTCGCGGCCTGCGCCCACATGGAATGTTGTCCCTCAGCTCCTGGACCGCTTGCCGTAATGTGTTAAAAACCTCGATCGTCTTGCCCCGGGGTCACAAGTCGCGGAGTCAAGAAGAAGATTTGAACTGTCGCTTGTATTCTCACCTCAGCACCCTGACGACATTGAGTCGTTGTATCGTCCCTGATGGCCCATTTCTCTCATTTGAGTGAGAGTTGAAAAGGCCCAACACTCTCACCTCTCTCTCCTTGATACCCCCCTTCATAGATGCTCTATCTTCCCCTCCTGGCAGGCGTGGCACTCCTGGCCGTATGGCTGTTCACCCGCAAAAACAAGAAGAGCAGGCTGCCACCTGGTCCCCCTGGAGTTCCCATTCTCGGCAATGTCCTTGATCTGCCGTCCAAGCTCATGTTTCTCAAGTTCGACGAGTGGAGGGAACAGTACGGCGAGATCATGTGCCTCAACCTCGCTGGCACCAGGTTGGTTGTCGTTAACTCGGTGACGGCCGCTGCAGATATCCTAGAGAAGCAGTCGGCGGTGACCTCAGGGCGACCGAGGATGGTGATGGCCGCTGAGATCATGTGCGGCAGCCTGATCCCTGCCTTCATGACTTACGGACTTCCGTACGCATTCCTCATTGATACAACGGAGTTTCGTCTCATACTTCTTCTAGATGGCGTCGATTTCGCCAGGCTTCTCATCAAGTCTTCAACATTCGTGCCAGCCAGGCTTTCTGGCCCATGCAAGAGCACGAGTCTGAGCTCCTCATTCGGGGTCTGTTCGAGGATCAGTCTCATCTTGAGAGGCATCTATCACGTCTATCAACGTCAGTGACCTGGCGTTTCCTATACGGTGGTCCAGCCATCCGTGATCCTGACGAGGACAAAGTCAAGGTCATGAACAAGTTCGTCCTCAGCGTTGCTAGTGCGGCTCAACCGGGTGCTTCGATCGTCGACATTTTCCCATTCCTCAAGCCGCTGCCGACTTGGGTTGCAAGCTGGAAGAAAAACGGCCTGGAGTTTTTCAAAGAGAGCGATGTTTATTTCATGGATCTGTTCCATCAAGCTGCTAATCACAAAGTACGTGATACTCCAGCCACGCTGCGCATATTCGCTGACGTGCATCATAAGGAGGAAGCCTCGTTTGTGAACTCCTCGCTCCAGGTAGCTGCCGAGTTTGGCATTCCCGATCAAGAAGTTGCCTGGGCTGCAGGTGGGCACTTTGCTGCTGGGGTTGAAACCGTGAGTTACACGACCCAACAAGTTCGTCCCTGACATTTGAGCCCTTCAGACCGCCACCGTGCTCATGCACTTCATCAAAGCGATGATCCTGTATCCAGAGGCATGCAAAAAAGGACAGGAGCAAGTTGACCAAGTCTGCGGTAATCGCATCCCCAAGTTTTCCGACAGGGATCAGTTGCCTTACGTCTTCGCCATGGTCAAGGAGATTCTTCGCTGGCGCCCTCCTGTTCCTTGCGGTGTACCTCATGCAGCTACTGAGGTAGGGACTTCATCTCCGGTCTCGTTTGGTGTGTACTAACAGAGTACAGGATCTGACGTATGGGCCGTACTTGATCCCCAAGGGCGCCATCATCATGGACAACATTTGGTATGTGACCCCATCGTTGTCTCAAGCGTTTCCTCTGATTTCCTGAAAGGGCCATGTCGCGGGATCCATCTGTTTTCCCGGACTACGACACGTACAATCCCGATCGCTATCTTACTCCCGACGGGCAAGTTCGTGTCAGCCCGAACCCCGTTGACGAAGTGTACGTGTACAGTCACGGCCGTCGCATCTGTCCCGGAAGAGACATTGCGAACCACAGTCTGTTCATCGATGCTGCTGCCCTCCTGTGGGCATTTGACTTTGAAAAGGCGAAGGGTCCAGATGGAAAGGAGATCACTCCGGGAACGATGGACTTCGTTGACAATGGCCTTGCTGTGTATGTCCCATGGTATCCCACTTTCGATTAGACTTCACTAATGCCTATTTTTAGTCAACCGGCGGAGTACCCGTATCATCTGAAACCCCGCCGAGCCAATCTTGACGAGTTGGTTGCTCATTTTTAAATGGACATGCCTGCCCAGCGTTTGTGCGGGACTGTTTTGGTATCTGGATTTATTGGTGCATATATTAACAACATGCGGTTTTCTTACATGCAGTTTTCATGCGGTTTTCCTACGATTTGTTCTTGGATTTGCCATTAGATATGGAATTGTATCATCGTTTTAGAAACGGACGGCCCGGAGGATCTGAAAGGCACAGCTTCGGGAGAGCCGGTCGTATTGAGCCGTATTCTCTCCAATATTGGTCAGCTTTTCAAGCTGACCGTACAGGCTTACCCGGGAGGTATTCGACTTAATCTTCAAATTCGGGCGGCTGCATGGGGAAGAAGGCGGGGAGCTGAATTCCCAACGGAAGAGTATCCACGCTTCCGCCAATCCTGGTCTTCTGCTTCTTTCGATAGACCACAACGAAGAATCTGCGGCTTCTCTCTGAAAGGCTCCGTAAAAACATAGTTGATATTTATACGGTTTCCTGATGACTATGGGGACGAGAGATGTGTCGGCATCCCCGGTCCGGAGCTGTCTGTTTCCAGCATTTCTTTTTACCTCTGAGAACGCATGGATATCCTCTTGCTTCGAGCCAAAAAATGGGTGGGCTCTGCGGCCCAGGCTGTCGAGTTCTCGAGCACACACGCAGGAACGTTCCCTCGAACCTCTGGTCACGAAGCACTCGGGCTTGGACTCAGACTCGGAGGTGGCCCGTGCCCCTGGGCCAGGCTCTCGAAGGCCTAGCCTGAGAGGGAGGGATCTTCAGTTGGCTCTACTGGCATTGGTACAGGTTCGGGCTCGGGTAGGCCGCGAGCAGAGCAGCGAGCAGCAGCAAAAACGAGCAGCAAAATGGCTCCCTTCCCCCTCCCTGCTCTTAGACAGGCCAAGGCAAGCAGGACTGAGGACCAAGACTGGGACCAAAGACTAACAGACTGTTCGATCTACATGTATTACTCAACGTGATCAAAGTGATCAAAGTGATCTAGTTGTACACTCAGGAAAACGAAGTCTAAAAAACGGTATTCAGGTATTCTGGACTTTGGGTACTTTGAGGTATGTCTCGAACGACAGCGAGTGCGAAAGCGAAAGCGTGCGCGAGGGCGTCTGCTGGTTGTTGGCTGGATGCTGCTGGTCGACGGATAGCAGATAGCGCATGTCGAAAGGATAAAAATACAGTTTTGCGTCTCCCCCCCTCCCGCTCATCCCCTACTCTTCCTCCTCTTCTCCCCATACTCAATAGCGCCATACCACCCCCCCCCCGCCAACGTCAGTCCAATCCCCAAAAGGTTCATAGGCGTAATAGTCAGATCAAATATCAGCACCGCCAAAACGATCGTCAGCACTTGCTTAACGTTCGCAGCGACTGTCATCGTTAAAGGCCCAGTGCGTTTGTTGGCTGTGAAGCTGACGACGTTTAAGCCGAAAGCTATGATCCCGTTGAATAGGAGTGCAAGGGCGCGTGGGCGGGTCATCTCCGTCGCTCCGAATACACGGACTCGTTCCAGTTCTCCAGATGTGTAGGCGTACAGTACACACTGGACAAAGGCTAGGGGCGACATACGTAGCAAGAGGTCAAGCGGGTGAAGCTGGGGTGCTCTGAAGCTCGACAGGGAGAGGGAGAGGGGAGGGGAGAGTTTGGCTAGCTTGCGGAGGGAAGCGACTGACCAGCTTCTCTGATGTTTCTGTCCTCTACCTTGGGCGTGCGTGTGGGCGTGCGTGTGCGGGGCGTGTTGAGGTAGGTTTGGAGTAGGCGGGGATTGGAGAAGGTTTGTTACGATCGTCTTACACGCTGCTAGGAAGGTGCCTAGGAGTGTGAGTACCAGGCCCCAGGTGGTGAAGTAGTAGTCTCCGTAGGTTGCGAACCCTACGCCTGCGACGACCGGTAGGAGGGAGAGGAGCTTGAGCTGACTTGGCGGGCCGCGCGAAGGGAGGAGCGTTGCCGCCAGCGCGATGGTGAATAATGGAGTTGCGGCGCGGACGACTTGATGGAATGGGACTGTTACTAGCTGGAGGGAGATGTTGGACACGGCGATGTTGACTGTGTAGAGGATGCTGAATGCGCCCAGGGTGAGCGTTTCCGCTCGGGTCAATGGCTGGGGCTTGAAGTACCCTAGTTCTAGAGCGATCCAGCAGCCGATACTTCCACAGAGCGCGTGGACAGCGGTAAGCGTGTACGGAAAAGGGAACTTGACGAGCACGCCTTTGTTGTACAGCGTCAAGCCGAGGTTGAACGCGAAATAGAGAGCGAGCCAGGCGGCGGGCGTGTCGAGCGAGCGGGCGAGCGTGGTGGGAGGCCTGTACTTTTCTGCTATGATGGCGCTGAGTGAGCGGGATGATTCTGGTGCTGGGGAGACGGAGCGGGAGGGGATGGGGATGGGGATGTGTAGCGCGTGCGGTGCTTGCTGCGAGATAGGGGCAGGGGGGAGCAGCGCCGTCGCTGTCGTTGGGGAAGGAACGGAGCTCGTGGTAGACGGTTCTGGGCTCGGGAAGAAGGCGGAGCTTGGTGGGACAGAACTCGGTGCTGGCGTTGGGTAGACAAACAGTTTCTCGCTATTGCTATAACTCGGGGGGAGAGCGGTGTGTGGTTCATCAGGCTCATACCTGGGGAGCTGGTGCTTCGAGGGAAAGGAGTAGTCCGAGTCCTGTACAGGGAGTTGGAAACCGAGTGGGGAAACGAAAGTTTCTTTCTCCTTTTCGGATGACTTGTCTGCCCATTGCTGGGGAGTGTCCATCTCCGCGTCGCTGTGGTCGCTGTCCGGGGGAGTGGGCGGCCTGGGGTGAGAGCGGGTAGGAGTGCGAGATGGAGAGTAGGTGAAATGAGGTGGGCGTCGTCGTGTTGGTGAGAGGGGGAGAGGGCGTGCTGATAGTGAAGGGAGCATTGTGTTATAAGAAGGGAGGGAGAGTACGGTATGAATACGTCTTTGTGTGGTGTTATGCGAGTAAGAGTGGCCGATCAAGTGTAGAATGGGGAGAAGAGGGGATCGCTGACCTTTCCAGTGTTTGGGTGTAGAGTGTTTATAGAGAGTAGTGGGAATGTTATGTGTTTACTCTGTGACAATAAACACATCCAGCAGGTGCAATTCGTTACATCGAAACATATCATCAGTGGCACTGCACTTTCGGCATCTCGGCATATTCCCACCTTGGTAACCGCCACAACCATTCCCCTCTATTGGTTCATCCTCATTAGGCAGCATACTTTCTGCTTGAACCGCCAAGCCAAGAGCAACACCACCGATCTGCACCTCCTCACTCACTCACCACTCACGCATCACTCATCAATCCCACGTGCCCAAAATACACAACTACACCACACCCGTGTTATTTACCTTCACCTACATAACAAACTAATAACTAGTACATACCACTCCCAATCTAATCAACTACTCCGAATACTTCCGCTATATGCATCACACGCACGTGATTCCTAACACAGGGCTATGTCACTCACTCCTCGGTGCCAGTACTGACGCACAAGCACTAGCACTAGTATACGTACTCCGATGCGTCGTACCAGTATCAGCGCACGGGCATGCCGGTGTTTTATTAATGTAAGCGATATGTTTGGTATGTGTGTACATCAGCGGTTATCTAGCTTGTGCGGCATGGCCGATGCTTGAGTACCAGTACAGTACTGGTGCCGAACACGCTCGGCAGAAACTCGCCAGTCATGGATCGTGAGAACTCGGACCCGAACGGACTGGTACTGATCCTCTGCGCTAAAAGCAACGGCGATCTTAGCTTGCGGCCATCAGTTTATGAACAGAGGAGTCGGTATGCGAAGCCCCTTTGTATGACAAGCGGACGAGTCTGTTCGGCACTTGGCACTTTTTGATTAAGGGCAACACTTGCTGCACTGGGAGAGGGCGTGTAGGCACTATAGCCCTACTGAACTGTGTTCCTGGGTTGAGAAAACTCGGGTCAAGGACCTTGGGTTCGGACTTTTTACGAGTTGGTTCTGTCAGGTGGGGGCGGGCATGTACAGCGCACCAGACATTGCTCACAAGCTGCTACATGTACATCCCCAACAAATGCCTCAGTCGATATTTCCAAGGTCGAACAAGTTCAATCAATGAAAAGTTCAGTAAGCACCAGAATGAAGGAGGGCTCAAACTTCGAACGACCTGTTCGAATCAGGTGTTCGGGCAGTTCGGTCTTCTTTTGGGTGTCTTTGAAACCACATTGCATAGGGGTTTGGGGGATTGGAGTCTTAGCACTAGATGGGTCATTCCCCCGCCTCCGCCTCCCTCTCCCTCTCCCTCTCCCTCGGCGCCGTCGGTACGAACCACCATGCCCCGCCAGTCAGAACAATGAGTCCCAGCGCAATCGGCTGCAACACCCCCACTCCCTTGCTAGCCACAATCACCCCCGTCACAGCTGGGAAAACGCTCGCTCCGAGCTGTGCGATGACGAATATGAGCGGGAGGGCGTTGGGCCGGATCTTCCGAGGCATTACCTGTTTTGAAACTTGCATGCCTGCTGCGAACCAGGGGCCGAAGAGTAGTCCCATGAGGGATATAGCGACTGATGTGGATATTGCCGAGGTTACGAGCCAGGAAAGGAGTTGCAGGCAGAGGATAAGCAGGCAGTAGATGGTTAGCATGTAATGTTCGCCCCCGAGCCAGGTATGTGTTGGGTGAGGGAGGAACAGCCGGCCGAGGAACGTACCTAAGTAGTAGCCTGTTGGGATGTAGCCCGCTGTTTGGAGCGGGAGGCCCCGGATGTCTGTGAGGAATAGGACGATCCAGCCTGCTCCGTGTCCGCTTGTTAGCGAGTGTTGTTGCGGAAGGGAAGGGGGACGGACCGCCGATGGTGAATGACGCGCCGAGATAGAAGAAGTAGAAGAGACTGATGAGCCATACAGACCGGTGCGTGACTGTTTCTTTCATCTCGTTCCACGTCTGCTTGTACCTCTCGTTCGTCGGCTGCTGGCCCGCTTCGGTATTCCCCGCTCTCCTCCTCATTCGGATGTCTTCCTTCGTAAAGAACGCCAGAAGCACAAGGGCGATATTCACCAGTCCTATCCCGAATGGAACAGAATAATACAGCGCCCACTGGCCAGCCCGCTGCGCAGCGATCGTATTCGCCACAAGGGGAGCGACGAGCAGTCCCAAGCTGTACATTGCGTGAATGAGCCCGAGCCAGAGGTGGGAAGCTTTGATCGAGGCTACGAAGGTGTTTGCTTGCGCGTCTTGGTAGGCTTGGGCGAGGGAGGCGAGGAAGAAGGTTGTTGCGAACAGGGGGAATGGGGGGGTCTGCCGCTGGGATTAGAGGGTTGGGGTGGTGTGGGAGGGTTGGGGTTGTGTGATGGAGAGAGGGGACTTACCCAGATACGCACGAGTTGGGAGAGCGCGTACAGGCACGCACCGACCAGCAGCGCACCTCTCGCTCCAACCAGAGCGACAGTAAAAGGCAATGCTCCAGCCGCGAGTGCCCATCCAGCAAAACTCGTTCCATACATGATCCCGACCAAACTCGGGCTGATGTTGTACGTCCCGATGAGGTAGGGCAGGAGCGCCCCGAGACTCCCGTCGTTGAGCCCTGCGACGAGGAAACAGACACAGCAGCTGAGCAGCTTGAGACTTGCTTGCCGGGCGGTGAGGCTGTCGTCCCCGCTGCCGGGGGGCTCGGACACAGCAGTCGCGGTTGCGGTTGCGGTTGCAGGCGTGGGTACGGCGGGCTCGCTGGCGACTAGACGGATAGAACGAGACTTGTCCGACTGAGCACGGGCTGCGGAGGGGAACGTCTGCAGCTCGTACCCCGCGTCGGCAACCGTTGTGGTTATCGTTGTTGACATTGCGGTTGTTGGGAGATGAACGATGGAGGGCAAAGACGATGCTGGGAGGACATGTTATGATGGGTTACAGTATGAAGGAAGGGTTATACCGCGTTTTCCCCGAAGTCCTTCCTTGTTAGAGGCGGAATCACGGCTCCGAGCGTCCTTGTACTTTCCCGCATATCCTGCTGCTTGGCACTCCGGCGCTTCTCCCGTATCTCGTCAAGTCCCTGCACAACTTGGTCAAGGACGGTCATGTCCCTCTCTCCCATCCTCAGGCGCTGGCGCCCCCACACCACCCCAGTCCTCCTGCGAGCCCTGACCACCCCGCCTCATTCGGGCTACTCATTCCCGACGAGCACCGACTTCTCCCGCTCGCCATTCGAGCACGTCTCCGTCGGCCACTCACGTATCACCCTCCCTACGTTCGCTTCCAAAGCAGAGGAGGAACAGTACAGGAAGGAACATCTCGCTGCGGTATTTCGCGTCTTGGCCAGAGAAGGGCTTGCGGAGGGGATCGCTGGTCTGTCATACCCTGGCTTATCCCTACTACTCTGATGTGCAGTACTTCGTAGGCCACTGTTCGGTGCGCTCAGCGATCGACCCTTCGAAATTCTACATCAACCCATGGTCCAAGTCTTTCTTTCGTATGAAAGCTTCCGACCTCGTATTAGTGGACGGGGACGGTCAGGTAGTGCAGGATGGCACGGAGACACAGGGGAGGAGCGTAGATGCCAGTGCGACGGGGCTGCATGCGCCGATATATAGAGAGGCGGAGGACGTGTGCTCGATCGTTCATGTCCATGGGCCGTATTCGAAGGGTGAGAACTGCCGTTTCCTGGAGGAGTGGGATCTGAACGAGGGTAGCGTTTTCCGCGTTGGGGAAGCCGGTGGAGATGATCAACCAGGTAAGTGTGCCTGCTTGCAGGGGAGGAGTCTGATAGGGATATAGGACGCATGTGCGTTCCACGGATGTATCATCGACGTTGGGTTCGAAGGGCTCGTGGTGGACGAATCTGAAGGAACGCAGATCGTGAGCCGGATGACGCCGTCGACGAAGATCGCTCTGTTGCAAAATCACGGGTCGCTCGCTCTGGGCCGGACGAGCCCTGATGAAGCGGCTTGGTGGGTGCGTCCCTCCCCCTACTCTCGAGGTAGAAATAACTGACGCCTGCAGTTCCTCTCCTTTGAGAAAGTCTGCCGCGCCCAACTGCTTGTCATGTCCGCGCTCAAACCTGGCGAAAAGCCCATCCTGGTCAATGACGAAGCGCGCGAGTTTACGCTGCGGGAGATGGGCACGGCTGAGATGGGCTGGCTCGGGTTTGCGGGGTATTATGAGCGGGAGGAGTGGGAGGATGGGGATTTTAAGAAATAGAGGTTATTTTGGGACACTACGATGGATGCACGTGACTCAGTCTTGGCAGCTCAAGTATTCCCACAATCGAATGCTATTAATATTCTTTCCCGTATGAACATTCCATTCCTCAATCCCAATGGACCGGTGCGTTATCGGACCGGACCGTTTGGTTGAGATCAAGAGAGGAATATGACCCGGTGCGGTGAGTGAAATGGCGCTTGTTGGTTGCCCGTTGTGGCCGAGCACTGCCTTGAATGATTTAAATGAGAAGTTGTTGTGTTATGATACCGGGGATGCGATTAGAATTGGATAAGCAAGATGGAAGATGATGATGATGATGTACAGTTAAGCTTAAGATAGAGTAGGACTGCCACTCCCAGTTAGCTGGCATGAACTAGTCAGCACATAAGTCAGCCATGTATGTCTCACATTAGATGTATCATCTAGACACACAGCTTACCATCAGTCATCTCTCACCTCTTATCCGCCATCCTTATTCCCCTTCTTCTCCTCCTCCTCCTACTCTTCCCTTTCAACCACCATCTTGTACGCCTTTGCTGGATACTTTTCACCCTATTCTGTTCCATTTATAACTCACAACTCATCAAGCGCCAGCACAACCATCTCCTACTCACTTCTCCTTCTTCTGTGCCTTACCCGCCACAAAATCCGATCACGGCGTCTCTCTCCTTAAAGGGGAGATATGGCAACACTCGCCGTCCCCTCATACAACCACTACACACCTCACACAATGCCACCTCGCTACCCTTCAAGTCCAATCCCGCCTCCCCCACATCCACCAACAACAAGCACCAAACTACGCTCTCACTTGCTCTCCCTCCTCCCCCTTCTCCCAAAACACGCTCTCTTCCACGCAAAACTCACAATTCACGAAGTCGCCTCCGTCCCCTTTCTGGACGGGGAGTTCGCCGCGAAATGGAGGTTCAAGAACGCTCATTCTGTTAGTTCCGCAGCGGGCGGGAGCACGGGGAGCCTACTGGAGCGCGCGGGGGTGAGGAAGGTCGCGAGCTACGACAGGCTCAGAGGGGCCAGCGTACCGGTGCTGGAAGCTGACGAGGGGGAAGGGGAAGGGGATTCAGGGGGATCTTCTTCCTCCTCTTCACCCCGTGGTGGGCGGACGACTCCGATGCCTGGTGACCCGCCTCCCAGACCGCCAGCACGCCCCCCAGGCGCTTCCTACTCTGAACAATCTTACCTCGCCCCGCATTCGCATTCGCATCCGCATCGTCCTCCCACTACACCTTCCAGCGCCAGCTCCTATTCCGCCCCTCCGGCGGGTACGATCAACTTCCTCCCCCAGCCGAAGGGGCAGACGCAGTATGTCCCCCTCAGGCGGCATGCGGCTGTTTGGAGCTTGGACGTGGACGCTGCTGTGCAGATGAGCATTGGGCGCGGGGTGGGGGCGAGCGAGCCTGGCACGCCTGCTTTTCCCGGGACTGCGAAGGAGGAACGCGATCGGGAGAGAGAGAGGGAACGGGAAAGAGAACGGGAAAGGGAGAAGGAACCGGGTTTGCTGCAGCCTTGTGAGCTCAAGCTGTCGATTATCAAGTACCTCCATGATTGGGAGCGAAAGGACGAGCTGGCGAGGGAGGGCGCGGTCCTGGGGTCTGTGGTGCTGAATTTGGCGGAGTATGTGGGAGAAGGCGTCGTCACGAGGAGATACCTCTTGAGGGATAGCAAGACGAACGCTACGGTCAAGGTACGAGCTTGCTTTGGATGTGGGATGGGTGCTGACGGCTTGCAGCTGTCCATTGAGATGACCCAGATTGGAGGAGAGACGAGGTACAAGAGCCCACCGCTTCAGAAAGGGCAGATTTTGGGGAGCGTAGCCGGGCTGATGAGTGACGACCATATGCGGCGACATGCCCGTTCTCCATGTGCGTTCATTTCCTACTGCAGACCATCTCCTGATGCTGATGCTCACGCTGCTGGGTAGTGCTGCGCACCGCCTCATCAGGCTCCTCCTCTTCCTCCCTCTACCTCCCACCAGCACACCTCTCCGTCCTCCCCCCAGCAGGACACAAGCGCACCCCAAGCGCGCAATCCGTTCCCACCCCTCAACCCACGCACGCCCACGCCCACACACCCTCGATATCCGTATCCGTGCACGGGCCCTCCCCTCCCTCTGCTTACTCGCCTGCCTTCCCCACCGCGCTCAGCTCTTCTGGCTCTGGGTCCCCCCTAGCCCCGAGCACGGAAAGCATCATCGAAGCACTCTTTAACCCCTTCCCCTCCCAATCCACCTCCCCCTCCCCTTTCACGTACTACAAGCCTCCTACACCTACCCCGGCTTCTCCCCCCGCACCCCCCATTTCAGAAGAAGAAGACAGCTCGCAAGGAAGTACAGGGACGGAAGAAGACTCTCCAGGGAACAACACCCTGGGCAAACGCCGCTGGTGGCGCAAGAAGGGGAAGAGACCGGCAGAGCTCGACCTGACGGGTGCGAGGGAGACCCAAACTTGGGCCGGGAGGACACGGACTGCTCAGGCCTCGTTTCCTGCGAGTACGATGAGTGGGAGTACGGTCACTTCTGGGACGACGAGGACTCTGCCGGGGGGAAAGTGGAAATGGCGCTGAACGGACTCTCCTGACTGGCGGGGACGAAAACTCGTTGCGGGCGCTGGGTCTCGTTCATGTTTGTTTTTTGCTCCGACCACACTTATGGGATTGAAGGAATGCCCTCGAGTTGGGCTCAAGGATCGTCTAACAGGAAGGAAGAAGATGGAAGATATATGGTCTTTGGAGTCACTTTCGGTTGCTTTTTTCTTTCTTTCGTTCTCCTTTGTTTCCCTTTGTCTTCTTGACCCACCCGCGCTCGCATTCTGAGCGCAAGCACTCTCGCCCCACACGCACGCACGCACGCGTCCACCTCAGCATCCGCATCGCAAGACTAATGTACACTATCATACGCTCATCCACCTGCTAATCCCACGCATCGCACCTACCGCACCTACCGCACCTACCGTACCTACCGCACCGCACCTCAACTGCTCTAATCGCATCGCATCGCATCCAACCCCCGCACGCACGCACTCAGAACTCTCTTGCACTCAGTCGCACGCCCACCCTGCTCATCAGCGGTCAACTGCCCCACCCTCCTTCAAAACCCAAAACCCAAAACCTCCCGGAGCAATCTACCTCCTCTCTTATCTAACCCCTCCCGGCCTAAACCTATCCTATCCGTTGTTGCCACTCCCCAAAACTGACTTCTGTCGCTACAGTATCGTACACCCATTTTTCTATCTTGTGTGGTTTTTTTTGTCTATATGTGTACTGGTATTGGCTTGGAATGGGAATGGGAATGGAAATGGGGTTGGAGGAACACGGAGGAGTGCTTAATTTTGCTATTGATTGCCTGTTGTCGAAAACTGCGTTATCTATAGATAGAGGAGTAACAATGGGTCATAATGCTGGCAATGGCCTCTTAATATAGATCATCTCCTCAGTTGGAGGTCCTGTCTACCCATTATCGATAATATTGTTTTTCCGGAAGCAATCCTCCTCGTGATTATCAACCTCTTCGACCAGTCCAGACCTGTCCAGTTCCTTCTTTGCTCCTGGCTATCGTTCCTTGCAGCGCGGTCCTCTCTCTGGATAAACTCTGATGCCAAACTGAACTAGGTACAAAGAGCCTTCGGAAGAACAAGCTTGATGAAATCGCTGGCAGCGTGATCGTATTCTGTCTTCCTTCTGTCTCTCCATCTGTTATCCATTTGCATTTCGAGACATAGCCGCGGTTTCTTGGAATGCTCACATCGGTCTCGAGAGTCCAACGGCGCTCCAACTGAACGCATCCCTCAACAAATGGCTATCTTGTCCGCCATTTATGTCGATCAATTCTGACTTGAGAAAACTCCGCTTGTTTCCTGATAGAGATAGAAACCAGACGAGAGCTAATGCTGGCAGTCCCTCGCCCCACATGATCAACTTCAAGAACCTGAAGATGATAAGATCACTGTTTTTCCGGAAGCAATCCAACCTTACTCCTTCTGAACACCATGATCGTCCTATATATGGCGAGCGAGCTGCCCTGCTATGGATTGTTTTTGATTCTCAGGAAACATGTCTGGACGAAATCCGAGCCGCAAGAGCCGCAGAACTGAGATATCTAGTGCAAATCGAATATTTGCCGCCTTGAAAGACAGGCTATTAACGACGCAATCGCGACTATCGGCCCGCATAATGTAATCTCTGTGGTGTTTCTGTATGTTCCGCTGGTATCTCGAAACTTTCCTTGTTCACTTGGAAGCATGCTTGCGAGGATTTGGCTTACCTCCTTCCCTTGGGGCTGCCCTGGTGCTATCGTCACCTGAGCGATGATGTAAGGAGGTAGTGACATAAACCCGCATTCTCACCTTGGGGGTTTGTCTTTGCAGGGATCTTCTCGGGAGACGGGCCTCATGTACTGATACTGGATGTGGGGCTTATTTCTCTGCAGAGTTATCACGCACGTTGGTTGCCTTGAATAGAACTGATGCTCCAAGTCCGTGACGGTGTGACCACAAAAGCCTGTCGTGAAGGACTCAACCCTCCTGGTGATCTCTGAGCTGCTGTCATTCCATTGTGCAACATTCGTGCATGACCATCGCACCGACTGTCAAGTTTTCTATGGCGTTCACGATCTCCCTTGTAGCAGTTGTTTGTATCATATGTCTGGCTATCTGGAAACACCTTCGCAAGAACAAACTCTCGAAACTGCCACCTGGTCCGCCCGGGCTGCCCATCATCGGAAACATCCTCGACATGCCATCAAAGATGCTTTTCTTGAAGCTCGATGAATGGAAGAACCAGTACGGAGAGATCGTGTATTACAACCTCGCAGGCACGAAAGTGGTCGTCCTCAACTCTGTCAAGGCAGCGACGGATATCCTCGAGAAACAGTCTGGGGTGACGTCGGGGAGGATGAGGATGGTCATGGCTTCTGAGATCATGGGTGGAGACCTATTTCCACTCTTTATCGAGTATGGCACTCGGTACGTCTGCCATGCTACTTATAGTGACGGAATACCGATACTTGCGCAGCTGGCGACGCACGCGCAGAGCTTCCAGGCAAGTCTTCAACGCCAATGCATGCCAAGTGTTCTGGCCCATGCAGGAACACGAATCCGAGGTGCTCATTCGCGACCTACACGCAGATCAGTCCCGTTTAGAGGACCACCTTTCGCGGCTGACGGCGTCCGTTACCTGGCGCCTCCTCTACGGTGGTCCTCCGATCGGTGACCCGAATGACGAAAGAGTCAAGCTTCTGCAAGATTTTTCAGCAGGCATGGCCCGCGCCGGTGAACTGGGCACCTTCATAGTTGATGTCTTCCCGTTCCTGAAGCCGCTGCCAACGTGGATGGCCGGGTGGAAGAAACAAGGAGTGAAGTTCTTCGAGGATAATGATGCCTACTTTAGGCGTCTCTTTCGCGAAGGCGCAAAGTACAAGGTCTGTATTAAACGATCAATGTCGAATGGCGCAAACTAAACATTGGCCTAGGAAGAGGTATCATTTGTCAACTATTCCCTGAAGATTGCAGAAAGGTTCGGCATATCCCATCAGGAGCTGGCGTGGGTGACAGGTGCCCATTTCTCGGCGGGGGAAGAGACGGTATGTTCCTCAACGTACCTTGCCCACTTGCCTAAGCAACCAAACCGTAGACTGCAACCGTCCTTTTCTACTTTGTCCAAGCGATGTTACTCTACCCAGAAACATGCAAAAAGGGTCAGGAGGAGATAGATCGGGTATGCGGGAATAGGATCCCCAGGTTTTCGGATAGCGATCAGCTGCCATACGTTGGTGCGATGGTCAAGGAGGTTGTACGATGGCGCACTCCTGCACCTGCGGGGATCCCGCATGCGGCGACTCAAGTACGTGTACTCGGACCTTCTGAGCCATCGCTGACCTGCTTGGTGCAGGACTTCGTATATCAGTCTTATGTGATCCCTAAAGGTACTGTCATCGTGGATAACGTCTGGTATGCACACCCTTTCCCGAAGATGCAGCCAGCGTAATCCTTCACAGGTCGATCTCCCATGACCCCAGCGTGTTTCCCAATAGCGACACGTACGACCCGTCCCGCTATCTCACCTCTTCAGGAGAGCTGCGTACCAGTTCTGACCCAGCAGACCAAGTGTACGTCTTCGGCCACGGACGCTGGATCTGCCCAGGGAAGGACATCGCCATGAACAGCCTGTTTATCGATATTGCCGCACTCCTGTGGGCGTTCGATTTCGCCCGACCGGTGGGTTCGGATGGCAAGGAGTGCGTCCCGGGAAACATGGACTTTGTGGATAAAGGACTTGTCGTGTACGTACTCTTGTTGTGACAAGAGGGGGGATGTTGATGCTAGTACAGACGCCCCGCGCCTTTTGGCTTCAACCTGAAGCCTCGTCGGGATAACCTGGATGATCTGCTCGCACAATTCTGACTTTTTCGAATCGAAAAATTGTGTTCTATATACATGGCTGTTGTTTCCGTTTCCCCGTGTTTCGCGCAGGTATAACGGGACATTGACGAGACCCGATGCGCACATATGCGCTCTTGTGTATTGGTTACGAAAGCATATGTTGATATGTTGATAGACGGTTGTGGTGATGTTTAGATTAATGCAAAAAAAAAGTTGCTTGTACATGCAAGAATGAGCCGCACCGGCTCAGCAAATCTCCCCACTTGGTTTGCCTAGACTCCCTGTCATTATCTTTGCCACGTAAAACAACGCAGTATGCTTACCGTTATGACAGTCCCATCTTATGCATCTCCTCCGCGAGCGCCTTATCCACCTTCTCTTTCTCCGCCTCCCGTATCCGTATCCTCAAAGCCATCGCGCTGCCCCCCATCCTCTCAAACTCATGCAAGTTCTTATTTCTGAGCATATAGCTGTCCAGCCCTCCATACTTGTCGATCGTACGCAGCGTGCTGGCCGTGAGGCGGACCTTGACTGTCCCGCCCAAGGATTCGGAGAAGAGACGCTTGGTGTGCACGTTCGGCTTCCACTTGCGCTTTGTCTTGTGCTTTGAGTGGGGGACGTTGTACCCCGAGAGGGTTGTACGGCCTTCGAACAGGTGGGTGGTTGGACCCCTGAGCGCTTGGATGTTGTATAATCGTGCGAGGGTGCGGAACATCGTGTATCGTGCGACGATGTCGTCGACGTCGTCTACCTCGATGCTTTCAAGGTAAGGAGCGAAATTTTGGTTCCGCTGCACTTGCTGGACGTCATCATTCTTCCTCTCGGTGATGCCCTTCACGTCCTAATGTCCCTCCTCTCCCACTTGCTCCTCCCAGAATACTATACCAATCTCCTGCCTTACTCTCAAGCCAAAAATGCCTTCCACACACCCAACGCCGGTCACTCCCTCTCCCATTTATACCTCCTCTCACTTCCTGCCATCTCCTCCTTAATCCTCTACTACTCCTACCGCTCCAGACCAAGTTGGAGGTTCCTGCATGAGTTTGCCGTCTTGGTTCTGCCCTTGCTGGTTGGGATCACACTAGGTGCGAAGTGGGGATGGGCGCTGAATCTAGGGTTATGGGGAAGAGCAGGGGCGGTCTACTGGAACGAACGGCGATCATTCGCTCTCCATCCTCATCCCCCACCTCAACCCACCCCGTCCCCAACCCCCAAATACCACTACCCCCCGCTGACGACCTACCGTGCCCAGCTTCTCCTCCTGACAGTCCTCTCCATCCTCGCTGTCGACTTTCCCGTCTTCCCCCGAGAGCAGGGGAAGACCTCTTCCCTCGGTTGGTCCCTCATGGACGTAGGTGTGGGCTCCTTCGTCCTCTCATCCGGTATAGCGGCGTCCCGTCTCTCCCCGTCAACTCTCGGGAAGACACTGCGGCGACAGCTCCCTCTTCTCCTTTTGGCACTAGCCAGGGTCGTGGCGGTCAAGGCGCTAAACTACCCCGAGCAGCTGGAGGAATACGGCTACCACTGGAACTTCTTCTGCACACTCTTTCTTCTTCCTCTGCTTTCTCTCCCCTTCCGGCCTTTCCTGCGTTACGCAGCCACGCACGCAAGTAAAGAACTTACAGCGGGGGTAGCGGTTGCTCTTGCGCTGGGAGTGAGTGGGGCGCACCAGTTCTGGCTTGACAGTGAAGGACAGGAGTGGGTTATGGGCCCGGACCGGGAGGGGTTATTAGCGCAAAACAAAGAAGGGGTGTCCTCTCTCCCCGGTATGCCTGCTCCCTCCTTTCCTGCTTGTTCATGCTGATAACACATGCAGGCTACCTGGCAATCTACCTCCTCGGCCAAGCAACTGGGCTCCTCCTACCCCTCTCCCTCCCTCCCTTTGGCGAGCCCCCCGCTAGTGAAGTCCTAGACCGGCTCGTGCCCCTGCTCAGCGTTCTAGCTGCCGTATTCCTGGGAACGAGATACCACGCTCTCGGGGACGGGGCGTGTAGGCGTACCGTATGTTCTCGCCTAGTTTTGTAAGGGCTGTCACTGATGAGCTTTGGAAATAGGCGAATATGCAGTATGTGCTCCATACGGGGGTGTACAATGTCCTCTTTTTATGCGCATATATCCTGCTAGATGCGTACTATTTCCCCGCATCCCAAAACCCGCCATCTGGTATATCCCCATCCTCAACGTCCAACCCTCCACCCTCCGCCCCGCCGAGCACAAGCCCAACTGGCCCGTCCTTCCCTCCTCCCTCCCCCCGGACACCACCCCTCTTCCTTCCCCTCTCGCAACATCCTCTCCCCCTCTTCCTCCTCTCCAACCTCCTGACCGGTCTTATAAACCTCCTCTTGCCGACGATGTACGTCCGACATTGGGCAGCGATGCTCGTGCTTGGGACGTATGCCGCGGCGGTGTGCGGGGTTGGCTGGGTTTGGAAGGGACTGGGCTTGGGGTGGTAGGACTGGAAGGAAGGGTGTTGGGGATGAGAGAAGTGAGGGGTATATTAACGTTCTGGTCGATAACTTACTTTGGATAATAGCAGGCACTGACATGCGTGTTGACATGCGTGTGCTGGCCTGGTGAGCAAAGGCCCAGGACACTTGGTTAAGCCTGAACGTATATTATCTGGCGCTGGGCGGGGTTCTGCCAAATTGGCGGCTTGATTCGGAACATGGTTATGCTTATTCCCCAAAATATCGACATCCCAATCATGCCGTCTCCATTACAGCACCAGTCTCGGTCACTCTACTGTTCCGTGTATCTGACCTGTGCTCGATCAGAAAAGGGGTCACCCAGGGTACCTGTTTCCACATTGTCAAAAGACGCAGTTCAATATTTCAGCTCCTGGTCCACGTTGGGTAATTCCTCGCCTTACCAATCTGCACAACTCCGCAGCCATATTCCAGCTGTCTCCTTGGGAACAACCTCGCCTCAGATCAACTAGGGTACTTACGTCACGGCGCGTGCCTCCCGCCCTTGCCCTTTCTCAGGGATGCTTACGCAACATCTGCATCCCCCGCAGCCACTGTCGGCGGTGACTCGCAGCTCTACCTCGGGCCGACCCATTTCTGCCTTACTCGTTCGGGAAATGCATAGCGAGCTGGGGCGTCATCGCTCTCGGAGAATGCTGGCCGTATGAGGATCGAACTGGGTTGGAGGAACAGTATATAACGAGCCGGTTTTCGAGCTGTTTGGGATCAATACAACACAAGCAACTCCAAGCAGTCTCACAACAACTTAGCAACAAGCGAACCAACACCAACACCAACTACCTCAACGAAATCAACATGTCTGGCTACAAAGTGTTCACTATCGCTGGTGCATCGGGGAAAGTCGGCAAGGCCGTCCTCGACGAACTCCTGCGCGTCAAGCCCGAGCTTGGACTCGATGTCCGCATCCTCACTCGCAAGGAAACCGGGAACGCAGCGAAGGACTCTGAGGAGCTCGAGAAACGGGGTGCGAAGGTGCTCCTGGTGGATTATGCGGACAAGCACACTGTCGTCCATGCATTGAAGGGCACGGACGTGCTCATCTCTTGCTTTGGTGCAACCGGTTCGTGGATCCGATCGTCACTCAAGATCGATGCTGATGATATTCCAGGTCTCCCTCTTCAGACCGTCCTCGCTAAGGCCGCAGCGATCGCCCGAGTGAAGCTGTATGTTAACAGCCACTGGGGTGCGCCGATGGACGAGTACCGATACGGCCTGACGCACATGAAGATCAAAGATGAGCCGATCCAGGTCGCCGAACGCATGCACCTTCCGTGGACGTACTTCCGCGTCGGTATTTTCCCGGTACGTTGTGGCTTCCTTCTTCCTTCTCTTCCCTGTCCCCTGTGCTTACAGGGCCTATAGGAGTTCACCATCCACTTTCCCCTTCTGGAATTGAACCTCAGCTCGGGCAAGTCCGTTATCTACGGCACGGGCGAAACCCCGAATTCGTGGACGACCATCCCTGACGTCGCCCGATACGCAGTCTACGTACTGACTCGCCTCCCGCCGTCTAAGTTGCACAACCGAGTGTTCCACATCGAAGGCGACCGGAAAACGTTCAACGAGATCGTGCGGTTGTACAGAGCCAAGCACCCTGCGGAGTATCAGGTGACGTACAAGCCTGTTGATGCACTCGAGGAGCTTGTGCAGAAGAGTGAGGGCAAGGACTTCTTTCACGCGCTGATGATTGAGTACGCCACTGGCCGAGTTGCGCACGATCCGGCCAGGTTGGACAACGCCGAGTATCCGGGGTGGAACCCTAAACAGGTTGCGGATCTACTGTGATTGGGGGTGGAGCTGACGAAGCACTCTGTCATGTCCTAGTCGGTTGAGATCGTACAAAAAAAGATAGATGATAGACGACGTAAATGACTTGTTGGCAGAGGGCCTAAACATATACATAAAAATATCCAATTGCTGCTAATATACAATACGTGCGATAAGGGAATACAATGCTTGATAACATGAAAGGACTTCCTTGCTGACGAATAATGTCCACCGCACACGTCCCCCCGCTCACCCAACGGAATGCCCAAGTAGAAAAAAGGGAGAACATCAATGAACATCACGACTCGACATGATCGAAATACTGCCTGAACATGCTCTCGTACCGAAGCCCGCAGTTCGAGATGACGCCATATATATGGAGGAAGAGTCTTGGGAAGCGCCGTGTGAAGTACCCCAAGAAGCCTTCAGGCAGCGGACCATACAGGCGTTTCACATGGTCAGGCAGATCCTGATAATGATGTTTCTACCATAACGGTCAGCACATCAGGGGAGGAAAAAAGAAAGGAATATGCGCACCTTGTTGCGCAAAGCGCGGAGCAAGTCCTGTACTGACTTGCCGTCGTACTTTCTGAACTTGCCCAGGTTCTCGATCACTGCTTTGTCCAGCTTGCGGTGCCAGTCTGGCCCCAACACATTGGCTGGGCCTGTCTCTAGCGCGAGGAGAGGAGCTTCCTTCGGTTCGCGCTCCATCACCTCGAATCGATCGGAAGCGTCCTGGAGGAAGTTGAGCCGTTTCGCTGGTGTCCAGAAGAAGGGGTGAATCAGGCAATCATCGGTTGATGGTCTGCAAAGTTCTGAGTAAGATGCACAAGACACCATAAACGAGTTCAATACCTTGCAGACGGGTCAGGCTCTAACATCTGGCCGATTAAGTCCTCGGCCTCTAGGCCCTCTTCGCCTAGCTTATCCAGCCAAGTCAGGCTCTTCTCATTCTTTAGAATATTCGCCTCCCTGGAGAACCGGTCTCCATAGGGGTGCTCCCCACCAGACAGGGTATAATAAAACAAACAGCCGAGCGCGAAGATATCCACCGACTTCGTTAATCGTGTACCGGAAGACGATGACGACTCCTTCTGCTCGCCCCCTTCTCGCCCGTTGAAGGAGGACTCGGCTGACTGAGGGTCCAGGTTGACATCTCCCCTGAGAATCTCAGGAGCTCGCCAACCTGCTGTCCCAGCAGCTTGCGGCCCGCTCCCTTGTGTAGGGAGGAAACTCGTCTGGTCCAGCTCGAGCTTCTTGCACAGGCCGAAGTCGGAAATAAGCATTCTCAGCTCTCCTCTCTTGTTCTGCGAGATCAAGATATTCTGCGGTTTTATATCACGGTGCACGATCTTGAGGGAGTGCAGATGTCGTAGTCCTTTTGTTATCTGCATCAGCGCTCTTTTCGGCTCGAAGCTGCCCCTGAGCTCTGAGAACGCCTCCCGGGGTTTCTCGACTATGTCGGCGAGCGAAGCAGGACACAGCTCCAGCGCGATGTATAAGAAACCGTCTCGTTGCTCTTGGTAGAAGTAACGGATGACGTTAGGGTGATCGTCTGACTCTTGAAGCAGAGAGACTTCGCGAGAAGCGATTGTGACGAAATCCTGAAGGAGGCGCTTCACGGCCACTGGTCGACCTTGTAAGGAACCTTGGTAGACGATGGTCCCGTGGGATCCATAACCTATCATATCTAGAGTCACTTTCCCATCCATGATCCCAATTAAAACAGGCATACCCAAGATGACATCCGACAGCATTAACAAACTCTGTGGTAGCGTTCCACTCCTTGTCCTCGAGAGTTGCACCTCCCCCATCTCCTCCCCACCGTTGAATCCAGGTCCTTGTGCCTGCGCACGCGCCTCCTCCTCCCTAAGCACCTTGATCTCTGCATCCATCAAATCCTTTCCTCCATCTGCAATACCGCCCTCGCCGTCGTCACCCTCAGGTTTGGACTTCCCCCGTCGGCCTCTACCCCGATTCCGTCGTTTCACCCGCTTCTTCCCAAGACCTGGTGACTTGTCGTCCTCCGAGTCGGCTTCCCCATCTGCAGGATCACCGTCACCGTTTAGGGAGATGATGGGGATGCTTGGGGAGTCGGTCTGCGGAGGCGGTGGAACAGGTGTACGTGCATCCTCGACTGTGGCCGCCACCTCCTGCACCGGCTTGATCTCCTCGATCTTCGTGCTTCCGTTCATTTTCTTCTCCTGCTTCACCTGTTTCCCCTTCCCTGCAAGTCTGGCCGCTTCCCGCTGATGTTCATCCTCCAACGCAATCAGCCCCTTATCCGCCTTCCGACCCAACAGGTCCCACACATTCCCCCTCCTCGTCGTTAGCCATGCAAACAACAGCATAATGCACAGTGCGACGGCGACGGCGTTGATCCCGCCCCAATCCTCTGCTCTGCTACCCAGGAGAGCCTGGTTACTCAACAGTCGAGGGAGAGAGACATATGATGCCCTTGGGGGCATAGTGTCGAGTTTGGGAGAAGAAGGGTCACCGGCGTTCGCGCTCAGGAGTAGAGGACGTTGAGAATCAATCGTCAGTCTGCGACGACCTTCAAGTAGTCGGTTCAAGCGGGACTGAGTGGCCATGTCCGAATAGTAGGCGCCAATCAGGCAGTCGTCTGCCCAGCAGAGAGCGTTATCATCCTCTTGTTCCTCCCCGTTCTCCGGTGCACCCTCGTTTTCTTCGGAGGCGTCCGAATCGGAGGTGTGAGCATGAGCGTGGTGGTGTTGTGCTTTCCGCTCTGGCACTTCGGAGAAAGTGATGAGCGGGTAATTGGCGTGCGACATTGCATAAAGGGAACCTGCGCCGCTCTGGGAAGAAGCAGGAACCCGTCCGACATAAGTTTTTGGGGGGATGTCGGTGAGCTGAGTGTATCGGCCAGGGAAGACATCGGTCAGACGCGGCGTGGGCTGGGAGAGGATGATAGGCTGCGTGGCGTACGCGGGGATAACGACGTCAAATACGGCCACACTGTAGTTCAATCAGCTTGCATCAAAATTGGTAAAAGGGGTGAAGCATACATAGGCGAAGGAAATCTCGTCCCCCAGATGGGCCTCTCCTGCCCGGTTTCGAAACACAGCACCTGCCCATCTTGCATCGGTTGGAGGTAGCGTTTATCCGGCGTACCGAGCCAAGACGACTGCTTATCCCGATCAGCATTGTTCGGCCCATATGTGGAGAATGCAAGTGACTGGAGGGGTCGCTGGCCCTTGTCGTGCACGATGAGGTGATAGTCTGTTGCCGCAAGTGAGCAGTCCAACAGAACTGACTAAGAAGAAACGTACCAGTTCGACCGATGTAGACGATCTGCCGTGGGAGGATATTCAGATCATCATACTCTTCCTCTCCATCAACGGCATCATCCTTATACCACGGATCCCACCTGCAGCTGTCTGGTCCGAATCCGAAACTTCCACTCACCCTCCCGGTCTGTAAATCGAGTGCCAAAAGGCTGCTTTCTTTCTTGCCTATGAAGATGCGATTACTTCCTGGAAAAGAGAAGGGGCTGAGCTCGACCAGCTGGGACATGCTGAAAGGCAGTTTCTGAAGTTGGTGCTCGGGCGACCCAGGATCAGGGATCATGTAGATATCTCCGGATTGCGGTTCGATAACGTATTTTTCCAGCAAAGTGTGGAAGGAGTCGTCTTCCTCGTCCGCATCGTCCCATATCCCTCCGCCACTTGCATCGCGCCTCCGAGAAGCAGATACGGGTAAAGCAAGCTCCTCGTTCCTCACTAAAGGCTGGAATAAGGAGCTATTTGCTCCTCCCGCGCTAACGGAAGGGTCGCTCTCCATGCTCCACAGCTTTCGTCCCGTCGCCCGATCCAACGCATGGAACTTCCCATCGACGCTGGCACAGATCACCAGGTCGAGCAGATTTAGGTCGTTCCCATATACAGCTTCTCCCAGCCCGGTACCAGGATTGTTGGTAACTTTGGTGAGTGGCGATTCGAACCGGTAGTTCTCCACGGCTGGTCCGCGGATAGGATTCGCAATAGTGACCTTATGGAACCCACCCGGTCCCTGGGGTGCGGCTGCAGCGGTTGTGGCCGATGGAGAGGTGAGGAGGGGAAGTGTAAGCGCTGCCAGGCAGGCATGAAATTTTGAAAGGAGTGATTGTGGTTGGTAGTGGTGATTAGATGGCATGCCGGGTGCAAGTGATGAGCCAGAGGGTGGTCATCACCACGCTGGAGGCTACGATTGATGGCCAATAATCGAGTGAGGTCGCCGTTGTAGATAGTGCTGAGGTATAAGTGTCGTGCGATGTATGTTTTGTGGTGTAAATTCGACGTCGACGTCAAGTGGAAACAGAGGGAATAGCCTGTTTTGACTGTCACAGGTTGTATTGACGCTGTGCAATTATAATATTGGGGGAGAGCATGAATGTCAGCAGCACAGCCACGCCGATATAAGGGAATAAAAATATTGAAACAATAATAATTGTGTTCGGGTCTGTCTCTGCACTTTGTTATTGTGAGCAGACCCATGGAGGACGTCCATGACACCTCCTCTATCTATATATCCCTTCCAAATCAAGTATTCGATATTGCATTCCACCCGCGAGAAGACATTCTCTACGCTGGCCTGCTCACCGGCGAGATCAAGGCGTTCCGGTACCGGGATGAAGGGACTTACGAGGAAGCATGGGGTATTAGACCTACAAAGAGGTCGTGTAGAGGCTTGGCGACGGCTGAGGGGGGTGCGAGGCTGTATGGTGTTACGAAGGATAAGAGTATTGAGTGAGTGTATTGCGTTCTACAGGATCGTCATAATGACGGGAATGCAGAGTCATAGACACCACAACTGGCAAGGTCTTGATATCCAAACCAGGTGCTCATGAGTGAGCTGTTTTCCTCCTGCGTCTTCTCACTCTCTCAATACCTTGAAGAAACTCGATCAATCGCGTGCTTGGCACACTCCCACATCAACTAGCAACTGGGGATGACGAAGGTGTCCTCCGGTTGTGGGACACGCGGACCCTCTCCCCAACCTCCGCGTCAACACACACCTATACCCACCATACGGACTTCATCTCCGACCTTTTATGGCTAGAGGACAAGAAGCACCTTGTATGCACGAGCGGAGATGGGACGCTAAGTGTGCTCGATGTACGGAACAAGAAGGCGGTGCCTTGGGCGCAGAGCGAAGACCAGGAGGATGAGCTTTTAAGCGTGGTACCCATCAAAGGTGGCAGCAAGCTCGTCGTTGGCACCCAGCTTGGCATACTGCACATCTTCGACCGTTCGAAAGGCTATTCTGACTTGGTCGACCGCCTCCCTGGGCACCCCTCCTCCGTCGATGCGCTTCTCCCTATCACGGACGACGTGATAGCCACCGGATCATCCGATGGGATGGTCCGGTTCGTACAGGTACATCCAAACAAGCTTTTGGGTGTGGTGGTGGATCACGGGGAGTTTCCGGTTGAGAGACTAGGCCTGGATAGAGCGGGGAAGTGGCTGGGCAGTGTCGGCCATGAGGAGGGAGTGAGGTTGACGGATGTGCAGGGGGCGCTTGAGGAGAGTGATGAGGAGGAGGGAGAGGAGGATAAGGACAATGAGAGGGAAGAAGAAGACGAAGATGAGGATGAAGGAGAGAAGATGGAAAAGAGGGCACAGATGGAGGAAGACGAAGAAGATGGTACGGAGATGGAAGCTGACGCGCCCACTCCTTCCGAAATACAAGATTCAGACGAGGAAATGAACCCTGCCCCTGCGCACCCCCATCCATCTGTATCAGCTTCAATTGGACGAGCGTTGGAAGCAGACTCCGAGGAAGAGAGCCACCCAAGGAAGAAGCGGAAGAAGAAGTCGACGTCTGGGGAGAGGGATAGGAGCGAGAGGAAGGAGTTCTTTTCGGGACTGTAGGGGATTAGCCGTGTCTTTTTATTATGTTTGGCTAATGATCATCCCGTCTCATGAGGTAGTTTATTCTAACCCGACAGTCGGTCGAGGTGTTGGTCAAACAAGATAGAGATACAGTCTGTTTATACAGTCGCCAGGTTAAGAAAGACCTCACGCCCTCCAGCCTACACCTCCTCCCCCTCTACTATTCGCTGTACCATCTCCACTCCCTTATCCGTATCCTTATATATCTCCGTCTCAACGGAGACGAACGGCCCATCTGACTCTGTTGCCTTTTTACGGGCATAGATTCTTTGCGGGTGAAGGGGATATCGGAATTTGGAGGGACTCGAGAAAGCTGAATTTGGGGCGGTGGGGCTAGGGTTAAGCGCATAGGCGTAGAGAGGGGTAACACCCATTTGGATAGATAGGAGGATCATGGTGGGGATAATACCCTGCTCAGCTTTGTCAGGCCCGCTTCCCATATACCACAGGCGTAGACATACGAAAATCTGCGGCATGGCTTCATACAACACATAGATAGCCATGTTCTCGCTGTTGTCCATGAATGCTACTTGAAAAAGGACAAACTCGATTAGCTTGGCACTCGATATTGCAGCGCCAGACTCGACGATCAGTCGGAGAGCATCGCGCGTACCATGCCGACCGCCGGCGATGAATCGAGATGAGGAACGCATGATCCACCTGCATGCCGGCCAGTCAGCCGAGTACGAGGCAAGACTTGAGCATTTCCGTACCACAAGCGACCGCCGATAAGCATCGTAAGAGTGATGTTGGCTACCAGTGAGATCGCATACATGGAGGATGCCCAAGGTCGAACCGAATCATATGTGGGTTGGACCGGTCCGAGGAACATCCCCACCGCCACAAAACCCGTGACTGCTTCCCCGACAGTCATCATAATGGGAAGGACGATGACGAGCCTGCTTTTGTTCCATACAAGCCAGCAGCGCCAGACAAGGATCATATCTGATATGGTGAGCTGTGCAGGGAAGAAAGCAGTTATCCGCGACTGCAGGCAAGGTGGCACAAGGAAAGTCATACCATAATCACGTAAATAAACTCGTTAGTTACGCTGAGGGGTTCGACGATGTCAGAGAAGAAGGCAATACGACCGATATCAGGAGGATATATGAAGCCTTGAACTAGTCGTACAAGTTCCAACGCGAGGCTGGCTGTCGCTAACACGTATCTTTGGTAAACTGGTTTAGCAACAGATGCCTGACCCATTACAAGCAGTACGCACAGTATAATCACGGCTACTACTTGTACCTTCTTCAGTCCATCTTTTCGTACCGCCAGCCACATGCAGGTGACAAACATCACAGTGAACATGCCTGAGACATCCATCAGTGTTTCTCACACTTATTCAGCAAACAATGATACCCCATAATACTGAAGCGACCCAACAGCCAACCCCATAAGCATGATCAAATGGAAAGTAGACCATGTCGTCGAATGACCCACGGCACGCATGCTTGAAAACTGGGGATAGCTATAAGAGTATGCCTTAGACTAAGGGCCCGCCATCTGAATGAGGCGTGCACCAGCCACCTGTCCAGATCGGAGAGATTTCAGATCGTCCCAAAAGTCGAACAGGAATCCGAAACAAAAAAGCGGATCATTGACGATACAAGACGGAGTCATAAAAGGAGATCGATGCATTTTGACAGAAAGCGAGACTGACGAGTGCTGTTTGCTGGAACCGATGCCTCGAAGTGCAAGAGCAAGTCACGCCCCCCCCCGGAGCCGAATATCGGAATATCATCTGCCTCCGCGGTGGACCGCGTCGTGCTCGCGTCTCGTGTTGCTCCAGTCAGACGTCTTATAGGCGACCCCATTGCTTTCTGTTCACAGCATCTGCGACACCGCGAGCCATGTCTGAGCCTCCTGCCTCTGGAGAACGACGATCCGGAAGACAGACGAGAGTGGTGGAGCGATACAAGAATCCTCAAGGTGTGTTGCGGCGAACAGGGACTCGTTGATGGGGCCATCGTGACATGCCCATACTAACGCGTGTCCTAGGTCTCAAGCGCAAGCGCACCGAAGATAGTGAAGAAACTCCCGAAGAAGTTCAAGACATATATGAGGATGATGATTTGCTGGGCCTGGAGGAGGACGAAGAAGACGATAACCGGGATGACGACGCGGACGAGGAGGAGTATCATGCTCCCCGATCCGGACCGAAGGCGGCCAAGTCACAAGCTCCCAAACGCCCCAAAGTCCCGGAGCAAGAAGATGCGAATGGGCAGGTGAAAAAGTCCAAGGCGAAGGCCCGGTCGAAGCCGGTGGATGGAGCATCCAAGGCTGCTCCCAGGCCAAAAGCGAAGAAGGCACGGCTTGCTGGCGACTCGGGAGGCGGAACGGTCGTGAACGGCGAGGGTATCACTGGAGGAATCAAGGACGACAACCATTTGTTCAGTGCGTATAGTATAATGCGCATATATGCGTCCCAGCGAGCTGATTTCATCGCCCAGACGCGCTCCTGAATTCTGGTAGTTCGCTCCAGACGGTTTCTGAAGACTTCTTGGAGTCCTTCCGCGAGTCAGCTTTGCCTGCCCTCGCCGAGCTCATCACAATGGTGGTTCGTTCTTGCGGTGCGAACGCCGATATTACTGCCAACGAAGTGGCGGATGAAGATGGGATAGTCGGGGTCTGCGAAGACATCATGGAAGCAATCAAGACGGTAAGTCATGAGAGCGCATATCTGCATTTGTCGCCTGACAGACGGCATCATAGACTCAGGCGCCTCCGTATCCCCTAATTTCTCGCCTTCCAACTATGAAGCCTATACGAAAGGCACTGTCGGCATTCTTTATTTATCTCACGAAATCCGCGCACCTATCTAGTCAATTATACAAGACCGACCTTATCCAGACTCTGCTCTCCTGGCTCACCACGATGTCGTCGTCGTCTCTCCGATCCTTCCGCCACACCAGCACTTATATCGCTGCTTGCGTTGTCGGCGGTCTATGTGAAGTTTACAACGAAGTTGAAAAGGATACAAGTGTCGTTGGAAGACAAAGAGAGGCTGAGAGAAAGAAGAAGAAATCGGGCGTGGCGGCCTCTAAGGACTCCCTCGACAAACGCTTTTCCGAATTGAAAGGGAAACAGAAGGCCATTGTGGAGTTCATGAAGGAGTTTTTCGATGGGTAAGCACTACGGAACCTCTTGGGGCCTCCTACTAAACATACCTCAGTATCTTCGTCCATCGCTATCGAGACTTCGATCCCGAGATTCGCGCCGAGTGTATGCATGAGCTTGGAACCTGGATGATGGGATGCCCCTCATTCTGGCTTGATGGGTCATATCTAAGATATGCCGGCTGGCTTCTCAGTGATTCGGTAAGCCGTTTCATTGTAACACGATCAATCGGCTAAATCAAGATTACAGAGTACTCACGTTCGTCTCGCAGCGCTCAAGGCTCTTGCCCCTCTGTATTCTATTCCCAGCTCTACAGCTCTATCACACTTCACAACTCGTTTCCTGCAACGCCTCGTTCAGATCGCGACCAGTGACACCGACGTTCCCGTGCGTTGTGCAGCTCTTAGTCTGTTGACGGAAATCGATGCGCATGATCTTTGGGGTGATGAGGAAGACGTCGGGGCCACTGATCGCGCGAAAGTCTGTCTCCTCATCTGGGATACTGAGCCAAGAGTTCGACGTGCTGTGGGACCATTCTTCGCCAGCGTTTGGGCTGAACAGGTCCAGGAGGTTGTCGAAGCGCGTGGTCGAAAGAGAAAGGAAATCGAAGGCGAACATGAAAAAATCGGAGCAAAGCAGCTAGCCGTCCTTCTTGTCCGATTGGAGACACTGGTTGACGAAGAAACCTCACAGTCTGGAGACGAGCCTCGAACTGCATATGTGACCCGCCAAGTGTCTTCTCGTCTCCCCGGCGTACCAGGAGCAGAATCTCGAGTCGTTCTCGCTGTCGACGCTTTGTGGAATCACGTCGACATCATACCAGAGTGGGAGTCCTTGCTGGAGCTGTTGCTTCTAGATCATACTATTGGCGACGATTCTAGCAGTCCTCGCAAACGCGGTAAAGCATCTCGGAAGGATTCAGATGATAATGCCGATGCAGCAGACGAGGAACAAGAAAAGGTCGACGATCGATGGCGCTTGGAAGATAGAGAGGAGAGCGTGCTACTAGAGGTCTTTGGCGCCAGCTTGGCGAAAGCCATTACCGAGGCAGAATCAGATAAAAAGGTTCGCAATCTTTTCTCTCAACATGATATCACTAGTTCTGACACTGTATAGATGGAGGCCAGCGACGTGAAGGGAGACATCACACGAGCCCTTATTCCGGCATTGCCAAAACTCTTCGCCAAATATCAGACAGACGTTGGCTGCATTGCTGACCTGCTGGTAGTCCCTCGACTTCTCGATCTTGATCTCTATGTCGAGATGCGAGAAACGAACGCTTACGAACTGCTTTGGGACGACGTCTCGCAGCAGTTCCTCAAGCAATCTGACCCTGTAGTTCTGCGCAACGCAGTGGGCACAATTGTATTCCTGCTGTCCTCGGGCATATCTCTCCTGAACATCAATTCACGGAAGGTGGCAGAGCTCGAGGATGAATTGTTCACTTCTCTGCGAGATGCCGTGGCTGGTCGTGACGAGCTCGAGGTGGCTAATTTCGACGAGGATGAAATTCAAGCTCTTGGTGCCGTTGTTACGCGCCTCGCATCCCTGTTTGCGACCCGTGACTTGACTGCTGGGATGGAAGAAGACGAGGGTGGCAAACAGAGTAATGCTTGGGATATTCTTTGTGCGCTTGCCGAACGGGGTCGTTTAGGGTACAAAGATGAGGAATCGGTTAGTCTTGCTCCAATTCACGTGACAAGCTCACCCTGTAACTGTCTATCAGATGATCGACCAGTGTCTAAAAGCCCTCAACTTTCACATTGTGTGGAAGACGAGAAAGATGCTGGCAGCACCGGCCACTGAAAACGATGCGGAAGCAGAAGCCCCTGCTCTACTTTCCCTTCAGGAGCAGAGAAGTGTCCTCTTGGAGAAGTTAACGGAATTTGCGGTTGGCACTCAATCCAATCCATGCGAAGCCTTGCGGCGTTCGGTACGTCATGTGACAGCTTGGGCGAGACCTAGCTCACAATGTAATTTAGTCATTTGATGCATTGTTAACGCTCTACATCCTTTTCTCGCCTGGTGAAATAATCGGCAAGAAAACGCCAGGAGGGTTGCTTCCATTACTTCTCGATGATCAATTGCAGTATCGTTGTGCGGGGTTCATGCAAGCACAAATTGAAAAGTACGCGGATGAGGTCGGGAATACCCGCGACGAAGAGGAGCCGGCTGGGGATGAGAACAGTAGCGACGTAGACATGGATGACGGTGAGGAGAAGCAGAAGTCGAAAGTGAACAAGTCCAAGACGGCGGGCCATGAAAGTGAGTCACAAACATCCCACAAACATGAAATCCTTCTAACCCCAGGCTAGAAACAATGTCGCAGCCTCAGCTAGAACGAGAGTACATACTGTGCTCTGTTGTATCCACCTTCATTCGAGCCATTCGAATTGGCGTCCTTCACATCCGTCACTCCCCCCTTCTTCTTGCGCACTTCGGACGCTTCTCGTCTACCGTCGACGTATGCATGAAATCTCTCATCGATGTACTTCGCGATGAAGGAATACGAGGCAAGAACGGAGAGGAAGTAGCAGCAGCCATCGCAAAGTCTATGGAGGGTGTAAGTCCTGTTCCTGAACACGTGCGTGCACTTGATTGAATGCCCTGTTTTAGGCCTTCGACATGTATCTCGATTCTCTAGTCTCCACCAACGAACACGCCCACGCTCTAGCAAAGGCATTATCAACAACATTCGTCATTCGCAGTGGGCACTTCGCAATCTTGAAGCGAATGCCCTCAATATATGTCGTCTCAGTGCATCGGAAGTGCATTGATTGGCTATTCACAAAATTGAAGGCGTCTGTTAACTTGCCCAACAAGAAGAGGCGAAATAAAGTGGCAAGTCTTTGGAAGTGCATGGTCCCGCTTCTGTCCACTGCTGAAGCGAGGGAGGCTCTACAAATGTGAGTGTCTGCTGTAGCGGTGTTAATTGAGTGACCATGTTAAGGTCTCATTTTTAGTAAGAAGCATTTAGACAATGCTATCAAGCAATCCCAACTCGAGGTCACGGATGGGAAGTTGTGGGAACCTTTGCGTGCTTTCGAGAAGCGTTTGATGAACATTATGGCGAAAGACAAAAGTATGTGTGCTTTGTTGGTCCTTGGCAATAATTACTTACGGAACTGTGCAGCCATAGGAGATGCTGCCAAGGCGACGACTCGCAAAGCGACACAAGCTGTCAACCAGCCAGTGAGCGATCCCATCGCGGGAGACAACGATGCTCGCACTCCCACTCGACCTCCACCTCGTCCTAGACCGCTCCGAAAGCCAACGCCGCCTCCAGCACCGGAGGTGCTTGACGATGTACCTATGCCACAAATTGAAGAAAACGATCTTTCGCTACTCCCAGCGGCAGATATCAATGGAATGTCAACACCTCTAGCTAATAGGGATGAATTTCGACATGTCAATGGACAAAAGCGTGCGAGGGATGAAGATGATGAGGAAACCCTCAATCTTGACTTGGCAGCCTCGGAGGACGATGAAGAACAGCAAGCGCTGAATGATCTGATCGAAAATGGAATAGGAGGAGTGTCCCAACCCATAGCGCCCGTCAACCCTGTGAAGCGGAGAAGGAGATAAAAACTAGGTAAAATTCGCTTTTTATGAGTGTAGCGTTTTCAGTCAACCTTTTCTGTCGTGTCATGTTTAGTTTTAAGGGTTTTTTCCGGTGCCTGTTGTTGTGTGGTTCTAATATGTGTGTGTATTACTGTATTATTACCTATAATGATGTCGGGCATCAGGAATACAGTTGTGCTTTGTGAATGGACTAAATTAAAATATCAAAATACCGTGAATGATACGGACAATTTGGTTGAGCCGACGCCGACGCCGGCCGCCGACAGTTGGTGCACTGCAGCAGGGTACGTGGAAACTGGAAGCACCTCAGCGTCAAATGCTTCCATAGCTTTCATCTATCTGTTTGGCGTGTCATACTCTTGGGCATTCACCTCGATGCATCCCATCTACCCAGGAGAAGTTATGGCGAATGACATGCGGGCCATCCCCTCTTTTCCGCGCCAGCACGTTGTCTTACTCCGGCCCTCACGCACAATGCGTTGCGGTCGAGTGTATTGGAATGTTTGCTTCGGCACTACAGCAAATCTTGCGAACCAATAGCGCAATATTCCGACTTCCCCACAACAGGCTCGTTGCGTGGGACGTGGGGCCCCAGGATGAGCTTCTGCTCATCCCAAGCAAACCAGTTATCCCATGCTTCCGGCCGACAAACTTGGGACACATTTACTTCTCATCAGGTGAACGCGAGTTTCGGAGGGTAGATAAATTGGCGAGTTGAAGAAGGAACAGCATGCTCTTGCTCAACGCCCTCTCTTGTCGGAGTTTGTCACCCGACTATCTCTGGTAAACTGCATTTTCATTGTTAGTCTTCCGGAAGTGCTGACCCATGTGATATCCCAGAACGCCCCCTGTCTCTGGGATTTTCGATCTGCACCAAGTCGCGCGGCTACCGACATGAGTAAAGAGGTCGCGCAGCCTGAGATGGTCGAAGTCGAGGATGCCATTCAACAGGTGAACCGTGGTGTCGACTGGGAGCTCGAGAAAGACGCCCATGAGGGAGCCATCGCTGAGCATTCTATGGCCGTGAAACAGGCCCTTGCTGCTTATTGGAAGGCTGTCTGCTGGTCCGTGATTATCTCCTGGGCTGTCATCATGGAGAGTTATGACATTCAAATTATCGGCTCCTTCTATGCCTACCCGACATTTCAACAGAAGTATTGCGAACAAGTTGGTCCAAACTCGTGGCAGGTTCCCTCGGCATGGCAGGTTGGCCTCAGTGTTGGTTCCAACATCGGGATCATGATTGGTATCTTGCTTAATGGTTACTTGGTACGGAAGTAGTTGCTTCTCCGGGCTGCACTCATGAGTATATATCCAGATCGAGAAGTTCGGGCACCGACGCCTTCTGCTGGTGGCCCTTTGTTTCCAAGCAGCTTTCATCTTCATAACCTTCTTTGCGCCGAATATCCGCGTACGTCTCTTTTCCCCTCTAGTCTTTCTGCACCTCTGCCTTCTTATGCACAACTGGTCAAATATCTCACTTTTATACCCTAAGTGCCACGAGACAGACCCTAACCGTCTTTGTCTAGGTCCTACTTGTCGGTGAGATTCTATGCGGTCTCCCGTGGGGTGTCTTCAACACGGTCGCCCCATCATACGCAGTCGAAGTCTGCCCTCTTGCTCTCCGAGGATATCTCACGACATTTGTCAACTTGTGCTGGGTCATTGGTCATCTCATCGCTGCTGGCGTCCTCGACGGACTGGTCAACAACACCACCGAGTGGTCATATCGCATTCCATTTGCTATTCAATGGGTGTGGCCCTTGCCGCTATTCATTGCCATCGCGATGGCCCCCGATTCTCCTTGGTGGCTCGGTAAGTAATTTCGCCGATATCATCTCCCTGGCACTAACACGAATATCAGTGCGGAAGAACCGTGTAGATGACGCGGAAAAGTCTATCAGAAGATTGGCTACGAACGATCAGCTGGTGAATCCTAAGGACGCTGTTGCGCTCATCGTGCATACCACCAGACTCGAGGCCTCCCTGAACATTGGTGCTAGTTACGCCGCCTGTTTCCAGGGCACGGATCTTCGCCACACGGAGATCGCCTGCGTCTCATGGGCATCCCAAGCTTTTGTCGGCTTCGCCGTTCAGAGTTACTCAACGTACTTCTTCGAGCAAGCTGGCATGCCTGCGTCGGATGCATTCAAACTCACCCTGGGCACGTTCAGCATTGCCTTCTGTGGTACAGTCAGCTCTTGGTTCACGCAAACATACTTTGGTCGCCGGACACTCTTCCTCGCCGGCACGGCATTCATGGGTCCCCTGCTGTTCGTCATCGGCTTCCTCCAGCTGGCTCCAGTGACGGACAACATCAGGTGGGCCCAAGCTGTCATCTTAGTGATCTGGTTCGGTGGGTATGGCGCTACAATCGGACCAATTCCATACGTGATTGCGGCTGAGATCTCTTCGAGCAACCTGCGCACAAAGACCATCTCCGTGGCGCGTGACATGTACTATCTCTCCAACCTCGTCAACTCCATTGTCTCACCATACATGCTCAACCCGCAGAACGCGAACTTGAAAGGAAAAGCCGCCTTCCCAGCAGCATGCTTCAACGTCGCCCTCTTCGTATGGGCGTTCTTCCGCCTTCCAGAGTCCAAGGGGAGGACGTTCGAGGAATTAGATATCCTATTTGCGAAACATGTACCGGCAAGGAAGTTCGTGGGGTACGTAGTGGATCCGTACGAGGAGGGCGTGACGAGCCGCTCGAGAGGGGAGAAAGAAGAATCGGAAGAGAAGGTTTGAATACGTTACGACTTCACTGTGGAGGGTGAGGGTCGCGGGCAGAAATCCCATGCACTTCTCAGACACGTTGGGCATGGATTTTGATTTTGATCTTGATATTTCCTTTGGAGAGTCAACGAGGTGTTTAATGAGCTTTACGTATTCTATTGATACGGTCGTATTCAATGGCTTTTCACCCTTCAATTGTGACAATCAATAAAATCGGAAACTCGCCTCACGGATTTCAGCATAGCGCAGTTGTTTGAGCACGCGCGGCTTGTCAAACGCTCAAATTTAACTCAACTCACTGTACAATTCCTCGCCTTACCAATCTGCACAACTCCGCAGCCATATTCCAGCTGTCTCCTTGGGAACAACCTCGCCTCAGATCAACTAGGGTACTTACGTCACGGCGCGTGCCTCCCGCCCTTGCCCTTTCTCAGGGATGCTTACGCAACATCTGCATCCCCCGCAGCCACTGTCGGCGGTGACTCGCAGCTCTACCTCGGGCCGACCCATTTCTGCCTTACTCGTTCGGGAAATGCATAGCGAGCTGGGGCGTCATCGCTCTCGGAGAATGCTGGCCGTATGAGGATCGAACTGGGTTGGAGGAACAGTATATAACGAGCCGGTTTTCGAGCTGTTTGGGATCAATACAACACAAGCAACTCCAAGCAGTCTCACAACAACTTAGCAACAAGCGAACCAACACCAACACCAACTACCTCAACGAAATCAACATGTCTGGCTACAAAGTGTTCACTATCGCTGGTGCATCGGGGAAATCGGGCAAGGCCGTCCTCGACGAACTCCTGCGCGTCAA